GCTGCTGAGAGAGCTGGTGCCACGGGTCCCGGAGGTGCTCGTACTGGGAGTACTGGAGCTGCTGGACCTGCGGGTACTTCTGGAGCTGGAGTTGCTGCGGGTGTTGGCGCGGAGGCTACTGCTGTCGGTCCTGGAGGCGGTCCTGCTGGGGGTGCTACTGGTGCTGCTGGGGGTTCTGGAGCTGGAGCTGCTACTGGTGCTGGTGCTGCCACTGGGGGTGCTGGTGATGTCCCTCTTGTGTCTGGAGTCGCCGCGCGGCCTCGGCCGTACTTCGTTCCGCTCCTTCAGCAGGTTCTTGGTCTCCCGCCTTCTACTGGTCCTCCTCCTCCCTTAGAGTGTCCACAGCCTGTCCCGTCGCAGTTACAGTTACAGCCGGCCTCCCCACTGCCTGCTCCGTCTCCCTACACTGGTCCTACTGGAGGTCTTGCTGAGCGTCGTGAGCCTGCGTCTCGCCCTGCGTCGCCTGTCCGTGCTGCTCGCACTAGTGGTCGCGGTTCGCGTCAGCGTCCTCCTCCTGTCCCTGGCACGCACCGGATGTCTCTGCGTCCGTCCACTGCTCCTCTGCGTGCCCCTTTGCCTTCTCCTCCTGAGTCTTCTCTTCCTGCTCTTGCCGACCCGGAGTCGGACTCTCTTCGTGCTGCCAGTCCTACTGTCACGCGTCTCCTTGCTACTGTTGTCACTGACCCTTCCTTTGAGTCCACTGCTGCGTCTGCCCTAGTTGCTGAGCTCGTCGACTTTGCTGCTTGCTGTCGCCTAGACTACGTCGCCAGTCTTGTTGCTGAGTCTGAGTCTGTCTGTCCTCCGTCCGTCGGGGGTGAGTGTGCCCTTGGCACGGACGTCCTTGAGGACAGGCAGGAGGAGTTCCAGTGCTTGGCCGCTGCTTCACCTCATCTCGTGTCCGTACTGCTTACCCCTGAGGGAGACCCGGATGCACTTGACATCCCGACTCCGCGCTCTTACGCGGAGGCGATAGAGGGTCCCTACTCCTCTCAGTGGCAGACAGCTATGGACGCAGAGATGGCTTCCTGGAAGTCCACAGGCACCTACGTTGACGCTGTTCCCCCTCCTGGGGCGAACATCGCCAGTGGCATGTGGATTTTCAGGGTGAAGCGACCGCCGGGTTCTCCGCCTGTCTTCAAGGCGCGTTACGTGGCTCGTGGCTTCAGTCAGCGGCAGGGAGTTGACTACTTTCAGACCTTCTCTCCCACCCCGAAGATGACCACTCTTCGGGTACTGCTGCACGTAGCTGCTCACCGTGACTACGAGCTACACTCTCTTGACTTCAGCACTGCTTTCTTGCAGGGCAGCCTGCACGAGGAGATCTGGTTGCGTCGCCCACCTGGCTTCACTGGGTCTTTTCCTCCTGGCACCCAGTGGAGCCTACGGCGGCCAGTCTACGGTCTCCGCCAGGCACCGCGTGAGTGGCACGACACACTGAGGACTACACTTGCGGCTCTTGGGTTTGCTCCCTCTACTGCCGACCCGTCGCTGTTTCTGCGCACCGACACTTCTTTGCCGCCGTTCTACATCCTCGTGTACGTCGACGACTTGGTCTTCGCCACAGCTGACACTGCTGGACTCGCCCACGTGAAGTCCGAGCTGCAGAAGAGACACACGTGCACAGACCTGGGTGAACTGCGCAGCTACCTTGGCTTGCAGATCACCCGGGACAGAGCACGCCGCACCATTACCCTGACTCAGTCACACATGGTGCAGCAGGTCCTTCAGCGCTTCGGCTTCACGTACTCCTCGCCTCAGGCCACTCCTCTGCCTACTCGCCACTCGCTCTCAGCTCTGCCTTCGGATGAGTCCGTAGAGTCGAGTGGCCCGTACCCAGAGCTTGTTGGCTGCCTCATGTACCTGATGACCTGCACACGACCTGACCTTGCATACCCTCTTAGCATTCTTGCACGCTATGTTGCTCCTGGGAGACACAGACCGGAGCACATGGCTGCAGCGAAGAGGGTGTTGTGTTACTTGTGCAGTACGTCGGGCATGGGGCTTGTGCTTGGAGGGCAGAGTCCAGTGGTCCTTACTGGGCACGCAGACGCTTCTTGGGCTGACGACCAGGCTACGCAGCGGTCGTCACAGGGTTACACCTTCAGCCTTGGTTCCGGCTCTGTTTCGTGGCGGGCTACCCGCTCGTCTTCTGTTCTCGGCTCCAGTTGTGAGGCTGAGATCTACGCAGGAGCCATGGCTGCACAGGAGCTTCGCTGGCTCACCTACCTGCTGACTGACCTCGGAGAGCTGCCTCGTTCTCCTCCAGTGCTGTACGTAGACAACAAGGCCATGCTGGCCTTGTGTCGGGAGCAGCGACTGGAGCACAGAACGAAGCACATTGCTCTCCGCTACTTTCTTGCCCGTGAGCTGCAGCAGCGTGGTCAGCTGCGTCTTGCGTACGTGGCCTCTGAGGCCAACACTGCTGATATCTTCACCAAGGCGCTTGCGCCTTGTGACCATCAGCGCTTCTGTACTCAGCTGGGCCTTGTGCCTACCTTGCCTCACTTGCTCACCTCTTGACCTTGCTTGTGCTGTTACATATATATATACCTGCTCTTGCTTGTCTAGCCTTTATATATATATGTACTCCTGCATGTGAACTGGCCTTGTGGCCTTGAACTTGTGCTCGGAATGTGTGGTGACTTTGTGATCCACCCTGAGCTTGCTTTGCTTTACTTTGCTTGACTGGTCTTGTGACCCCTTGTTCTCCCCCACTTTGCCTATGGGGGTGTGTCAGAATATTATAGCTCATGCATATTGTGTAGGCTATAGTGGGGTAGCCCATAAGGGGTACAACCCAATTAGGGTTAGTACTTGTACCCAATTCATTCATAGTTCATCCATTCCTTGTTTCTTCTCAGTGAGAGCCCGCTGTTGCAGGGACAATTTCCAAGTCACTTTCCGTGTGTCCACGAAATTTGAAATAAAAAAACGCGAATAAGCGTTTAACAGCGGTCCATTCGTGTAACACTAGTTTCTTGAACGTTACAGTACGGTTTAGAGCGGTTATGGTTCAGACTTTCACGAATTTCTTCAGTGGTGAATTCCGGGGCAGATACCCTGCAATGCATCGAGTTCATTCTGGTTGGGCGCGAACAGTTTGCCTAATTTCGGGTGTGGAGATTTTGTTACAACCCGAAACAAAGTCGGAAATAAGTGATTTTCAGCCTACGAAATCAGTGCGGAGTGGTTTTTTTTAGAGCGGGGTGCGAATTCTATGTGATGTTGTCTCACTTATCGTTATGATTTTAGAATATTGACTCTACCCTAAACGTTGTAACGGGTACCTCACACGACGAATCATCGGTGTTTCGGGCCAAAAGGGGGGTGTGGTCCCCACTGCTGAGTCAGCCTGCTTCCGATCGGTGGTTCGGGTCTCGGGGCCCCAGCAGGGACCGAAGGGTCGGCCCTCCGAAATCACGCTAAGGGAGCCTGGTTTTCCCTTCGCGTGCTGGGCTAGCGACGCCGAAGGCATCGAGGCACTTCGGGCCCCCGGCTTCGGAAGAAGAGGGACTTCTTCGGCCCGATTAGAGTGAAGAATGATGCCCCCGCATTCGCGAAGTCTGTCGCCCGCATTGTACGTCCAGCGATGTCGGGCTCCAGACGTCCATGGGAAATGTTTTTGCTTTTTGACGGTCCGAACCGTGTCGAAGTCGGTATCCTGATTTCGAGGATTCCCGCATGGCCTTCAATTCGATAACGAGGTAGGACGGTCCAAACTTCGAGCGGGATACCCTATGTGCTCACGGTTCGGGCGGTCATAGAAAGTTACGCGCCCTTAGAACACGTAACGTCGAGGTGGTGGGTGGGATGGTTGGGGAGTGGGGCTTTGGATTTGAACAAGCACAGATTCCTATGACGCTGGAATTCGTCATCACCGCGTAACAGCTCGTGACAAACAAAGCTCAATTTGTTTTGCAGCTCCCTAGGCATATCCGAGCAAGGGTCATAATCCAATCTGGCCTAGCAGTTAGTTTTTGGCTAAGCAGGGCAATATTGGTACACTAGAAAAAAGCAATCCCACGCCAGTTTTCACACTTGAAACCCATTCTCCTCTTGTCCCACCGTCGTGTTCTCTGGGACATGAAACCACTCCTTTCACACATTTTGTTTTCTGAACTTCTCTGTTTCTTTGTGGGGATGTTTGGTGTTCAATTTTCACACGGTGGGCCTGCTTTCACACGGTGCGGCAATGATTGCAACGCTCAAATGTATTCGTGGTTCCCCATCAAGTCCATCAGTGCTCGTCGTCCTCCACTCGGTGGTGAAAAAACCAGAACCGCGAATTGGGCCCTAGACAGCTTTGGGTGTGCTCGGGTTGCGACAAGCCGGACGGTTGCAGAACAACGAGCTGGGATTGTCGAAACCGAAGTGCTACCCTCCAGCTTTCCTCCGAAGCCAGGTCAAACCTCCATCCAGCTCGTCATCCCACTCATCAATTGTTCCCAGCCAACCGAAACAGTGTGATGCCTCAAGTCCGCAGCTGCATCACTGTGCTTGAGGTGTCTCTGAACGGTCTGATGAGATGGCATGGCACGGGACAGGATGGTTGGCAGGCAACCAAAACCTCACGCCAATTGACTGTTCCTCAAACAGCCATCGTTACCTCATGCTTCGAAGATTCTGCGATTTTGTTGATGACGATTGTCATGGTTCCATTTTCCGCCATTGCGTCGTTGTTCAGGAGCAAGAGAAGTTGGGGGCACCATACCGTACACCCAGACGAATGTGTTTCCTCCCAAGTTCCCAGCCCAATGAAGACGGATGATAGAGAAACACAATGTTTAGGAGGAAGTTCAATTGAGTTCTTAGACTAACTGTGGGCATTGGCTCCTTCAAGCAACTCCTAGTCCTGACACAGCGGTTCGTTTCTACCCGACCCGACGTGCGGCGAGGATCTGTTTCAGTCTCCAAGCTAGGGTTTCAGAAATTGTTCTTCTTGTTTTAGAATAATGGCTACGCCGGCGAAGAGCTCGAGAATGGTTTTAGCTCAGAAGCCGATGTATCTTCTAAGGCAGGTTCTTAAAGACATTTGCTTACAAAATGGCTGGACGTACTCGGTATTTTGGAGGTTGAAGCGCCGCGCTGTACCTCGGACACAGCAGAGGTAAGGATACAGCGGTCGTAACTGTTCTAGGGTTTCTTGACCAAATCGTGTTTTCATTCCGAACCATCGTAGCTGGCCATTGTCGACATCTGTTTTGTTCACATATAGTGTGATGCTCTGTATGTGTATAATTTCCAGATTTTTCAGTCGTCTGTGGGAGATATTTAAATCTTCTTTCCCCCCTTATTTCCTTTCCCTGTTTACAGTGTGCCTTCAAGAGGAAATCGCATCATGAAACGACAGGAGGATGACGAATGGTGAGTCACGTTTGTCACTTTCTATAACCACCTTCATCTTCCTTCCGTAAACTCGTGATATTACCTCGGTCGACGACTCATTCTTATTATCTTAATCTCTATCCGTTTCCGTTTTGCACGATGTCTTCCGCCGCGTTCATATCTTGTTGAGCAGGGTTCTGATGTGGGAGGACGGTTATCTCGTTCCGCAAGCTGTTCTGAAGAAGCTGGACGCTCAGATGGAACGGTTAAGGGACGCAGCTGTAGGTGGCGCTACTGGCTGCAGCGCTCAAAATCCCGCGCTGGAGCAGCTCTCATACGACTGGAAGCTGCTGCACGCCAGCTTCCTTAGATTCTCGTACCAGATCTACAACTATGGTGAAGGGTGGGTTCCTCTAAACCATTCATTATTTTCCGTTTCTTGATATTTCCGCTTTAATCTCTCACATATTTGCATTATTTTCTGTTCTTCTCAGCTTCATTCTCTGTTATTCTCTGCTTCATTCTATGCGAAATTCGGTCTTTCCTTGTTCACTACTGTTATTCTCCGTCTGCTGCAGATTGATGGGGCAAGCAGTGTCAGCAGAGGCAGCCGAGTGGGTCTATAATGATTCCAAGTACTACAGGGCAGATGCTCTTGACTCCGTGCAGAACCAACACCCGCCAGGATGGGATGAACATTTCGCGTCTGGCATCAAGGTGCCTATTCCCCGCCCTCGCCCACCCATCATTTTGTCCGCATGTCTTTTTAACAGCCGATGTTTCATGCTTTTGGCTTTGTTCTTTGGTCGCGGTCATGTACACGCCTCTCATGTGGCTACCTTCCATTGCGTGTGCAGACTATCGCTGTGATCCCAGTTCCTGGCGGAGCCGTACAGATCGGTTCTGTTCTCCCGGTACGCACCAACGCCATCGCAATCCTGTGATTCCAATAGCTACGATTTTGATAGTGCTTCGTATGCCATGTGTTGTGCATTGGGCCTGTATTTGACATCCGTTTTTGCTTGCATTTATCAGGTCAAAGAGGATCCTTCCGTGGCCAAGCTTCTTCAAGAGAAGTTTGAGCAATTGCAGAAGATCCCAGGAGTCTTTCTTCCAGATTTCATCCCAGAAACATCGTCGTCGCCTGCAACCATCTCCGACTCCATGCCAGCATCCATGTCCTTCAATGCCATGCAATCCACCGCCCTTGCTCCCCTCAGCACATCACAACCCATGGCCAACTTCACTGGAACCGCCCCTCAAGGGACTGATAAATCTACTCTGCTTCCATGGATATTGAACTGGAATGGATTTGTCTGATTAGTCTCGTTATACTTGGGGGTTGTGCTCAAGCGATCTAGAAGGTTACTGCAATTGCCTCCCCTACTCTGTCAGCTCATTATTTGTTTCTTGTAGTCCACAATTGGACTCCAATAATCACAGTAGCCCATGTTGTAATACTCTACTATTATATACTGGACGCACTGAATAAAAACGTCTCTGCAGTGACGTTCTTCCTTCATTTTCCGGTTTGGCGCCGTTCAAATCGATGCAGTGCGGTGGAAGATTGGAATCCATTGTGGATGACAGGATTCGGATAAGGTGAAAATCGGTTCAGTACATACTGCTGAATGAATTTAGGAGCTGGTTGCCTTTTTTTACCGCTCTGCATCGGTACTCACCTTTCGGAACAACAAGTGCAAAGCAGTCAAGCTCACCTCAACCTCATTTGTCCCGTCCAGATCGCAGAGCTTTCAGATTAATTCGTCCAGTCGAGTCAGACCTCCGATCTGTGCTGATCCCCAGTCGACCGCAGGTTCTGCTCGACTTCTGCAGTCTGCCGTTCGTTTTCATCATCTCTCGACCTGTTTCCGTAGCATCCACGATCCAGAAGCGGTCGATCCGATCGACGTTCCGCAAATTCGCAGCTCAGGAACCCTCGATCCGAACTGCTTAGCATGGCGGCAGCTCAGGTAGTCCCGGTCCCCGCGATGGCGGGAGGAGGAGGAGGAAGAGGAGCGAAAGGCGAGACGTTTTCGGACACGAGCAGGAAGGACGATATTCGTCAGGCGAACATCATGGCGGCTAAGGCCGTGGCGGATGCCGTGCGAACGAGCCTGGGTCCCCGGGGGATGGATAAGATGCTCACCACGGCCACTGGAGAGGTCATTATCACCAACGACGGTGCCACGATTCTCAACAAGGTGCGACGATTTTGAGGAAGATGCGAGTGTGGAAGTGTGAGTTTCCGGCGAAAATGAGTCACGGCATGGATGATGGAACGTACGGCGGGAACTGCAATATCCAGTAGAAACGGATGCAATAGCGGATCTGGAAGGGACTGATCAGCCGTTGTGGAGATTCAGGGCTCCTGGCAACCTCAGAGTCCGTGAAAGTGGAAGGGGAGGTAGGATTTCCCAGTGAATTCGGCCTGCTGCTGCTGCTGCTGCTGCTGCTGCTGCTGCTGCGCTGTGTGCATTCCAAGGTGGACGTCCCCGTTGAAACCCAAGGCTTACAGATCCACGTCACCCGCATCCCGTTAATAGGCTTATCGGCGTCCGCGGTTTCAGTTGCGGTCCTGATTCGCAGTGTAATGTATTTTTCCCCAGCATTCAGAGCTTCTCCAGCCTTCGACGCCTCGATCCTGCTTTGCTACTTCTCTTCTTCCGCCATTCGGACCGAGAGACCAGAGCCGTTTGTTTTGGCTGCGATTCGTCCATCCCGCAGTTTCCGAGATCAGGCCTCTTTTCCCCCCTGTTTCTCTACCGACGCGATTTTCGTGTACTTGTGTCACAATTCCTTGTATGAAGCTATTGAAGTCCGTTCAACAACGTCACCATGTTATCGATTTGCCCTGTAACGCGTATTTTTTGTTCAGATGGAGGTGACACAGCCAGCGGCGAAGATGCTGGTGGAGCTGTCCAAGTCGCAGGACATCGTCGCAGGCGACGGCACCACCACAGGTCCGTCGCAGGATCCGGGATCCGGAATTCGGAATTTCGCGGTTCAGGATTCGGGATCTGGAATTCGGGATTACACAATTGTGTATTCGGGAAGTTGGTTTCGGTAGAGCTTTGGAATCTGGGATTCAGGTTCGGGGAACAAGAAGGGGTTTCTTTGTATGGGGGTTCAGGGTTATGGGTGTTGGGGACGTCTAAGATTTGGAGCCGTTGCATTTAGCGCCATGTTTGAGTGCTCAACGCGGTAGCTTTGGTTCTTGTCGCGGATTCCTTTCTTTCTTCATGTGTGTGTACATGCGTGTGTGTGTGTCAACTCCACCTATTATTTCTTCCTGTTCCCTTTTTTGTAATTTTTCCTTTTTTTTTGCCGCAACAGCTCTGCAATTAGCTTTCTGTGCGCTATGTGTCTCCGTTCCCCCTCCCCCCTTCCCCCCTTTCCGCCTCCGCTTCCTCCCCGCGGTGCAGTGGTGGTGGTGGCGGGTGCGCTACTGAAGGAGTGCCTGTCGCTGCTGGGGAAGGGCATCCACCCGACAATCATCTCCGAGGCTCTGCACAAGGCTGCTAATAAGGCCGCCGAGGTATGAACGAGGCGTACCTTAAAACCCAGGGTCCACAGGTTTCAAAGGTAGGAAGGTTGGTTGGACTTAGTGACAAAACCAAAGGTAGGAAGCTTGGTTGGACTTTGTGACCCAACCAAAGGTAGGAAGGATGAGGCAACTTCGGGATACTTGAGACTCCGGTTTTAAGCTGAGTGTACTCCAAATGCCCCTGTCTCGTGCTGGGCAATAAGGCCCGTTCTGGGTAACGGTATCCACCCTACAATCATAGAGGTGACTTTTGAGTCGACTCAAAAGTCTGCTCTCATTACACCAATGGAGTTGCCGAACTTGCCTTCCACTTTGCGCCTCACCTGTCCCCCACATGCAATCCCCTCCGGCCCCACTTCCCTCTTCTTCCTCAACCTCACATCCTCACCAAGTCCCCAGATGCTAGTGTCAGTGGTGCTGTCAGACCGCAAGTCCCCTCCTTGTCCGTTCCCCACGCCATTCCCAACCAACCACCCGCCCCACACCCGTCGCCACACCCCCCTTCCCCGCTCTCGTCCATCAGATCCTCACCACCATGGCGGTGCTGGTGGAGCTGTCAGACTGGGCGTCTCCTCTTTGTGCGTTCCCCCCCTCTCCGTCCCTCACCATCAATTCCCCCCGACTTTCCCCCCGCCGCCGATCAGATCCTCACCACCATGGCGGTGCTGGTAGAGCTGTCGGACTGGGCGTCCCCTCCTTACCGCTCCCCCGCGCCCTTAAACGCCAACTCCCTCTGCCCCCCCATCTCCCTTCCCTCCCCCCCCCCCCCCCCCCCACCCGTTCTGCAGATCCTCACCACCATGGCGGTGCCGGTGGAGCTGTCAGACCGTGAATCGCTCGTCAAGAGCGCCAGCACGTCGCTCAACAGCAAGGTACGGTGCGGTGCGGCACGGTGTGGTGCGGTTTGGTACAGTGCAGTGCACTGCAGATGGCTCGGCTCGGCTCCTCTCGCATTTCAGCCTCAAAAGAGTTCTCGTCTCTCAAGTTAGGGCGGGGAGATAGCAGGAAGCTCTGATGGCCGACCAAAAAGAAAAACTAGCCATTGAAGAAAATCTATAGTTTCCAGCCTGGCTGAAGTATCTCGTTTCGGATTTCATCCTCGGCTCGTTTTCTCACCACCTCCCTCATTTTCCGCTCGGTGTCTCGTTCTCTTCCTGTGCGCAGGTGGTCAGCCAGTACTCGTCTCTGCTTGCCCCGCTAGCAGTCGACTGTGTTCTGCAGGTGGGTGAGACAGGAGGGGTTGCTGAATAAAGGGTTCCGTTTTGCCATGCTATATCATCGTTCTGGCGCATTCAACAACGCACATGCCATCACCAATTACCTCGCGGGCCCTTGTTCTAGTGTGTTTGCTGAGTGTCACTACATAAGGTAACCCAACTTTTGCCCTTAAGATTTTTTTTCCAAACGAATCCGCTTCTTAGACGAGCCGTCCCCCAACCCAAACCACATCCACCTATCCGTTCCCGAACCCCACGTGCAACCCATTCTTTGCTGACGTGGCAGGTGATGGACCCCAGCCACCCAGATGTGGTGGATCTTCGGGACATCAAAGTGCTCAAGAAGCTGGGCGGCACGGTGAGTGCTGGGCGGCACGGTGAGTGCTGGGCGGCACGGTGAGTGTGCTGGGCGGCACAATTTGGTGAGGTGTGGGTCCGGTCTCTTTTTCTTGTACGAGTATCACCAGTCAAAAGGTGCTGGCCTCCATGGACATCAATTTTTGAGGCGCCTCAAAAATCGTATCTTGTAGGAGTATCACCAGTCAAATGTTGCTGGTCGCGATGGACATCAATTGCGAGTAACAATTACTGATCCACACAAGATCGTGTAATTTGATGTTTATTCCACACAATATTCGACTGTTCAAGAATCAAGTGTGCAATATCCTGCCCTGTTCTGTGCTTATCGTCGCACCCCACAGATTCACCGCACAGTTTTCTAAGGTGCCCAAAAAACGGAGCCTTAAGAACCGTATCAATTACTGAGGCACTTCAAACCTCCTCCCTCACCACCCACAGGTGGACGATACAGAGATGGTGCGCGGGCTCGTGTTCGACCGCAAGGCCAGAAGCTCCCACCTTATTTCACCAACATCCCCCCCTGCCCTTCCTCTTTTTCCCTCCCCTTGTTTCCCCCCCGACCACCCACAGGTGGACGACACGAAGATGGTGCAAGATGGGCTCGTGTTCGACCGCAAGGCCAGCTGCTCCCACCCTGACTGAACCCCTCTCCCATCCCTCCTCCCTCCCCTCCACCCCTCCCACATTCCCCCGCAACCCACAGGTGGACGACACGGAGATGGTGCGCGGGCTGGTGTTTGACCGCAAGGCAAGCCATGCAGCAGGCGGGCCGTCGAGGGTGGAGAAGGCCAAGATCGGACTCATCCAGTTCCAGATCTCGCCGCCCAAAACCGACATGGAGCAGTCCGTGGTGGTCTCCGACTACACCCAGGTGAGCTGCCGCCCAGTTGAGCTGCCGCCCGGTTGAGATGCCGCCCAGCTGAGATGCCGCCCAGTTGAGATGCCGCCGAGGTGAGCTGCCGCCCAGTTGAGATGCCGCCCAGTTGAGCTGCCGCCCAGTTGAGATGCCGCCGGTTGAGATGCCGCCCAGTTGAGCTGCCGCCCAGGTGAGTTGCCGTCCAGGTGAGTTGCCGCCCAGGTGAGTTGCCGCCCAGGTGAGTTGTAGTCAGACCCACGTGGACCATGTGGGTGGGTCTGTCCGTTGTTGTGAGTGTCAAAGCTCGTCATCCATTTCCTTCTTCAGTACGCACCCCCTACACCACGCTCCCTCTGCCGCCTCTGCTGCCTGCTTATGTGCCCCTCTCATGCCCCTCTCGTAACGGATGGGCTGTATGTATCCTCTCGCTGCACCACCTGGCCAGGTAGTTCCCTTCACCGCCGCACAGATCCACGTGGTGAAGGGCGTGGATCACTCAACATGCTTCGTGCCTTCATCCCGAATCCCGTTTCATGTGCTGCCTGCGCTCCCTTCTCTCCCTTCCCCCCCGCCCCTCTGTCTGGTGTCAGATGGACCGCATCTTGAAGGAGGAGCGCAACTACATTCTTAACATCATCAAGAAGATCCGCGCCACGGGCTGCAACGTGCTCCTCATCCAGAAGTCCATTCTGCGCGACGCCGTCACCGATCTCTCGCTGCACTACCTGGCCAAGGCGAAGATCCTCGTGGTCAAGGACGTGGAGCGGGACGACATCGAGTTCATCAGCCGCACTCTCAACTGCCTGCCTATTGCTAACCCCGAGCACTTTCGTGTGGAGAAGCTCGGGCAGGCGGATCTGGTGGAGGAGGTGCCTGTTGGGGAGGGTCGGGTGAGTTTTCTGCCTTGCCTAGCACTGCTGCTCTTTGTGTGGGGAGTGATGGAAGGGGGTGTGTGTGGGTGCTCTACGGCTGCACTACCTGGCCAAGGCGAAGATCCTGGTCGTCAAGGACGTGGAGCGGGACGACATCGAGTTCATCAGCCGCACTCTCAACTGCCTGCCCATCGCCAATCTCGAGCACTTCCGCGCGGAGAAGCTCGGGCAGGCGGATCTGGTGGAGGAGGTTCCTGTTGGGGAGGGCCGGGTGAGTGCTTGTTTGGGGGGATTTTATTATGGGATGATGTATACTATAGCTGTTGGGGTATGTAAGCTCCTGCCCTTTTCTTCCCCTGCCTCTCCCATTTCCCTCCGTGTTACAACCACGTAGTGGCACAACCAGGCAGTTTCTCATCGCTCTTTTCTTCCCTTCCCCTTCCCCTTCCCCTTCCCCTTCCCCTTCCCCTTTCCCTTATTTTTTCTTTCTCAATGCCAATACCAGGTGGTCAAGATAACAGGTATTCAAAACATGGGGCGGACCATGAGCGTGGTCGTCCGCGGGTCCAACAGCCTTGTGTTGGAGGAGGCGGAGCGCAGCCTGCATGACGCGCTCTGTGTCGTGCGCTGCCTCGTCAACAAGCGGTTCCTCATTGCGGGAGGAGGGGCGCCGGAGATAGAGGTCAGCAGGCAGCTGGCGGCGTGGAGCAAGCAGCTGGAGGGCAAGGAGAGCTACTGTGCGAGAGCGTTCGCCCAGGCCCTCGAGGTGAGTTCGTGGATGGGTGACCTGCGTCTTTTGCTGGGTAAGGTAGTGGGAGAACGTGACAATCAGGGCGGGAAGGAGGGGGAGGGGAACGGACGACGCGGAAGGGGGTTGGGGGGTAGGGCGAGGAGGTCGGGCACCGGAGATAGAGGTCAGCAGGCAGCTGGCGGCGTGGAGCAAGCAGCTGGAGGGCAAGGAGAGCTACTGCGCGCGGGCGTTTGCCCAGGCCCTCGAGGTGCATTCACTTTGAATTTCCTGTGAACGTCGTTGCTTGAAGTAATGGTAGAAAGCAGAAATCAGGGGCCGAGGGGGGAGGGGAAAGAGGGGGGGGGAAGAAGGGGAGGGGGTTGTAGGGGAAAGAGGAGAAAGGGGAGTGGCCGAACTTTGAGGTCAAATTTTGCTGTATGCACCCTAACTCACTACTCTAACCCCCCCTCCTTTTCCCCTTTTTCCCCCCTTTGCCCTCTTTACCCCCGCCACCCCTGTGCTCTATTTCCCCCCCACAGGTGGTGCCGTACACGCTAGCGGAGAATGCCGGGCTGAACCCCATCTCTATTGTCACAGAGCTGCGCAACAAGCATGCCGAGGGGGAGGTGAGCTCTCAGTTACCAGCACAAAGGGTTGGGGGGGGGGGGGGGGGGAGGGGGAGGGGGGAACAAGGCAACAAGCATGTCGAGGCAAGGGAGTTGATGTAGAAAGGCAGAAAAAGGCTGAACCCCATCTCCATTGTCACAGAGCTGCGCAACAAGCATGTCGAGGGGGGGCTTCGAGCATGTAGCACTATAAAGTTGGGGAAGAATGGGGAGAATGTAGAAAGGCAAAATTCCTTCCTCGTGCCCACTGTCGTTTTCTTTCTTTTGTTTCAAGATAACCCATTTCTGGAAGTCTGTTTGCGACCCAGTTATAGCTTTCCTATCTGTTTAACACCGGCTTCTGTCTGGCAATCCTGTTACAGGTTAGTGCGGGCATAAACGTGCGCAAGGGAGCCATCAGCAACATGTTTGAGGAGAATGTGGTGCAGCCGCTGCTCGTGAGCACAAGCGCCATTTCTCTCGCTGCGGAGTGCGTCCGGATGATTCTCAAAATCGACGACATTGTCATCACTAGATAGTTGTAGACTCTGGATGTCGTTGATTATCCCATAATTGAATGAATTGAAGGATATACTGATTTCCTGTCTTCATGATGTCCTTTGCAAAGGCTAGTTCTGGTAACTAGGCTGCTGACAGTTTCGAGTCAATCATCTTAGTGGAAAGCAACATTTGTATAAGTGAAAATGAAGTGATGTATTTCCAAGAGCCTAGGGTGGTGTAGCTTTATATGCCAACCTAGAAGGGGGTGTCCAGCGCGTACGCACATCATGCTTCGTGGCTCCGGCCCACGTGCCGCCCAGTGGGTTTCATTTTCCTCCGCTAACTTCGCTGCACATCGTTGGTCGCCTCCTCAGGCCGAAGGAAATCTAAGAACCGAATTTGTCTCGTAGGACACATCCTAAACCCCAACAGACGCTGTCGCATCTTACCTAAACGCCAATTGTTCCCTGCCAATTTCCAGCCCCTGAAAGATTGAGATGGCCTGCCTTCACCCGGAAGCCACCACAAGTCCCTCCTGCCATCAAAATCGCCAGTTGACCACAGTTGGTTCGACCAAAGTCGAGGGAGGTCAATTCGCGTGAATACCGAGGTGTGCCCCCCTGACGAATTGTTACCACACCGAGACGCAACTGTCGCCGAGGCTTCTAGGCCCAACAACCAAGAGCCATTCAGGGGCATGCAAATAGCCCAATGACCGCGAAAAAAAACAGGGCCCACCCATCAAAATCTATGTGTTCGCAGTTGGGGAACTCTCGATTTCGTCAATTCGTTCACCGCGCCCACCCATCCCTTGAGACTGATACGTCCCGGCATTCCCAAGGAAGCCCATTCCAGCTTTCATTCGTGATCCGTTCCCCTTCGCTGTAACAGTAGTACGTTGCATACGCCATACCTCGAAAGCTTGAGTTGATCTGACTCGTCCTTCCTAGGTTCCTCCCCAGTTCCCGGGTTCCTCGATTCTCGGGCTTCTCGGTTGGCTGTATGTCAGAAGTTTGAAACGTTTCGGTGGCTTTTCACTAGAAGCGTTTTCCTACGATGGCGCTGCCACGCCAAAGCTGTATAATTAGGGTTGTTCTGCTGTAGACGAGGAATTTGAGCTGGTTGTACGTCGCGTAGTTATTTAATTTATTTTAATATCCTAGGTTTTGACGATAACACAACAATGGCGACAAACCCTAGGCAGGTTCCGAGCGCCGTGCTGGCGCAGAGGCCAATGTACCTGCTGCGACAGGTGCTCAAGGACCTGTGCCTGCAGAACGGATGGACGTACTCCGTCTTCTGGAGACTGAAGCGTCGCGCGGTTCCGCGAACGTCGCAAACGTAACGCCTGCAGATTCCAGATAATCTTTATGTTGTTTGTGTTTGTCGGATCGGGACCGCGACGAGTAGAGCACCCGCCTGCGCGTTCAATGCAGAAATTTGACGCTTATCAAAGCTTACTCGTTCATTTCCTCCTTCGTTTCCTACTCGCCGCGTGTCCTTCGCCGTGAAGTTTGAATCGTTCGTTAATTTCCTCGTTCGTTTCGCTGGCTTCTGTTCTGCTTTTTATTCGTTCTCGCAGAAATGTACCAATAAGAGGAAACCGAATGATGAAACGCGAGGACGACGATAATTGGTAAGCCGATTGTCCTCTCCTCCTCGTCCTCCTTCCTCTTCTTCCTCCACTTCCTCCTCTTCCTCCTCGTCCTCCGCTTCTAAAATGCTAGCTGAACGACCATAGGGAGCCTCAATGGCTGAAACCGAAGCCCTAACTGTGCCATGCCATGTCTCTCTTTGAGGCTCTTGGAAGGCCGAAACCCGTCTCGTCGTGTCCCCCCGCATCTACACACATCCCTGGTTACATCTCGGTTCTTCTCGGTTCATCTTGCTGGCACGCGAAGTTCCTCAGACAGACAGGATCATCTGTGTCGATTTAGGTCTCATTTGTAGGTTACTATTCTCAAACACTCCCCTCCCCACAGCACAGCACACACAAACACCCCCATCCGCCCATTTGTTTAAATCAGCTCGACTCGACCCTGCCTCCGAAGGAGCACATGGCTCCTATGTCCCCCCACCCGTGTCTCCATCCCCCATTCTCGTCGTCACTCCTCGCCCTCCACCAACCCACAGGGTACTCATGTGGAAGGACGGGTACTTGGTCCCTCCCCTGTCCGTATCTCCCGCGCCCGTGTCTTCCCCTTCCCATCTCTCCCACCCCCCATCCTCTCCTCCGGTCGCCCTCCACCAACCCACAGAGTGCGCATGTGGGAGGACGGGTACCAACCCAGTCCCTCACGCGGACACGGGGCTGGACCACCAGTTGTTACTTACTTTCCCCCCACTCCCTCCCATGCCCCCCCTCCCCCCCCTCGATCTTCCTCATCGCCCCCTCCTCGTTTACCAACCCGCAGGGTGCTCATGTGGGAGGACGGCTATCTGGTCCCTCACGCCGTGCTCAAGAAGCTGGAAGATCAGATGGCACGGTTGCGCAATGGCTTACCCCAACTCCACGCATGTCTCCCCCTCCCATGCCCCACCCTCCATGCCCCCCCCCCTCCCATGTCTCGCCTTCCCATCCCCTTCGCACTTCACAGGGTGCTTATGTGGGAGGACGGGTACCTGGTCCCTCACGCAGTGCTCAAGAAGCTGGAGGACCAGATGGCACGGTTGCGCAATTCGGCTTCTAGTGGGGGTGGGGGCGGCAGCAGCAGCCGCCAGGCAGACGCTGTACCCGCTTTAGACGAGCTCTGTTACGACTGGAAGCAGCTGCACGCCACGTATCTGAAGTTCTCGTACCAGATCTATAACTACGGCGAAGGGTATGCTTGCTTGGGAGGGTTATGGGTTGGGGCTTGGGGCTTGGGTTGCAAATGTTATAGGGGTTTGATGTTAGTTCGCTGGGAGGAGGAGCTGTGTTGCGACTGGAATGCGGGGGACTGCACTTCTGAGGCGCCTCGAAAGGCTAGTTTTGAGGCGCCTCAAAACTAGGCTTGGGGCTTGGGTTGCAAAGGTTATGGGGTTTTGAATCTTGATGTTAGTTCGCACGGAGGAGGTGCTGTGTTGCGACTGGAATGTGCGGCACTGCACTTCTGAGGCGCCTAGAAAGGCTTGGGTCGCAGGGAGTAGGGGGGTTTGATGTTCGTTTGGTAGAGCCGAGTTGCGACTGGAAACAGCTGCACTGCACACCACGTGGTTGGGGCTCCTCCACCAAATCTGGAAGTAGTATCTTTGGTACCAGGGTTGGTATCAGATTTGTAAAGACAACACAGGGCTGGGTGGGTTGCTATGATGGAATCTGGAAAGCTGGGGTTGGGGGCTTTGGTTCTGGGGAATAAGGGACGTTGGTTGGCGTTTGCTCAAAAGAGCTCTGGTACGACTGGAAGTAGCTGCACTGCACTGCATCCGCACAGCTCACCTCAACAGGCTCTCCCGCTAGATTGATATTATGGCGATTTTGAATCGAGACTCATGGATTGGACGCTCGTTTAGGGAGATCCGGTATGAGTGGAAGTAGCTGTGCAGCTCGTGTCAAGTTTTTGTTATGGCGAAGGGTAGGGACCGGTTACGCTTTCAAGGACAGGGGCCGAGCTTGCAGCAAGTTAGGGTTTCTAACGTTCCGTTTGGAGCCGAGCTGATTTGGAAGAGAGTCAGACTTGGTGTGCCCCAAGAGTGGCCTTTGCTCATTCTTTCTGCCTCTTCCCTCACTCCCTCCCTCTTCCGTCCCTTTGCTCCCTCGCCCTTCTCTCATCCTCTCCTTTTCTCTCCGCCAGGCTGGTGGGCGTGAGTGTGGCGTCAGAGGCAGCAGAGTGGGTGTACAGTCATGCCAAGTACCATGCTGATACACTCAACTCCGTGCAGAGCCAGGTGTGTGCGAGTGTGTGTGTAGTGAGTGACTGCGTGTTTGTGAATGTGTGTGAGGCAGCAAATCGGGTGTACATACAGCCATGCCAAGTACCACGCTGAAACACTCTCTTTCTCTCTCTCTCCCTCGCCCATCTTCCCATTCCCCCCCCCGTCTCCCCCCCATGCAGCATCCACCTGGTTGGGCCGAACACTTTGCTTCTGGCATCAAGGTCCGTCGCCTGTCTTCCTGCCTGTTCCCTCTCACATATCTTGTATCGTATCCCTTTCCTTGCTCTCTCATCTCTCATGCCCTCGTACCACTCACTCACTCTCTTGCATCACACAGCACCTCTATTTCTCTCACTCTCTAAAAATCTCTCGCTTCTCCTTCTCCACGTGTGTTGTACACCCCGCCTGCAGACCATCGCCATAATCCCAGTCCCTGGCGGGGCTGTTCAGCTGGGCTCTGTGCTCCTGGTACGTCCTGTGGTATGGTGTGGTGCGGTTTGGCGTGGTGTGATATGGTGCGGTTTGTTGTGGGGTGGTGTGGCTTGTTGTGTTGCACACGGTCAATAAAACCACTCCCGCCGGTACTGGTACGTACGCCCCAGTAGGCGACACAGGGCTGTGTCTATTCCTCTCTGAACCCTCACATATCAACATGATATTTACTTGACTCTGAAATTATAATATCCCACTAATTCCCTCCCTCCCCTCCCAGCCCCCTCCCCACTCTCTTTTCCCCACAACAGATCAAGGAGGACCCGAGCATTTCACAGGGGCTTAAAGAGAAGTTCGAGCAGCTGCAGAAGATTCCAGGAGTCTTCCTCCCGGATTTCATTCCAGAAACGTCCACCACACCTGCAAGCATCGCCAAACCACTACCCATGCCACCCTCCCACTTCCCCCCCCATCCCTCATCCCCATCTTCCCATGCTCCCTCCGCCTCTCCTTCTCATTCTATCGCCTCCTCCCCCCATCCTTCCACGCGCCATCCCCCCTCCATCGCCCACCCACCTTCGTCTAGATTGAGCCAGAAATCTAGACCGGGACCTCTTAGATTTGATCCGCCGAGATCTGATTCTCCCAATCGGACCACGCAGCGAGCCTTGGCGCAGCTGTCCATCCTGGGCTCGCCGTCAGGTTCGGCAACCGTACCTGCTATTCCGCCTGCTGCTACCGGAGCTGCCGCTTCCGCCGCACCTATGGCAAGCTCTCAGTCGCCGGCCAATCGCAGGCTGACACCTGGCGTGCGCTCGCATTCCCTCTCAGCAGCCGATGTTCTAGCAGTCTTGACGCGAGGAGGAGGAGCAGGGGGAGGAGCAGGCGGGTGGGGAGGAGGGGGAGAGGGGAAGCAGAGTGAGTTGATGCAATCTGCAGCAGCGGATATGGTCCGTGCCTCATCGGCAGGAGGACCCGTGCGGATGCAGCAACAGCAGCAGCAGCAGCAGCAGCAGCAGCTGGAGCAGCAGCGGTCAGAGCAGCAGAGTCTCCGAATTCAAGCATCTCGCGGTTCCTCCCCCTCTCCCTTTGCCCAGTCCCCCTACGGTTCCCCCCGGCCCCACCACAGCAACAGCAGCCCCACACACACCACCACCAACATCAATACCACCACCAACACAAACACAAACACCAACACCAACACCAACACCAACACCACCACTAGTGCGGCCTCCTCACCCCGCTCCCGGATGAGCTGGGGAAGCGGGGGAGAGAGTGGGGGAGGAACGGGGGGTGCTGGTGCTGGTGGGGGTGGGGGTGGTGCGAGAGAGAGGTTGTGTGGGGGCGGTGGCAGTGGCAGCTTGAAACGGCCTCTGGAGGAGGACAGTGGTGGGGCAGAGGAGATGGATTGTGCTGGGTTGAGTGGCAGTGCCGCAGAGTCAGGAGGGCGGCGAGGGGGGAGTGCGAGAGACGGAAGTTTAGCAGAGGGGATGGTTGGGGCTGATGCGTCCGCCGGTGGTGATGGTGGTGCTGCTGCTGGTGGTGGTGGTGGGGGGGTTTCCAGGCAGGGGTCAGGAGGGGCGAATGGGCAGGGACAGGGTGCAGCAGGAGGGGAGACTTGCACTGGTGCTGCCAGTGGGGAGGAAGGAGTACAAGCAGGAGCATCAGGAGGAGGGGCAACAGGGTCAGCGCAAGCAGCACCGACGAGAAGGCAAGGCAGCTTCGGATCAGGCGGACTTGAGAGTCTAGAAGCCGCCTTTTCTCCCTTTGATTCGACGCAAAGACAGAGCCTCGGGGCGGCATTTGCAACGTTTTCGACATCGGAGGACGAGAGGAGGCGAGCAGAGGAGCAGTTTCGCAAGCTGGCCAGGCAGGCTGAATTCAATGACCCCTCTCTGGCCGCTGCTGTCAAACTCTCCCGCGCTGCGATGAGCCGAGGCTCCTCAGGTGAATTCTCAGGTGCTCCTGCTGGTGCTGCTGGTGGTTCTGCTGGTGCGTCTGCTGGTGGGACTGCTGGTGGGCTGGTTTCGCCAGGTGGGAGTGGGTCCAAAGCGGTAGACTCCTCCCCACGGGCGCCTATGGAGGTGACGAGTGCTGGGGATAGGTTGGACGCGATTCTGTCCCCTGCGTTTCTATCACCTTCGATACAGTCACCTACACTGGGTGGATTCGGGGGAGGGGGTGGAAGCGGGGGTTTGTTGGCACAGCAGGGCCCTCTGAGGAAGCGGCGTGCAACCCCGGAGTTGCATAGGAGACTCAGCCGAGAATCGTTCCCCGACTTTGATCTTGATGCTAGGTCCCCTGGCGCTGCTGCTGCTGCTGCTGCCGGTGTTGCTGCTGGTGGTGGTGCTACTGCTGCTGCTGCTGCTGCTGCTGCTGCCGCTGCTGCTGGTGGTGCTGCTAGTACTGCCTCTGCTTCCCCTGCAGCATTCGCACCACCGGGCTCGGGGGATCCTACCCCGAGCCTCCTTCGCGGGCCTGGAAGCAGGCTCGGCACCCCACTCAACCGAAGCTCGTCCTTAGGTCTGGGACCGGGAGTGATGACGCGGCGGCTGGACCCTTCATCCGCTGCTGTTTCCATGTCTGGAGGTCCGGCAGCGAGCGCAGCAACGGCAGGAGGTTCAACCAGCCTCGGCAAGACACCCAGCCTCGACAAGTCAGCTAGCTTCGGCAAGGCAGCTAGCTCGTCTGAAGCGGGAGGTTCGGAAGGTGCTTCCGATCCTGTTCCCGCACCTTCGAAAGAGGCTATGGCGCTGGCGATCCTAGGGCAGATGATGGCCGGCGGCGATCTAACGGCTCCTGAGGTGCATGTGCTGGCCACTCAGATCACCAAGAGGGCTCAGAAAGAATCCCAGGCGGGTTCTTCTGGGGTATGTAAAACTGGGGTAGGTAGAACTGGTGTGGGTGGGTCTGGAGCTATAGAAGGGACAGGAAGGGGAGGAGGAGCAGGGGGGGTGGGAAGAAGTAATGGCGGTGGTGGGGGAAGAGGAGGAGGTAGAGGAGGAGGAGGAGGAGGAGGAGGAGGAGGAGGAGGAGGAGGCGGAGGGGGAGGAGGAGGATGTGGGGGAAGGGCAGGAGGAGGGGCAGCAGGGGGCGGTCTGGACGGGATAATCAAGATGTTGGGGAAGCAGGCGGGGGCAGCAGCTCTAGCTGCGCGGCTTAGAATGGAGCTGGATGCAGCTGAGGCAGGCTCTGCTGGGGAAGGTTGTGCTGGGGAAGGGTCTGCTGATGAAAGAGGTGGGGGCGGTACTGCCGTTGCTGCTGATGTTTCTGGTAGGTCTGCTGCTACTGGTGTTGCTGCTGGTGTGGCAGCGGCAGCAGGAGGAGCATCAACAGGAGCAGGAGGAGGAGCAGCAGCAGCAGGAGGAGGAGGGGTAAAGCGGCCTTTGAAGGCTGGTGATCCTTCCGAAGCTGAGAAGCAGGTTCAGGCATTGCTGCAGCGGAAGCTGAATGAAATGGCAGCAGGCTCGGCGCAGGCTCGGAAAGCCCTGCTGGATCGGCTGAAGGTAGAGGTTGCCGAACGAAGGAAGGCGCTGAGTTCGAAGAGAGAGGGGGGTGAAGAGGAGGAGGACGAGGAAGAGGATGGTGAGGATGAGGAGGAAGAGGAGGATGGTAGTGATGGTAGCGATAGTGGTGGGTCTGACGGGATAGACCGAATGATTGGTGGTGTAGGCACGGCAGCAGGTGTGGAGGGAGGAGCGGGGAGAGGCGTGGGGAGAGGAAGGGGAGGGAGTTTGGCAGGAGGTGTTGGGAAGGAGGTGAGGATGGGAGGGGTAGCCAGGGCAGTGGGAGGGCAAGTAGGTGGTAATGGTGGTGGGAGAGGAGGGGTGTGGAAGGTGGAAGATATGGGAGGGTGGAGCACAGGGCTCGATACAAGACAAAATGGAGCTCAAATAAACAGCCACCTGGGCGGCAACCATTTGGGCGGCAGTCACATGGGCGGCAGTCACAATTCGGGCGGCAATCACTTGGGCAACACATTGTCATCTACAGTTGATGTGAAACCGGGTGTGCTGTCTCACAGTCAAGGCACAGGCCATTCTACAGCGGCCTTACTGGCCAATCATGGGTCAACACCTGGAAGCGCTTGGGACGGTGGCCTTGGACTGACCAGTCTAACAGGACTAGGAGGGGCGGGAGGGGGAGGGGGAGGGGGAGTGGTAGGGGGAGGGGCAGGAGGAGCAGGGAGTGGAAGAGAAGTGGAAGGAGGGGGAGGGGGAGGGGGAGGGGAGAAGGTGCAGGTGGGAGGGGAGGATCTGCTGATGATGGAGGTGGGGGATGTTGACATGTGGGGCTCTGGGGGGGACTCTGCGCTCCCAACGCCTCGTGCAACTGCTGGTCACGCCGCTGCTGACACTCACACTCATGGCGCTCTTTTGCTGCCAGAAGGGGAGCTGCCCCCGTGGCAGGAGCAGCAGGAGGAGCTGCAGCAGCTGGACCAGCAGGGGCAGGGGCAGGAGAGGGGAGTGCAGCAGCAGGGGTTGGAGGATTTCAGCATGTTTCTAGACGATCTGGATTTGGGTGTGGAGCTGCCTCCTGACCTTCACTTTGCATCCGCATAGTACACTTTGCATCAGCATAAGTACTATTTCCAGTTTAAGTTATAGAGCTCTGGCGAAAAGGCATGTAGAAACAAGTGCGGTCCGACAGATAGGACCCCGCCTACATTTAGATGGAGCTAGTTTTGGCAGGTGCTTATTCCTCTTCTAGGATGATATTGCTAATTACTAATGGTAGAAGGATCTGACATAGGCCCATGCCATATGTAAGCATGCCACAGAAATATGGTCATCATTTCGGGGCCAGTAGGGCTAGAATGGTGAGAGGGGTAAGAGAGATGGTTCTAGATCCCACTCCCACACCTGTTGAAGGGCTGGACTGGAGCAGAATTTGGCTGGCACTTTGTTTGTCTTGTTCCAGGGTCATACCATAGTGCATTTGCCGATTGTTCTGATGTAAGTTCCAGGTATGTCAGCAATATATTCTACTCTGACATTCCATTGGTAATACCGTAGGTAACTGTTTCTCCTGGTAGACTGATACTGTAAATATCACGTTATCTACAATATCCACATTATCTCCTGTCCATGATCTGCTAGAGGATACCTCCCCACTGTACACAGTATCTTCGTTACAAGTCTCAAGCGGAGTCCTTGCCACCGCCAAAGCCGTCATGGTCGAATTCCACTCCATCGAGATGCTTCACATCACCCCAGTGGAGGACACGCCACGTGTGATCAGCAGACAGGCGGACGACATTGATCGACGCGTTGATGACCCCCATGGACGAGTCATGCCCCAGCGCATAGCGATGCAGCGCCATCATCACGGCACCATGACAAACAACAACCACGCGCTTGCCTGAAATCATGGAAGATAACACGAGCACCGCAGATCGTCCCAGGTTGTACACAGAATTGAGTAGCGGGAGAGAGGGAGTCAGGGCAGCGAGTGAATGAGGGGATGGAAGCGAGAGGAACAGAGCAGAGACACCTAATTGGGAGGCTACCCTCGCTCGTTCACTTTTATTCCCGTCGAGTTTCAACACCATCTCGAAAGCAGGGGAAGGGAAAGAGTTGCCACAATTTACAATGTCTAGCTTGGCTCACCGCGGTGACGGCGAGCGATCTTCTCCACGGTCTTGCTCGTCCGCTCGACCAGTTGAGCCATGCTCTCCCCGCCGCCCTGAAACCGTCGACGAAGAGACAGAGGCAGCGTTGAAACGAAATGAGCAATTAGTCGCCGCAGGATGGCGTTCCTCAGTTGTCGAGACGATGATAAACGCGCCCCCCCCTAACATGTCGTTTGTTTTAGCATGTACTAACTCGTTGCGTAGTAATTAAGAGCCGGCAGACGGTAAAGGGCGACCGGGTCGGCGGTGCGCTTACAGGAATGGTGACAGTGGGATCCGACGACTGAAACGCCTTAAACGCCTCGGGCTGTTTGAAAGGCGCCTCGTGGGCCAGACAGCCCTGAAGGTGTCCGATGTGGCGCTCGCGCAGATCCGTGTCCTTCACAATCCCCGGGAACCCCGCGCGGTCCGCAATGGCCTGCGCGGTGTCCGAGGCGCGTCGCAGATCCGACGCGTAGATGGCGCAGAAGGGAAACTCCCACGTGGCGAACCGCGCCGCGACCTGCACACGCGCGTTGCAAGAATGTAAGTGCGCCGTACGGCTGAAAGAAAACCAACGAAGACCTCCGTTTCCGGAAAAACTAGTAGGGGACAAATGGGCACAAAAACGAGTAACCATACGAACAAATAACTCACACAATAGAAACTCTCTGGACAAGAACGGAAAGCGAAGGGATTTGCGATGAAACGTACAGCTTGAGCTTGCGCGAGGCCCGCGGCGTTGAGTTCCGTGTCGAGCTGGCCCTGCAGGCGGTGGTCGTGGTTCCAAAACGTCTCGCCGTGCCGCACCAACACCACGTCCGTCGCATCCGCCGGAATCGGCGCCGTGGGGTCATACACGTAGCCTTCCTCGTAACTCGCCGGCTCGGTGACAACAGCAGTGGCCTCGTCGGAGAATGTCTTATCGAGGATGGCGCGGTCGAGCTGAGAGGCGAAAAAAACCTGACGGAAAGAATTGACAGCTGCGGGACCATCGATGGATTCGTGATGGAAATCCGACGGGTGGATGAAGAGGCTCCCGCTGCTGACGTCAGGCATCAGCATCGCAGTAGGGCCGGACGCGTCTCCCATGGGAGGAGCCATTTATACAGGAATGGATTGAGAGAGATGAGAGGATATTTGAATGCGAATGTACGTGCTATGGCGGTATTTACAATTACAGAACTTCGTGGTATATACAAGAGCCTGAAGGAAGCGGTGGGTTCACTGACTCGATCACGAGCAGTGAAGAGTGGGTGCAGTCAGGCGCGTTGGACCACGCGAGGGGTGTAGGACCAGGCAACGTGTTCTGGGGTGTATGGACAAGACGGAGGCTGTGAGAGCAGAACGGAGGTGTAAAACTGTGTAAACCACGCTGCCTGATGGTCTTCTGGAAAATGAAGCCGTCCATTTATGCTGTTAGCTGGTTTGCTCCCGTTCAGTGCTAGAGTTCCATGCACAACCACACCGGGAAGTCAGACATAGTGCGACTCGACACTTCCTGTTCAATTTTGAATGAGGTGGTCGCCTTTCCTTTCCTTCAACAAACGACAGCTGGGGTGCGTCGGGTTCAGGGAAAGGTTTGAAGGTGGGAAAGTTTCCAAATGCTTCCAGCTCTCGCTGAGTGCAATGCAAATGCCCAGAAAGAATGTGCCGTAATGTCCAAGTAGTAGTGTAAATAAGAGAATTACTTGCTTCATCCATGTTCTTGACGGGCAGGTAAAATATGGATCGTGTGAACAGAAAATTCGGGAGACAATACGTTTGGAGCTTTGATGCGCCTCGCGAGAAAACTGCCCTTCATTGGTCAACATACACGCGAAGAACGTTCTTGAGGATTTCAAACAAATGAATGAGCGCCACGAAAGCCTTTTGGAGAGGAGAGTGGGTTTCCACAAAGCATGGACGAATCACTTCAAGCTGGTTGCACGTGATCCTTAAGCGGCCACTCTAGAATCACCACGCGGAGAAGTACTTTCCACCAATGGAAACTAAGAACAATAGGGAGTGTTCTTATACGTCGCTGACTTCTTCTGTAGGAGATTAATATCAAAACCGGTACACGTAGAAGCAGCAATGTCAACACCGATATCATTATGCTACACTAAGATACCGACTCCACCACCTGTACAGTATCGGTGTCTGCAGCAGGCGTACACCTACACGCTGACCAATCAGCGATGTCGTTACCGTGAAGCATTCATCACCTCGAGAACTCCGTGGACTCGGGGGCACTGCCTGGCAAGATTCTCCTGAATCTCGGGAGTTGGAACTTGGGGAGTCTGGGAGGGAGGAACTTGAATTACAACTTGAACGCGATCTATTTTCCTCCACAAATCCATCCATTCTCTGTTTCTGCTGTTTTCTACGTTCGAGACTTGTAGTACCCACCAACAGCGCATAGCCGTTTCCTTCATTGAGCGTAGGACGATCGACGACTTGATCGGTCACGCTCTGTTGTTTAGCTGTGGACATCGAATCCAGACATGGCTGGCCAGGTGCGTGTTGAGATCCTAATCCGGAATCCGAGACAGCCCTCATGACTCGCCGTGGATTACACACATTCATAGCTTTGTTCAGTTTCTCTATTCCCTCTTTATCGCGTACGTTGATGGTTTCGCTAAATCAACGTTCTATTAGGTATTATCGCCCCTTTCTTACTCCAGCCTTATTTCAATCCTGCAACATCCCCTCCCACTTCTCCCTGCAATCTTCTCTCGCCACTGGGTCCCACCGTCTCTCTCGAATCCCCGTCGCCAGGTGTGTGTGGTAACCGGGGGTCGCGGTTTCGTCGGTCGCTGGCTAGTTCGCAAGCTGTTAGCGACGGGCGAATGGAGCACGGTGCGAGTGGTGGACATGGCCCCCGAGCTCCGGCTCACGGACGATGAGGCTAACGGCGAGGGCGAGGCGGGGCTCGTGCGGGACTCGGCGCGCAGCGGACAGCTGGAGTACATCTCCGGGAATGTCTGCGATCGGACGGCCATGGTTAAAGGTGAGTGTGATCGGACGGTTTGTGTGACAGACGTGCGCGATCGGACGGTCGGTTTCACAAATGCGTCCGATCGGTTACAAAAAACTCTTGCGGACCTTAGATCGTTTCTCGTTTCCGTCAGCTGAATGTGTGATGAGGAGGATGAAGAGCGGAGCAAAGGAAACAACAAAGACCTTTGTATTGGATGGTTCCCCGCGTGCATGACTCGCAAACTGACGCACTTTTGGCCTTTGGCCAAAGACCTTTGGCCTCTCTCGCCACTCGCATAGATTCTCACCGCTTCTTTCTGGAGCCTGATTGTACGTTTGCATCCCTGTCCAGTACTGCTTGCTTCCTTATTCAAAAGCTTCTCCTGTGTTGCCTGTCCTGGAATGAATGAATGACTGACTGGTTGAATGAATGGATGGATGGATGAATGAATGAATGAATGAATGAATGAATGAATGAATGAATGAATGAATGAATGAATGAATGAATGAATGAATGAATGAATGAATGAATGAATGAATGGGTGAGCAGCTTTCCAGGGCGCGTCGGCGGTGTTTCACATGGCGTCGCCCAACCACGCCCTCACGGATCTCGCTCCGCACTACACTGTCAACGTGCTCGGTACGTATCTTGCTAACCCTGGTGACTTTTGATTCGACTCAAAAGTCCAACCACGCCCTTACGGATCTCGCTCGCTCCCCACTACACTGTCAACGTGCTCGGTACGGATCTTGCTAACCCTGGTTGCTGCATCTGATTATGGTTCCTTCTCCATCTTGACGCGCCCATGCACCAGGTGAGGATGGTTCAACATTCGGTTATTCACACACTTCTATTCATGTTATCTTGTAGTGTATTAACTGAACTTTCTGCTTTTGCTCCAAAAGTGTACACCACTTTGACCATGCTCTTATCCAAGAGCCTCCCTCGCCCCTCTTCCCCTCCCCGCCTGACAGGCACGAAGAACGTGATTGCGGCGTGCCAGGAGGCCGGCATGCGTCGTCTCATCTTCACAAGCCCTGCTTTTGAGAATGCCCAGAAACACCCTCACCCGCCTCCGCTTCCTCCCCCTCCGCCTGTCAGGCACGAAGAACGTGATCGCGGCATGCCAGGAGGCCGGCGTGTGTCGTCTCATCTTCACCAGCTCGGCCAGCGTGGTGTTCGACGGGCGGCACTGTTGTTCAGGATCCATCACTTTGCGAACTTACGACGAACTCATTACTCAACTAAACACAAATCCGCTCGGTAGGATTGTGCGCCTTAGGCTTAGCTACCATCTCCAAGTTAATCAGTCGTTAAGATGGTCTACAGAGTGAGAACCGAGTAAAAACGTCCAGCAGCTGCATGACTAGAATGGTGGAGGAAGTACAAACATTAAGGCATAGAAAGTTGGAGTTGGGAATCTCCAAGAGAACCATGAGAGGGAAGGGGTTCTCCAAGAGCTAGGGAAGGATGGTAGGAACCTTCCTAGCAGCAAGGATGCAACCCTCATCATGAGGTCCTTGATGTGTCACATGCAAAATCCAATCTACCGTATGGCCCCGGATATAGGCGCCGGCCTATTACAAGCGCCGGCGCTTTTATCTGGAGCATGGCGCTTATGGCCGTTCCTCGATTATAAGCGCCCCCCTTAAAAATGCTTTACTTATTATAAGCGCATGTGTAATTTAAATTTTAAATATTGCTTAGAACATTAACGAGATTCATTTTTGCAGCGAGTCATATTTCAATTTCGCTTCGTTTGACTCTCGAAGACCTGACTGGCTGCGCGTCCAGTCAGGATGTGCTGGCATGACGTGTGTTTTCCTCTGAGTGCTGGCAGAATATCGCTCGCGCGCGATTCTGCTTTGTGACGCCAAAAAAAATCGACTCGGTTGAAATGGCAAAAAGAAAATGAAACAATTTGGTGCTCTAAATGTATAATTTTGTTTTGTCATTATATAAGCGCCGGCGCTTATGGCCGTTACTCAATTACAAGCGCCACCCCCTAAAAAAATGATTTTATTATAAGCGCATATGCGCTTATATCCGGGGCCATACGGTAGTTGGATTTTGCCTAGGTGTTGCAACATTTGCAACCCATGCTAGAAACTTCTAGCCACCCCAATCCAAAAGTCAAAGTTGCCTTCCCTAACCACCCAACCAAAGATCCCTTTATAGTCATGTCCAAGTAATCACCCAATTTAGATATAACCCCAAAATGTAATAAGAAATCCAAGTCTTGGAAATCTTGTAACTTGGGCGATCTTGGTCGGAATAAGGCGATCTTGGTATCGTTGGAAAGCTCTGGATTTCTCCTGCATGATCAAGCATTTAGACTTGGAGAAAAAACACAGAGATGATAATATCCAACAGCCATGCACAATGACATATGCTCATGCAAACAATGCACGCATGAATAGCACGAGCACTCGGCAGGACGTTAGGATGACATGCACTCAGAATGACGTGCATCCAACAAACTCCCCCTCAGACTAACGGACTGCATGCACACACAATCACACATGCACTCATGACACTGCTGCCCACACTAGTGCAATGCCATGCCACACATCTTAGCACACTTCCAATGTGCGCTCTCGGGAAGTCTTTTGGTGAGAAAATCTGCCGCCTGCTTGCTAGCCTTCACATGGTGAAGCTTAACAGCTCCCTCCTTCACCATCTGCCTCACCCAGTGCCACTTAATCTTCATGTGCTTGTTCAGCCCATTCAGGATAGGATTATTGGCCATGCCAATAGCAGCCTCGCTGTCGGAGAAAAGTGGTGTAGGTCCCTGCTGTTTAGCTCCCATGTCCTCCAGCAGCTTCCTCAGGAGCACAATCTCCTTGATGGCATGGTACATCGCCATATACTCTGCCTCTCCGGAAGACTGAGCAATCTCACTCTGCTTCTTGGACCTCCAGCTCACTGGTCCACCTCCGACCATGCACACAAAGCCGCCAACCGATGATTGATCCTCATCCTCTGAGGCCCATGTGGCATCGGTGAAGCACGACAGCTTCAAGGTTCCAGGCGTGACCCCATCTGCTCCAATCTGTTTCAGCTGGCCGCCAGCTGAAAACTGAACACCAGCAGATGCCGTTGATCCGAGGTAGCGCACCAAGCGCTTTGCCACCTCTAACTGCTCCTCAGTGGGCCGCTGCACAACTCTGGCCAGCTGCCCCACTCCGAATGAAGCATCAGGTCGCGTATGCACTGCAGCATACATCACACTCCCAATGAGTGACTGGTACTCATTCTGCTGCTCATCCTCGAGTACATCATCCTCCTCAGCTGCCTTCTTCAGTTTGAAGCCCGCAGGGAACGGTGTCATCACAGTGCGACCCCCAGTCACACCATACCGCTCCATGACACCAGAGATGTAGTGTGACTGATGCATCTTCAGCCACCTCCTCTCAACATCCCTCTCAATCTGCAGCCCCAAGTAGGAGTGGACATCCCCCAGCATCTTGTACTTGAAATTGTCCGTCAGCAGCTTCTGTGTCCTCTCAATCTGCTCCATGGAAGGTGAGAACAGCAGTATGTCATCGACATACACCAGCAGCAAAAGCAGCTGCTCCCCCTCTCCAAGCAGAAACAAGCTGTGATCCGCCTGGGACGTCTTGAAGCCTCCACCCAGCAGCACCTCCTCCAGCTTCTCGTACCAACACCTGGGCGCTTGCTTAAGGCCATAGATGGCATTTTTAAGCTTGCACACCCGGCTGGTCCCATCCTCATAGCCGTCGGGCTGCACCATGTAGATATCCTCCAGCAGCACTCCATTGAGGAACGCAGTGGTGATATCCATCTGTTTCACGTGCCATCCCTTCACAGCTGCGCCAGCCATCAAAGTCCTCAGTGTCACTGGCTTAGCAACGGGAGCGAAGATCTCCCCAAAGTCGACCTTCTCTTTCTGCTGAAACCCCTTGGCGACCAAGCGGCTCTTGAACCGCTCCAGCGCACCATCAGCACCACTCTTCACCTTGAAGACCCACTTGCTGCTGATCGGCCGTCGCCCCTCAGGTAACTCAACAAGCTCCCAAGTCCCATTCTCAATGAGACTGTTGAACTCCGCATCCATGGCAGCCTTCCACTCCTCCTTCTGGGGTCCACTCAGTGCCTTCTCCACTGTGGCTGGTTCTCCAGGCAAGGGTGTGAAGAAACAGAAGGCCATCTCCTCATCCTCTCCCTCATCCGCCTGAACCGCCATAGCACCTTGCTTGGGTCCTCCCAAACGGCTATACTTCAGCCTTGAGGGTGCTGCTGCCACTCTCTTCTCGCGGGTTGCAGTCTGCTGCCCATGTGGTGAAACTCCTCTCTGCACACTCCTCTTGGTGACCTTGGCATTTGCAGCAGGCTCGGGCTGAGTTGGTGAGTCCATACGTGCCGACTCATCCTCCAACCCCTCCTCCGCAGTTCAGAAACTTGCTGCTCACCACCGCCACTGTGGTCACTAGTCAGCTCTGACCCAGGGAGATCCTCAAGGTGCAGCTGAACCTCCTCCACTGCAGACCGCTCAATCTCCTGCAGACGCAAGCCAATCTGCACCTGCTGCTGCTGCTGCCAGTCCTTGTACATGACGTCCTCCACAAACTTGACGTCACGGCTGACCAGCATCTTCTTGCTCTTGGGGTCCCACATCAGCCACCCCTTCGAGTCAGGAGCCATCCCAAGATGGACAGCCCACACAGCAGCAACTTCCAGCTTGTGCCTCTGCTCCTTAGGCACCATCACAAGCCCCATGCAGCCCCACACCCGCAGCATGTCAATGGATGGCTTCTTCCCAAGCCAACGCTCGTACGGCACCCAGTGCTTGTCGCCAACATGTGTCAAGACCCTGTTCTTGACCGTGATGACATGGCGAACAACTTCAGGCCAGAACTTGTAGGGCATCCCAGCAGCCCCCAACAAGGTCTTAGCCGCCTCGCCAATGGTCCGGTTGGCACGCTCAGCAATGCTATTCTGCTGCGGTGTTCCAGGGCAGGTCAGCTGATGTCGGATGCCATTTCTCTTGAGGAACTTGGTGAATTCCGCTCCAAGGAACTCTCCACCTCGGTCGCTCCTCAGCACCTTCACCAGCCGCATCGCTTGCCGCTCCACCATCGGCAACCAATCCTCCTTGATTGCCGCTGCAGCATCGCTCTTCTTGGACAAGGGACGTGCCCATGTGAAACGGCTCCATTCGTCCACCATTGTGAGGAAGTACAGCACTCCCCCAGTCCCCTCAGTCCTCATAGGACCCACCAGGTCCATGTGCACCACCTCCAGTGGCGCCTTCGCTGATCCCTCCGCACGTGGAAACGGGAACCGCGCAAACTTGTTTTGCATGCACGCCTCGCAGCTGCCATAGTGAGCGCCATCTCCTTGCAGTTGCAGGCCGTGCACGCACTTCTCCTTGTGCATCACCTCCAATGTTGAAACAGCCACGTGTGCGAGCCGCCGATGCCAAGTCTCCCAATCCGCTTGGCCCGAGGTAGCCGACGCCTTCACCGCCGCACTTCCTCCAATCAGCTCCTCTCCTTGCACACCTTGCTGCTCCTCCTCGGTGACGCTCTCCTCCATAGATGCCGCCGCTGCCGCCTTGCCCGATTTCCGCCAAGGGAGGACCGGGATTCTCCGCCCTTTGTGCTCGTCGCACGCACCCCACTGTGCCTCACCCGTCTTTGATTCTCATCAACCTCCAGGCTACTAACGCGTATGGCGAGACCAAGGCGCAGGCAGAGGCAATAGCCCTAGCGGCAAACGGGCAGGGGGGGCTGCTGACGTGCGCCCTGCGCCCCAGCAACAACTTTGGGCCGGGAGACCCTGACCTCGTGCCCATCACCGTTAAGAACGCTCAGAAGGGCAAACTCAAGGTGCGTGTGTGGGTGGGAAGAGGGGAATGTGCATCCGTGGAAAGGGGAATGAGGGTTTTGAGGGAGAGGGTAAGCAGGGCTGCTGACGTGCGCCCTGCGCCCCAGCAACATCTTTGGGCCCGGGGACCCTGATCTCGTGCCCATCACCGTCAAGAACGCGCAGAGGGGCAAACTCAAGGTGCGTGTGTGGGTGGGATTGTGTGTTTGCGGGACTGGGGGGCGAGAGGGAGGAGAGGGGAAGGAAGAGGGGTGCTGCGTCCCAGCAACATCTTTGGGCCCTGGGGACCCTGACCTCGTGCCCATCACCGTCAAGAACGCTCAAAAGGGCAAGCTTAAGGTGCCTGCGCTTTTCTGATGTGTGGTGATGGGGGAAAGGGAGGAGAGGGAGGGAAGGGGGGGGATATGCGTCTGCGGGAGAGGGTATGGGGCACTGCTGACGTGCGCCCTGCGCCCCAGCAACGTCTTTGGGCCTTATGAACATGGCATTTTTGAAATTTCTAAAACATTACTCCGCTGTTGTCTAATTGGACGTATATGGAGAACCTGGTGCAGCCTCGCCTCGTACCTCCCATACCCCTTGCCTCACTCTCGCACCCCACCCTTTTCCCCGTCCAACCACCCGCAGCCTTTCCCCCTTCCACTTCCGCCCCTTTCCCCCTCTCGTGCAGTTCATAGTACGCGATGGGGAGAACATGTCAGATTGGACATATGCGAGAACATATGCGACAGGTTCTGTCATATGAGCACCAGGTTGATATGTCCAACCAGGTTCTCATATGTCAAGCGGCTCATATCTGTGCTGCTTCTCCCCCATGCCCCTCCCAAGCCGCTTCATCCCCCTTTTTTTTACACTACAATTCCCCTCTCCATCCCTCCCTCTCTCCCTCCGTCCCCTGCAGTTCATAGTAGGCGATGGGGAGAACATGTCAGATTGGACGTATGTGGAGAACGTGGTGCATGCTCATATCTGTGCTGAGAAGGCTCTTAGCGAGTACAAGGGCGACCCCACCAGTGATGACTCGCCAGCTGGCAAGGTATGGTCCGAATCTCCATCCCACTCCCCACCCCCCTCCCCATCCCCCTCCCCGTCCCACTCCCTGTCCCTTGTCCTAGGTTTCAATCCCATTTATCCTTGCCGTGCCATGCCCTTCCACTTCACCTTCTCTCCCCACCACTACTGCCCCTTGCTGCTCCCATCCCACACCTCACTCTCCCATTCCACCGCTTTCAACCCATCGCAACCTTCTCGCAGGCGTATTTCATCACCAATGCCGATCCAAGGCGATTCTGGGATTTTATATTCGCCATTGCTGGAGGCTTTGGCTACAGCAGCAAGTGAGTGGGGTGATGCTAGTTGGGCAATGCTGATTCGAGAGGCGATGGTTTGTGGATTTTTTCTTTGCCATTGCTGGAGGGTTTGGCTACAGCAGCAAGTAAGTATGAGGCCATAATGTTTCAATGCTTCTTCCATCTTCTTCCCGTGTTTATGATATGCTGATTAGAAGTGTGCTTCCCATTCACCCACCTCGCATTGAGGCTTCTCAAAACTTGGCAATCGAGGCATTCAAAATCCGAGTATCTCATCGAGCACGCACAGTGCGTCCACCTTTAATGAGGTTATTTTTGAGACGTCTCAAAAATAACCTCATTACATTACATGAGGCATTTCAAAATTCGAGAATCTCATCGAGCACGCACAGTGCCTCCACCTTCCATCGCCAAGCTCCCAGCAGACATCCTCATTCCACATGCGCGTGGGATAGAGGCTTTTTTTAGGGCCTCTTTCTGAACTGAAAACTCTCTTACCGTTTCCTCCCTCCCTCCTCATCCTCCTCCCAGGCCCATCGCCAAGCTCCCAGCGGACATCCTCATTCCAGTGGCGGGGGGAGTACAGGCAGGTAGTTACAAAGACATTCCCGTCCTTCCACCCCTCTCCCTCTCCCCTCTCTTTCTCCTAACTCCCTCCCAGGCCCATCGCCAGGCTCCCAGCGGACATTCTCATTCCAGTGGCGGGGGGAGTAGAGGCCATTACAAAGGCTCTGGCCCCTCTAGGTGTGCCGCCCTCTGACTTCACTCCTGCCCGCCTGCTCCTTGCCACCCACCCCCCTCTCTCCCCCCCCCCTCCCTCCGCACTTCCATCCTCACCCCCTCCCAGGCCCATCGCCAAGCTCCCAGCAGACATCTTGATTCCACTGGCGGGGGGAGTAGAGGCCGTTACAAAGGCCCTAGCCCCTCTGGGTTTGCCCCCCTCTGATTTCACTCCTGCCCGTCTGCTCCTTGCCACCCGCTGGAGAACCTTTTCACCTGCCCGGGCGGGCAGGCTGCTGGGCTACAAGCCGGTCGTTTCAGTTGATGTGAGTAGTCGAAGGTTAGGGTTTTGGGGGTTTAGCAGTCTAGGGTATGCTAAAGTTGTAACCCCCCCCTCTCAAACCCTACATGCTCTTCCCCCTGCCCCATTTCCCCACGTGCTCTTCCCCCTGCCCCGTTTCCCCACATGCTCTTCCCCCTGCCCCGTTTCCCCACATGCTCTTCCCCCTGCCCCATTTCCCGATACAGGAAGGCCTGCAGCGCACAATAGCGTCGTACCCACACCTGCAGCGCACCACCTATGAGAAGGAGAAGGCAGCCGAGGCAGCAGCAGCGAGGGCAGCGTTCCGAGAGCACTCCTCCGTGCACAAAGCACTGGGAGGGGGCGTGGTGGCGGACCTGCTGCTGTGGCAGGACGCGAAACTGTCTCTTCACTCAACATTCCCCTTGTTCCCTTCCCTGTTCCCGCCCTTGCTCCCTGTATCAGGAGGGGTTGCAGCGCACGATAGCGTCCTACCCGCACCTCCAGCGCAGCACATATGAGAAGGAGAAGGCAGCCGAGGCAGCAGCAGCGCGAGCAGCGTTCCGAGAGCGCTCCTCCGTGCACAAAGCATTGGGAGGGGGCGTGGTGGCGGACCTGCTGCTGTGGCAGGACGCGAAGCTGTCTCTCCTCGCCATGCTGCTCGCGTGGATGGTGCTGCGTTGGGCGATTGGGCGCGTGGGAGGAACGCCGGTGGTGTCTCTTGCTGCGACTGCTGCCATGGGGTTCCTCCTGCATGCTGCCGTGCTGCACCGCGTTGCGCCCATCGCCAAGAGGTGAGAGAGGGGCACAAACGGGCTGTGTGGACTGCTGTCGTTCTCACTGGCTGCCTCTGCTGCCATGGGTTTCCTCCTGCATGCTGCCGTGCTGCACAGCGCCAAGAGGTGAGAACGTGGGATAGGTCAGTGCAGCTGCTAGTGCTGCTGCCAGTCCTACTGCCTGCTGCTGCATTCTTCTACAGGCCTGGGCTCCAAGATACGTCACCCGCAACTTATCCTGCCTGCACCCTGCACCCTCTCCCCCCCCCCCCCCCTGTTCGGGGTATCTTCTCTCCTCTGTTTGTTCACGGGTTCAGCCTGCCTCTACCTGACATGGCGGCTGTTGAGTGGCGCATTCCCGAGAAGCCAGTGGTGGACGCCAGCCAATGGGTGGCTGCCACGTGGAATGACTCTGTAGCTGCTCTGCAGGAGAAGCTGTTAGTGGAGAGGGACTGGGCCGCTGCTGGCAAGGTGGGTGGCGGTGGGGTAGAGGGGTAACGCTGGGGGGTTGGTTGGGTGGGCGATGGAGGGTGAAGCACAGGGGGGCGATGGAGGAGGCTTGTGTGTGTCTCTGCAGGAGAAGCTGGTAGTGGAGAGGACTGGACCGCTGCCGGCAAGGTGGGTGGGGCTGGGAGGCTGGTTGGGAGGGAAGAGGTGAGAGGGATGCAGGAAATGAGGAAAGGGAGGAGAGGTTCTTGTGGGGGGAAGAGCTGTCTGATGTCCTGGCTGATTTCCGAGTTGTCTGTTTTCTGAGTTGTCTGATGTCTGAGTTGTCTGATGTCTGAGTTGTCTGTTTTCTGAGTTGTCTGTTTTCTGAGTTGTCTGTTTTCTGAGTTGTCTGTTTTCTGAGTTGTCTGATTTCTGAGTTGTCTGTTTTCCGAGTTGTCTGTTTTCCGAGTTGTCTGTTTTCCGAGTTGTCTGTTTTCCGAGTTGTCTGTTTTCCGAGTTGTCTGTTTTCCGAGTTGTCTGTTTTCTGAGTTGTCTGTTTTCCGAGTTGTCTGTTTTCCGAGTTGTCTGTTTTCCGAGTTGTCTGTTTTCCGAGTTGTCTGTTTTCCGAGTTGTCTGTTTTCCGAGTTGTCTGTTTTCCGAGTTGTCTTTTTTCCGAGTTGTCTGATTTCTGAGTTGTCTGTTTTCCGAGTTGTCTGTTTTCAGAGTTGTCTGTTTTCCGAGTTGTCTGTTTTCCGAGTTGTCTGTTTTCCGAGTTGTCTGTTTTCCGAGTTGTCTGTTTTCTGAGTTGTCTGTTTTCCGAGTTGTCTGTTTTCCGAGTTGTCTGTTTTCCGAGTTGTCTGTTTTCCGAGTTGTCTGTTTTCCGAGTTGTCTGTTTTCCGAGTTGTTTGTTTTCCGAGTTGTCTGTTTTCTGAGTTGTCTGTTTTCTGAGTTGTCTGTTTTCCGAGTTGTCTGTTTTCCGAGTTGTCTGTTTTCCGAGTTGTCTGTTTTCTGAGTTGTCTGTTTTCTGAGTTGTCTGTTTTCTGAGTTGTCTGTTTTCTGAGTTGTCTGATTTCTTGGATGATTTCACGGTGCATTGGTTCCTTGCTTGCTCGTGTTCATGAATTTGTTTGTGTGTCTGCATGTGCCGTGCTATCTTGCTATTCTTCCAGGTGTTGGCGGCGCTGACTGCACTTCAACTCCTCTCCTCTTTCATCACTGTTTACTCGCTTTCCTTCCTGGGTATGCCTTTGCACTCACCCACTCTCTCACTTACATGGATTCGCGTGCATGTGTGCAGTGCGCACACGAAGGCGCATGCACTCGCACACACCACACACGCACGCACATACTTACACTCACTCTCTCTCTCTCTCTCTCGCACACACACACACACTCACACACGCACACACTCACACACACACACACAAGCACACACACACACACACTCACAGACGTGCACTCTTACATCCTGTACTGTGTCTCCTCTTCCTTTTCACTCCTCTTCCGTCATCTTTCACCCCTTTGCTCCTCATTCCTCATGTGCCAACCTCCCTCATGCCCATATGCTTCCCATGCCCCCTTCCCCCACACCAGCCCTGCTGGCAGTGTTTGTGATTCCCTCAGTGCTTGACAAGAGGCAAGGAAGCAATGCAGCAACCTCCACCAGTCAAGGCAACCAAGCATCAAACTCGAGTGTAGCCACATCATAAGCAGTCCCTTCCATACGGGCTGACACATAAGCTTTGTTATAAGCAGCGCTATTGTTAGGACAAAGCAGGCTTGTATTGGAATATCGCTAGTTACAACTAGGGAGCCATTAGCCCTTCCTAGTTGGCATTGCTGTTTTGTAATCTTACACATGTATGGGTAACATTTACTTCTTCAGAGTACACGCTTCCAGGCAATGCTCTCTTGCAAGCAGTTTTAGTTTTACAGCAAATTAGTATCACAACCATTACAGCTCAGTGGTTAAAAGACAATATTAATTACCGTACTTGATTATGCACATGACAAGCATCTAGCCTACTATACCCTACTACACTAGACTTCCAATCCCATAGCAGGCTCCACATTCTCCTTGTCATCACCAAGCATCCTCATCACTCTCCCCCTCGCACTCACTTCCTCCCCCTCCACCACTCCCCCTCCAAGTGCATGCTCACTCCACACCTCATCCCCCAGAAAACCTCTTGCTTCTCCCACATCAGCGTCCCTTCTGTAATTCCCCCTCGCAGCAGGCTCGCCCACCTCCCACATTCCCTGCTCCCTCTCTCCACGCCCTTCCACCGCCGTATCCCGCTCCCTCCTCTCTTGCATTTGCCTCTGCTCCTCCTCCCCCTGCTCCACCTGCCTCTCCTCCTCTGCTCCCTCCTCTGCTCTCCCACCCTCCGACGCTGCTCCTCTCTGCCTCCCCCCACGCCACTCCCACGCTCTCACTCGCTCCATCACCCCCCGGTCCCACCACCGCCTCCTCCCGGCCGACATCCTTCGTCTTCTCTGCATCACATCCACCTCACTAGTATCCCCTTCGATAGAGTCACCTCTGATAACATCACCTCCGATAAAGTCCCCAGCAGTGCCTGTACTGTCTCTCCTAGTCTCCACACCACCAGCCTCGTTATAATCACCTGGCATAGCACCACCATCAATAAGAGCCCGGAACGCTTGCCATGCGTACCCCTCCTGCTCCCCCTCCCCCTCCTCCCCACCCTGCCCCATTCTCACCCCCTCCCTCCATGTCTGGTGTCCCCCAATTCCTCTCCTTCCCCTCCCCTCACTCCCTCGCCCTCCCCTCCCATCTCCCTCTCGCCCTTCCGTTGAGTCGTGACCAACAGGCAGGGAGGCGCGGCAGTGGGAGGGGTGGAGGTGCGAGGGAGGGAAAGAGCAGGGCAGAGGAGAGAAGGGGAGAGTGCACGAGAGCACAGTATGTCTACGAGTAGGCAGATCCCTGTCCCTCACAACCCGCACCTTTCCCTTCAAAATACTGTCCCTCACTTTTGAGTCGCCTCCTTTTCCCCATTCTCCCTCACTCACACGCCCGCTCATGCTCCCACAACTGCTTCCCCTGCCACTGCCACTCCCCCTGCAGCTGTCCCCTCCCCTGCTCCTGCCCCTGCTGGCAGCAACTGTGCTGTAGCGTCTCCTGCTGCCAGATATAGATTCAGCTGTAGCAGTGGTAACCGCAGTGGTAACAGCAGCGGGAACAGTAGCAGCAACAGTACCAGTACTGGCAGAGGTTGCAATTAGGGTTTCACCTCCCCCAGCAGCAGCCTCCGGCCTGGATTCCTCCCACCCCCCGTTACTGTCACCCCACATCTCCGCATCTACCCTCTCCGCATCTTTCCCCCCCAGCTCCACCTCAGCTGTCATGATTTCCCTTCCCGCCACGTCAACCATCGCCGCCACGGCAGCAAAGGCTACCACGTCAGCAGACGCCTCGTTCGCAGCTGCCACGTCAGCCAGAACTGGGTCCAGCGCAGCAGCAGCACCCAACAGCTCACCGCGATGGCCAGTCACAACAGGAGCACTATCCTTCCAGCCATCTGTCGCAGCTGCAGTAACCGGGTTACCAGCTACACTCGCAGTGCCCGCTGCAGCCACGGCCTCTACAATCACATCCATCAGCTCACCCACCATCTCCGCCTTCTCCGCTTCTAACCTCGTTATTATCACATCCCGCTCCTCCCGTTGCGCATCCAGCACCCGCGCCATTGCTTCTAAGCTCGTTACATACCCCTCCTTCTCCCGACGCGCCGCGGCTAGTTCTTCCTTCAGTGAATCGACCTCCGCCACGTGGCGCCTGCGCTCCGCCGCGAGTTGCCCCTCAGCCGCCCGCAGCGCCACCATCATCTCGACCTTTCGCGCCCGCGCGATCTCCGCGGAAGCCGCGGCGTCCGCGAGTGCGGCGGAAACCGCGCGCTCCTGGCTTTCCGCCAAGGCTTCGCGTTCCGCGCGCGCGGACTCCAGCGCGCATTCCGCCTGCGACAGCGCCGCCTGCAGCTCCGCGACCTTCCACTCTAGAAACCGCGCATACTCCGCCTCCTCGCTCTCCGCCGACTGAGCTTCTGCTGCGACTGGCGCGACTGGCGCGACGCGTGCGACTGGTGCGACAGGCGCGACGGGCCTGCGAGCGACGTCGCATTCGTCGTCCGACTCGTCGTAGTCCATGTCGTCGTCATCGTCCAGGTAAACCTTCCCCTTCTGCCCCGTCAGCGTTGACCCCGTTGACCCTGCTGTCGCTGACGTGGCAACCGTCGACTTGGCAACAGGCGACGACGGCGGCGAGTTGACGTGCCCACCAGAAGCTCCGCCAACGGCGAGCCCGGCGAGATCGCACGAGCTGTTGACACGTGGCATTGACAGTACGGCGCGCGTCGTCGCCTCCGTCAGCTTGCGCTGCGTGTCCATTAGGAGCGACAGCGCTGCGTCCTTCTCCTTCATCAGCTCCTCGTTAATCGTGCGCGACTCGCTCAACGACTCGGTGAGCAGCGCGATGCGGCTCGCCGCGACCAATAGCAGCTCCCCGTTGCTCAGCCCGCTCAGATCAGGCGGCAAACTGCCGTCCGCCGCCGATTTTGCCGTCGAAGCCTCATCGCACCCATCCGTTTCTCCCAGACTGCCGGCGACCGGGTCTTGGACGGCCGGCTGTGACTCGGTAAGAGCTTCCGCGATAGTGAACAGCGAGCTGTCCGAGGGTCGCGGGGATGCGGGGAGAGAGGCGAGCGCGGGGAAGGCGAACGACGCCGCGGAGGAGCTGCGGGAACGCGCGGAAGACGCGGAGCTTCGTCCCCCTGAGGCGGAGGTGGCGGAGCCGCGCCCCCCTGACGTGGAGGAGGAGGAGGAAGAAGACCCGCGCGGGCGGAAGGAGAACGAAGACATGGACGAGCGACGCGCGCCGCCATGGTTGTTCCCATACGCGCCATCAGCACCGCCGGCACCAACGGCGGCGTCCGCTCCCGCGGAGGAGAAGGCGAAGGAGTGGCGCGCGGAGCACGCGACGAGAATGGACTCCGCTAGCGCGCGGATCGCGCTGTCCCTACGCCCGCTCGCGGTCGCGCTATCGGCAGAACCAGCTGTGGCAACGGCGGAGGAGCGGCGCACGTGGTCGGTCGCGTCCAACTGCTCGCACTGTTGGCGCAACACGAGAAGGGGGGTGATAAGCGCGTGGGGAGAAAACGATTAGCGCGTGGAAAGGGAACAACACACGAGCGAATGGGTGAAATATGTGACGTGCGGATCAAGAAGCTTGCGCGGACAGGCGGCAATAGAATGGTGCACGGGGATTAGCGATGAACGTACCAAGAGAGATCGGCCGTCAATTTGCCTAGTCGAGGCGCCGCGGGAATCGCGGTAGAAGTGCGACTCGGAAGCGGCGAACGCAGCGAACGCCTCAGCAAATCGCGAATCCACGACGACGCTCGTCGTGCCGCTCAGGGACGCGGCGCACACACTGTCGAGGGAAGACTGCGAGACACCTATTTTCAGCGTCGGAGGAAACTAGCAAAAAACTGACCGACACACGTCGGCGTTAGTAATTAACAAGTACTGAAGGCTGACCGGTCACGTTGAGCTGAAAGGCTGAATCGCGGAGCCAAAGAGCAAACTGGAATGACCAAAACCTTAGAAGCAGCGAGGACTGAAGCTAGCAGACAGAAAGGGTCACTGAATGAGGCAGAGCAAGAGAACCAGAGTGTGATGAACGAAGTCCGATCGTCGGCCTAAAATAGGTCTCTAGAATCTGTCGGGGAGAGGAAGATGCTCAGAGAATTGAGTTGGTCGGTTCGGGTCGCGTTGGCTCGGTTTGGGGGAACAAAAAACAGGGATTCTGGAAATTCGGGAGAGGTTTGGCAAGGAAAATCGTCCGTTCGGTTTGCCGTACCTCCGCTCCGCTCCTCGAGTTCCAACAGACCAGTCTCGGGCGGGGAAGAAAGAACCAGCAAAAGCGTGGGGGCGCGCGCAGGGTTCCACGGTTTGGCTCGGCGGGCCCGAGCTGGGCGCGACAAGTGCGCCCTGGCTGGCGGGGAGGGGGGGGGGGGGTTGAGCGGAAATTCATCGGGGGCGAAATGGACGGGACGGGAATCGGGATGGGCAGCTGGAGAACTATTCCGTCAATTGTCGCTTCCAAACCGCGGTCCAGCATTGCATAAGCGTTCGTGCCTCGAAATTCCCGGAAGCAATTTGCGGTCGCCGCTTGTCAAACCACTCGTGTGAGTGGTTCGATGCGGTTTGGAAAGGATAAGAAAGCATGCTAATGCATGAGCTAAATAAGAATTAGACGCATACAGCATCAGGTTTTGTTTGTGAATGGTGCAAAAGATGATGCTGTACACAATCGGAACGGAACTCAAACTCTTGCCCACATGTTGGACACTTGAATCCTCCTGCCAAACAAGGATGAGAAAAAAGGAAACAGGGGGTGACAAATAAAGCCCTACAAACATATTACAAGTTGATGTTAACCCTGTGTGCTTATGTTACGTACGAGGTGCTTCCGGTCGAAAGTAGGCATGCTGCAGAGCCTCGCGTGCGGTGATTCGGTCCCCCTGATTAAGAGTTACAATGCAAAGGATGCGTAACCACAATGCACACAGTTGAGTGGGTACGCTATTGGGATAACAAACCACGATCAGAATGGCAACCATGCGAAAGAGAAAGGAGAAAATATGCGAGGGCCATTACGACAACATTACGCAAACAAGAATCAGTGAAAAGGGGAAAAAACAGCGACACTTACAGGGTACCATTGCAGCAGTCGCCTCAGCAGACGCAGGGCCCAAATGCTAGGCAGCCTGAGGAGGGAAGAGACCGAGAGGGCGGAGGGGAGTGGCACAGGGAAGTGGTTCAGGAGACGGCACAGGACATGGGATAGGGAAATGGAGTGGAGGGAACAAGTGAACGGTGGGAGGACAAGGAGGAGTAACGATAAAGGGGCATGCGAAAGATTCCATCCATGCAGTTGACAGGGAAGTGAGTCGAATCGAAAAGGCACCGACTCTTCTAGCCGCGAGTTGGTAAGTGAATTAGCTTGTAGGATCAACATATATGTCTTGTGCAATCTTCCCTTTCCTTGACCGGATCATTCAGCTGCCCAGCAGTAACTTCTTATTCGACTCAAAAGTCACCTCGCTGGTAACAAAAAACCCTGATCAAATAACACTGAGGGATCTCGTGTGGTGTAACCCTTTTGAGAATTCTCGAAACTGAACAGCAAATGATCTCGTGCGCTCTTACCCTTTCTTGAGCGGGTCCCTCAGCTTCAGCTGTGCTGCAATGCTCGCCTCGCTGCACTCCCATGGCGCCACCACACTCCACCCCTCGGCACCGCTGCCACTGCTGCCACAACCACTAGCACTGCTGCTACCACCAGCCTCCCCACCAGAAGCACCACTTCCATGCACGGATTCATTGTCCTGTCCACCCACATTGCTCTCTCCATGTTCATCGGTCTCCCAAACCGCGCTGTAGCCCTCCCCTGCTTCTCCCTCTTCGCCCCTGCCGCTGTCGGCAGTGCGACCCTTCAGGCTTGCTGTGCGGGAGGCAGTGACAGATCTACCAGAACGAGGGACGTGGGAGGAGGCAGCAGGGGTAGCCGCAATGGGTGGCCCCCCTACCCCCACTGCACCTTCCTGCGGAACTGCACCTGCTGTAGCATACTCCTGTGAATCAGAACCTGCTACAACTGATCCCTGCGGATGGGCATGCTCCACATGCGGCTGGCGCAGCCTCAGCAAGTCACTCATACCTCTGGTCTTCGCGCCTGCTCCACCCTCCACACTCCCCTCCCTCCTCATCCCCCCCTCCTCCTCTCCTGCTACAGGTGTCCCCTCGTCTTTTTGTGCTACAGACGGCCCATCGTCTTCCTCTGCTACAAATGGTTCTTCCTCTTGCCCTGCTACAGACGCCCCTTCCTCCTCCCCTGCTGCAGAAGCCCCCTCATTTGGCCCTGCTTCAAAGACTGCAGGCGTGAAGATGCAGAGTTCCATCCATGCACGCAAGCTGGGATGGGCGGGTGAGGGGAGTGAGGACAGGAACAAGATATTTTGTAACGAAAATAGGTGATCAGGTGCGAGTGAAGATGCAGAGTTCCATCCATGCACGCAGGCTGGGATGGGCGGGTGAGGGGAGTGAGGACAGGAACAAGATATTTTGTAACGAAAATAGGTGATCAGGTGCGAGTGAAGATGCAGAGTTCCATCCATGCACGCAGGCTGGGATGGGCGGGTGAGGGGAGTGAGGACAGGAACAAGATATTTTGTAACGAAAATAGGTGATCAGGTGCGAGTGAAGATGCAGAGTTCCATCCATGCACGCAAGCTGGGATGAGACGACCAAGGGAGTGAGGGCGGACAAGGGGAGTGAAGGAGAAAAAGCAGAGTGAGGGCAGAAGAAGTTGTGAAAGTAGCAAATTGAACAAGTGATTAGATTAGAGGAGAAACCTAGCATACATAGTTGGAAGGAAAGGTTGGAAGGGAAGGATGAAAGTGACCATAGGTTGGGTTGACCTCACTTGGGGGAGTGAGGGAACCATAGGTCAAGTGGGTTGGGTTGCCCACACTTTGTAGAAGTGAGGCAACCCTAGGCCCACTTGGCTTGGGGTAACCTCAATTGTGGGAAGTGAGGTACCCACAAGTCAAGAGGGTTGCATTTGGGGGCTCCACCACAATTGGGTGGATTGGCACCCCAAAGTGCAAGACTACACCCAAAGTTGGGTGTAGTCCCAACCCAACTGTACACCACAATTGGTGTACAGTCACATGTGTTGGCATGCTACACACAATATATATTTTAACACAACCCCTTAGCATGCTAACACAAGAAGAGAACAACCCCTGAATCAAGGGGCGCCCGGGCGAGCGAGGCCAATGAGGCGGAGGAAAGCAGAGTGCGCAGGGCGAAGGAGGGCCTTAGTGAAGATGTCGGCCAAGTTGGCCTCGGTCGCAATCTTGCGAACGGCAATAAGGCCCTTCTGGACGAGCTCGCGAATGAAAAAGTAGCGGAGCTCAATGTGTTTGGAGCGGGCATGATAGACGGGGTCCTGAGTGAGATGGATGGTGCTGGCATTGTCGCACCAGAGGGTGGGGCACGTCTGGGGGGCGCCAAGCTCTGCAAGAAGGAAGCAGAGCCAGCGGGACTCCTGGGCGGCCATGGTGCCAGCGTAGAGCTCGGCCTTGCAGGTGGAGAGAGAGATGGCGGAGGAGCGGGTGGAGCGCCAGCTGATGAGGCCGCTGCCAAGGGTGAAGCCGTAGCCCTGGGAGGAGCGGCGGTCCGGCTGCGTGTCAGCCCAAGAGGAGTCACTGAAGCCCGAGAGAAGAGGAGGGGAAGGGCCGCCAAGGGTGAGGGCAAGGTCCTTGGTCCCGCGAAGGTAGCGGAGGACCCGCTTGGCAGCTTTCCAGTGCTCCTCAGTGTGACGACCGGTGCCGACAAAGCGGGCGAGCTCGCTGATGGGGTAGGCGAGGTCGGGGCGGGTGCACATCATCGCGTACATCAGGGACCCAACGAGCTCGGCATAGGGGTGGGGGGAGGAGGTGGGGGAGGAGGGTGGTGCGAGTTGGTGGCCGAAAGGGAGGGGGGTGGAGACAGGCTTGGCCTGCGCCATGTCGAACTTCTCCAAGACCTGGCCGATGTAGTGGGACAGTGAGAGGGTGATGGTGCGAGCAGGGCGGTTGCGCGTGATGGCCATGCCCAGGTAGTGAGTGAGGGCGCCAAGGTCTTTGCACTTGAGACGCTGCTGCAGGGACAGCTTCATCTGCTCCATGTCGGCCCTGGTGTCAGAGAGCAGGATCATGTCGTCCACATACACCAGAATGAAGAAGCGGCGGAGGGAGGAGCGGATGAAGAGGCTGGCGTCGGAGTGGGAAGCAGAGGAGCCGAGAGACCCTAAGGTGGCAGCCAGCTTCGCATGCCACTCACGCGGTGCCTGCTTCAAGCCGTAGACAGGGCGACGCAGCTGCCAGACAGTGTTCTCAGGGAAGGCTGCGTGGAACCCGGGGGGTCACCGGAGGAAAATGCGCTCGTGCAGGTCGCCCTGCAGGAACGCATTGGAGACGTCCATGGAATCGATCTCCATGTTGTCACGTGCGCCAATGTCGAGGGCGGCGCGAAGGGTGGGTGGTTTGGCGGTGGGGGCGTAGGTGAACCAGTAGTCCTCGGCCCAAGTCTGCGTGAACCCCTTGGCGCAGTAGCGGGCCTTGTACAGCGGTTCCTCGCCCGACAGCTGCTTCACCCGAAAGACCCATTTCCCGTCAACGAGGTTGGCGCCGGCTGGGAGGGGGACATCGACAAAGGAGTCGTTGCGAATGAATGCCTCACACTCCAGGAAGATCGCCGCTATCCATTTATCCGCGTCAGGGCAGGTGATGGCTTCCTGGAAGGTGGAGGGAGTGAAGATGGTGGGGGTGGTGGTGGCGCCAAGGACAGGAAAGCCCAGGAAGTCAAGGTAGAGGGAGGCAAGGAACGGAGTGTGCTCCCGAATGTTGAGGAACTCCTCATGGGAGTCCTCAAGGAGCTGAATGGAGGCAGGAGGAGGAGCCCCAAGGATTTTGTCCACCGAGCGGGTATGGATGTAAGGGAGGAGGAAGGGGGAGGAGCGGGAAGTGGCACGGCGCCGCTGCTGCTGCTGGTGCTGCTGAAGCTGCTGCCCTTGTTGTTGCGGCTGCTGCGGACCGTGCTGCTGCTGTGTCTGCTGCTGCTGACTGTGCTGCTGCTGCTGCTGCTGCTGCTGCTGCTGTCCCGGCTGCTGCTGTTGCGGCTGCCCCGGCTGCTGCTGCTGCTGCTGCTGCTCCGGCTGCTGCTGCTGCTGCTGCTGCTGCTGCTGCTGCCCCGACTGCCGCTGCTGCTGCTGCTGCTGCCCCTGCTGCCGTTGCTGGTGTTGCTCCGGCTGCTGCTGCTGCTGCCGCGGCTGCTGCTGGTGCTGCTGCTGCCCCTGCTGGTGCTGATCCGGCTGCTGCTGCTGCTGCTGCTGCCCCTGCTGTTGCTGATCCGGCTGCTGGAAAGGAGGAGAATGAGAGGAGGAGGGAGAGGGGGGAGGGGGTGCAGCTGAGTGAGCGGGGGAGGCGGGTGCGGCAGGGTCGTAGATGTCGGCAGAGGAGGAAGGCGGGAGTGGGGCAGCGACAGGTGGGAGGAGAGGCGCTGGAGGGAGAAGAGGCGGGAGGACGGTGTCGGTCCAAGCGAGGGGGCGAGTGGGAGGAGGGAGGGGGTCAGGAGGAGGGGTGGAGTAATAGGGAGTGGACTCGTCGAAGACGACGTCAATGCTGCGGATGAGGCGATTGGTGGGAGGGTGGAGGAATAGGTAGCCTGGGGAATCACGATTGTGCCCAAGGTAGACACACTCCAGAGCGCGAGGAGCGAGCTTGCCAGCAGCGCGGGAGCGGTCGGCCGGTGGAATGAGGACGAACGCCTTGCAGCCCCAAACACGAAGGCCTGCGGCGTCAGGCTTGGCCTTGGACCAGAGTTCTGTGGGGGAGGAGGAGGGATGCTGAGGGTGGGAGCGGAGATTGAGGAGGAGGGCGGCATGAATGAGAGCATAGCTCCAGAGGGAGGGAGGGGTGGAGGCGTGAGCAATGAGGCAGCGCGCAATCTTGGTGATCTCACGGATGCGACTCTCAGCGATGCCGTTTTGCTGAGGGGAGTGGGGAAGGGTGGAGGTCTACTGAATGCCGTATGTTTTGCAGTAAGTGGAGAGAGTATGATTGATGAACTCACCCCCACCGTCAGAGTGAAGGCGGCCTATGGGACGTTTGAAGTGGTTGCGGCACTGCTCAGCCCAGTTGATGACCACAGCCGGCACCTGGTCTTTCGTGTGAAGAAAGAAGACGGTGGAGTACCGACTGTGGTCGTCGACGAGCACGAGCATGTACCTGTGCCCCTGACGAGAGCGGATGGGATAAGGGCCCCAGAGATCCATGTGAACAAGGTCAATGGGGGCGGGAGCGAAGGTGGGGTGACTGTGATGGGGGGACTGTTTGAGCTTGCCATGAATGCATGATGGGCATGGGGGAGCAGGGGAGGAGGGGAGGGGAGGTAAGGTGGGAGGAAGGCTGTTAAGGAGGCGAGAGGTGACGGTGGAGCGAAGTGCGGCGAAGTTGGGATGGCCGAGTCTGTGATGTAGGAGCACTGCAGGATGGGAGAGGGCAGTAGAGGAGGAGGGGGATGGGGTGGGGGAAAAGTTGGGGGGGGAGGAGGAGGCGGATGGAGTAGAGGAGGAGGATATCGGAGGGAGAGGGAGAAGGGGAGGGGGAGGGTGAGGGGGAGGAGGAGGGGGAGGGGGAGGGAGAAGGGGACCGGTGGAAGTACCAGCACGAGTGGTGACGTGACAAAAGGAGGGACGGGGTGTGCGGAGCGTGTAAAGGCGAGTGCGAGGGCAAAGGGGAATGCGCAGGAGGAAACGACCAGAGGCGGTGTGGTAGAGATCGCAGTAGGAAGCAAAGCCAGGGTATATGGCGGTAATGCCAACGCCTTGGAGTTCACGGTGGGAGAGGAGGTTATTGCGAAGGGTAGGGATGTGGAGACCGGTGACTGTACCGGATGGGAAGGCCTTGCAAGGAAGGGTGGAGAGGCGTGCAGGGGATGGAAAAGCTGGAGTCGGCACCATGAACCTGGGTGGGAAGTGGGAGGGGGGTGAGGGTGCCAGCGTCTTTTAGTGCGGTTTCGGTGGCCCCACTGTCAAGGACAAAGTCCAGGGTGGGGGGGGAAGGAGAGGGAAGGAACACAGAGTACTGGAGAGTTGTTTCATGGAGGGTGCTGCTGCTGTAAGTACTGTTGCTGCGGCGGCTGCTGCGGTGGGAGAGACTGTGGCGGTTGCGGCTGGAGAGATTGGGCTGCTGCTGCTGCTGGAAGCACCGCCGATGCTGCCGCGGTTGCTGCGGCTGGAGAGATTGTGGTGGCTGCTGCTGCTGGAAGCACTGCTGCTGCTGCGGATGGAGAGAACTGTGGCTGGTGCTGCTGCTGGAAGCACTGCTGCTACTGCGGCTGAAGAAACTGTGGCTGCCGCTGCTGCTGGAAGGACTGCTGCTACTGCGGCGGAAGGAACTGTGGCAGCTGCTGCTGCTGGAAGGACTGCTGCTGCTGCGGCTGGAAGGACTGCTGCTGCTGCGGCTGGAAGGACTGCTGCTGCTGGGGATGGAGAAACTGTGGCGGGTGAGGCTGGAGAGATCGCGGCTGCTGTCGGTGTTGGAAGAACTGCTGCTGCTGCTGATGCTGGAGCTGCTGGAAACGCCGCAGATGGGGAGGGGGGGAGGGGGTGAGCAGGCGGAGATAAGGGGGGGGGGAGGAGTGGAGGGTCGGAGTGTTGAGAAGGGAGGGGCGAGGAGTAACACTGCTCCAGTGAGGAGGGGGGAGAGGGGCAGGGGGGGTAGCAGTCATGATGGGTGACGGCGGGTGGACCCGCGGTGGCCAAGGGTGAAGTTGCTGCTGCTGAGGCTGCTGCACTTCCCCTGCTGCCGCTGCTGCTGCCGCTGGCAGGAGGAGGGAGGGGGGGGGGGGGGGGGGGGGGGTAAAGGAGGGAGACAGCGGTGGAGGGCAGAGGCGTTCAAGGTGCAGGGAGCGACGGTGACAAGGGCGCAGGCGGCTGTGCGAACGTGCGGCGGCGGGAAGGGGAGGCGGTGGCAAAGTCGGGGGCGGCGGCGGCGAGCAGGCCGCGACGACGAAGGGCGCAGGCGACGGCAGAAGGGCCGCGGCGGCTGCAAGCAGGTTGCGGCGGCGGAAAGGTGAAGGCGGCGGGGAAATGGCTGCGGCGGCGAAACGAGGGACGGCGGCGGCAGGCAGGCCGCGGCAACGAGGGGCGCAGGGGGAGGGGGAGGGGGGGGGGAGAGGAGTAGGGAGAGGAGGAAGGGAGGGTGCAGTTGCGGCTGAATCTGCAGGCGGCGACGGGGCAGTCACGGCGGCAGGAAGTGTGGGCGGGGATGGCGCGGTCGCGGTGGAGGATGGGCAGGCGGCGCCGAAGCAGTGGCGGCGGCAGGGCGGCGGCGGCGCAGTCGCGTTAACGGGAACCGCGGGGCGACGATGTTGCAGTTGCGGCGGGGGAAATTGCGGGCGGGTGGCGATGCAGAAGGGGCAGCGAGATGCGTGGGTGACGCGGAAGCAGGTGCGGCGGTGGGAGGGGAGGCGGAAATGCGAAATCGCGGCGGGGGGGGGGGGGGGCGCGGGAAGGTGACGACGAGCAGTCGCGGCGGCGGAATGCGCAGGTGGCGATGTTAGGTCGCGGCGGCGGGACGGGCAGGGGGCGACGAGCTGTCGCGGCGGCGGAATGCGCAGGCGGCGATGTTAGGTCGCGGCGGCGGGACGGGCAGGGGGCGACGAGCTGTCGCGGCGGCGGGACGGGCAGACGGCGCCGAAGCAGGCGCGGCGGCGGGAAGGGGAGGCGGCGACGTGACGTCGCGGCGGAGGTACGGGCAGGCGGCGACGAGGCGTCGCGGCGGCAGGATGCGCAGGCGGCGCCGTAGCAGGCGCGGCGGCGGGAACGCGGCGACGTGACGTCGCGGCGGAGGGACGGGCAGGCGGCGACGAGGCGTCGTGGCGGCGGGATGCGCAGGCGGCGCCGAATCAGGCGCGGCGGCGGGAACGCGGCGACGTGACGTCGCGGCGGAGGGACGGGCAGGCGGCGACGAGGCGTCGCGGCGGCAGGATGCGCAGGCGGCGCCGAAGCAGGCGCGGCGGCGGGAACGCGGCGACGTGACGTCGCGGCGGAGGGACGGGCAGGCGGCGACGAGGCGTCGCGGCGGCGGGATGCGCAGGCGGCGCCAAATCAGGCGTGGCGGCGAGAGGGGGAGGCGGCGACAGGGGGTCGCGGCGGGGGGGAGGAGGGGACAGCGGCGTTGCGCTCGCGGCGGTGGTATCCGCAGGCGAGGAAGGCGTAATCGCGGCGGGAGGGGGGGGGGAACGGCGGCGACGGCGTAGGTCGCGGCGAGAATATGCTAGTGATGGCTAGTTGAGCCACGCGTAGGAAAGGGTTTGTAGCTGTGGGGTGGGCCCATGGGAAAAAAAAAACTGAAGGGAGGGAGAGGTAAGGCCTAGGAACAAGTAGCTCTATACCATGTGAAAGTAGCAAATTGAACAAGTGATTAGATTAGAGGAGAAACCTAGCATACATAGTTGGAAGGTAGGTTGGAAGGGAAGGATGAAAGTGACCATAGGTTGGGTCGACCTCACTTGGGGGAGTGAGGGAACCATAGGTCAAGTGGGTTGGGTTGCCCACACTTTGTAGAAGTGAGGCAACCCTAGGCCCACTTGGCTTTGGGTAACCTCAATTGTGGGAAGTGAGGTACCCACAAGTCAAGAGGGTTGCATTTGGGGGCTCCACCACAATTGGGTGGATTGGCACCCCAAAGTGCAAGACTACACCCAAAGTTGGGTGTAGTCCCAACCCAACTGTACACCACAATTGGTGTACAGTCACATGTGTTGGCATGCTACACACAATATATATTTTAACAGAAGTGTGAGAGGGGGGAGGGGGGAGTGAGGTTGGAGAAGGAGTGTGAGGCCGTGAGAGGATCAAGACAATAAGAAAGGGCAATACCTCACAGAAAGAATATACAGCCATACAGAGGGGATGGGATTCGGATACTTACAGGAAGGCAGTTCGCCGGGTGGACTTGGGCCATCGGGCTGCTTGCAGGGAGCGATCTAGCAGCGCCTGGGGAAGGATACGGGGTGGAGGGAAAGGGGAGAGGGGGAGACGGGGAGAGGGAGAGGGAAATTATGAGGCATTGTACTCGTTTTGGGCAATAGGCTCTCTGTGTGTAAGTGTGTTGGTAAGTTAATTAAGGGAAGCCTTCAAGGCCAAGGACGTTACGAGAGGAGAGCCAAAAAGGAAGGGTGTGATGGGGGATGGGCTTAGCTTAGTGCGAGAGAGGAGAGAGGAGGGCTTTCTTATGATGCGATGGAGGGGGGCTTTCGAGTCGCATATGAAATTACCGATACCTGAGTGTGAGGGAGGAGAGGCGAGGGCTTTTGAGGCGCAGATGGAAATACCTGGGTGCGAGGGGGAAGAGACCAGACATGCGGCGAGCCGAAGAGGAGCTCCAGCATTAGCACTCCCACACTCCACATGTCGTAGCTGCGTAGATTAGCGGATGAATGCGAGAGTCGGAGGGAGGATGGGAGTGGGGCGGAGGGTTGAAACAGGTCGTACAGTTTGAAGCAACGCTCCAGCATAAGCACTCCCACACTCCACATGGCGTGTCATAACTTGGGGGAGGGACGAGTGCACGTGCATAGGTGAGGTGAGGAAGCTGAGTGCTTTTGGGGAGGACCTTCAACACATACGCTCTGAGTGTTTCATGCATACCCGTAGTGCATGCGGCTGCTGATGTGGAAGCAGCTGCTGCTGGAGCTGTTCCGCGTGCAGTCAACACCTCCCCCAGTCGCGCCTCCCCCTGTCGCACCTCCCCCTGCTTCTGCCCCTGCTTCTCCAAAAGCGTCCGCTCCTTCCCCCGGACCTCCAGCACTTGGAAGGCTCTGTGGCAGCAGCAGCACTTCAGGCGGAGAGTATAGCTCTGTTTCCTCGGCACTGATAGAGGGGGGAAAGGGACGAAGAGGCAGGCAGGTTGTGAGGATGCCTAAAAAATCGGCTCTATAGCAGCAGCACCACCATGGCAAGAAATCAGAGCTGCAACGGGGAAAGAGAGGAGGGGAGCAGGAGAGAAGTTGTGAGGCAACAAAAGAAATATGTGTTGTTGTAACAGGATTTTCTGAAATAATTTCTCACTTTGCGCGATACTACCATAGCGGGAAACGTCTTCCCGAGTTTTGATAAAACTCAAAAACATAGCTGGACAGGCGTTATTCAAACAGGTGCTACCTGGAAAGACGTTGCCTGGAGGGCAGAGTTGGCGAGATTGTTAATAGGGCACTCCAAGACACCAGGTTGTGAGACGTCTCAACATACCAAAATGAGCTTTGAAAAAACCAGAGGCTGATATAGATAGGAGCTGAGAGGTGTCTAGGTGTCACCTGGACAGGGAGGCGTTAACAGAAGAGGGAGGCGTTACCTGGAAGGCCCTGTTGGGCCGTAGAGGAAGCGAACAGAGTGCGGGTCGACAGCTGATCCCAGATCAAGCACACGGCTGATGGTATGGAGGGTGGGAGGGAGGGAGCGAGAAAAGGAGGGAGGGTGGAAGGGAGAAAGGGTTTGAGGGAGCGAGGAGGCGAGTCTTTTATTGATCTGCCGACCAGATGTTTACAATTGCTCGTATCGCACACACACCCACCCCACTCACACGTGTGTGCCAGCATTGAAATCCGGGAGCGGGTTTCCCATGGAATTATTGCTACGTGCTGCACTGTCATTGGCTGATGACGAGGATCTCTCTGCTGCTTCTGCTGCTTTTGCTGATGCTGCTTCTGCTGCGGGCGCCTCTCCTACCGCTGCTGACAGTGAGGAGGAGGCGTCGGGTGCACGCGCTGCATGGCTTTCTGCCTGCCTCCCTGCATGCTTCCCGTTGACTCTCTCATACTTTGACTCCTTGCTCGCCCTCCTGGATTGAGGCTTCAAAATGATGTTCTCTGTAGATGGACATGACATGAGAGATGGGTGGGGATAAAAGGAGGAGATGGAGACGATATGGGGAGAGGCACACCAGTAGTACCAATATGCATTTCCTTCTCAATATTGGATTGAACAATTTGTTGAAAGCTGCATTCTCTTCTCAATATTCATTGCTACTGTAAGTGCTTAAACTCAAGAAGCAGCCACCAGAGTTTGTTGCGAGTTCGGGTTCAAGAATGAACGTATGCCTCTTCTTGCCTTTTCCCCTCTTGCCTTTTCTTTCTTTCCCACAACTGCATCACAACTGGTGCATTGCCAAGTGCAATGCCAACTGGTTAGATAGCTGAGCTCTCTAAGAAACGGCAGTATACATGCCTTGATGTCCCTGTGGGCCATGTTGCGACTAGCTGGTGTTTGGAAAGACGACAAGAAGAAGAAGAAAACCTGACTGATTCGTAAGTTGGACACTAGCCAGCATGCTTGATCAAATAGTGAGGCTTCCTGGGAAGCAGCAGCATACCTGGCTTGATGTCCCTGTGGGTTATGTTGCGCGCTTGCAATGCGGCGAGACCCAGCAGCTGAAACGCAGAGAACAGAGGCGAGGACAAGAGGGGGGGAGGGGGGAGAGGAGATTATTGAGTCAATTGAAAAGTCAACTGCGTGCTTGCAATGGGCTATTGCTCTCACTCACCGTCTGCCTGAGAATGCTCCTGACAGTCTCCTCGCCCTCCGCTGTGGAGCGCAACCATCGCCACCACCTTGAAGGCCGCATGATGCTGTGCTGCCCACTCCTCCTCTGCCGCTTCCCACTCGTTGTCTGCTGCTGCTGCCCACTCGCATGTTCCCCACTCGCATGCTGTTGCTCGCTCTTCTTATTCCCCACTTCTTCTTTCCCTCCTTTCTCTTGTTCCGTACCCTCCCATTCCTGCTCTCCTTCCTCGGATTTCCCTCCTTCCTCGTCGCGTTTCTCCTCCTCCTCTCCGCTGCCCTCCCCATCAGCATCACTCGTGTACAGCAGGGACGAAAGAGACACCCCTTCGTGAACAAACACCAGCCACAGATCCTTGCTCTGCCCCTTACTTGCCTCCTTTTGAGTCGACTCAAAAGCCTTCCTTGCCTCCCCCCGCTGCTCCTCTCTCCGCCCTTTATCGCCTCCCCCAGCTGCACTTGTGTCAGCATCGGCATCACCACTGGTGGTGGGGGGGGTATCGCTGCTACCGCCGCCACCGCCGCTGCCACTGGCAATCGTAGTTTCAAAGGACTCCACGTAGCGTGCGATGTGATGCAGACCCATCGCATCCACCAGCGCATCGTCCACGTCATCCACCACGTTGCTGTCCATGTCATCGTCCACGTCATCGCCCACATCATCATCCAAGTCAGCATCCACGTCAGCATCCACATCGCCATCCACGTCGCCCGTAAGGACTTCCGAGCCATGAATAGCACTGTCCATCTTGTTGGCTCTGCCATGACGACGGGTGCCACGTGGCAGCACCAGATTGGTCGCGTTTAGGAGCATCTCTCCAAAGTACTTCTCTCGCAGCCCACTCAGTCGAGCACCCTCCCCCGCCTGAACACACCCAACACGCACAGTGCAGTGGACGGGGAGGAGGAAGAAGAGGAAGCAGACGAAGGGGAGAAGGGGGAAGTTGGGGATAGACAACCTCCGCCTCTGAAGCCATCCAAGTTGCACGGTGCAGTGGACAGGGGCAGGGAAGACCGGGAGGGGTTTGGGGAGTGATGAGCATAGGGAACGATGAAAGAGAGTGTGGTGGGCGGGGTTTAATCTCCACAGAAAGATGTTGCGATTGGAAACAGTGCCTTAGGTGACCAAAACAGGATGTCCCTACCCCTCTCCTCCCTCATGCCTGACTGCTGAAACTTGAGAGCGGAAATACAGCGGCCCGCAACCAGTGTGCAGGAGAGACACGGATTACTGGTTCCCCATAGCCTCAGCAGTCACATGCGCTGCTGTACTGCACCTGTGGCATTGGGGTTCTCGAGTCGACTCAAGAAATCACAGGAGCCGCTTGATAACAAGTTTGTTTTGAGACACCTCAAAGAAAACTTGTTCTCACGTCACTGGAGTTTTTGAGCAGACTGAAACCCACGAATGTTGACAGTTTGACCCACCAGAAGTCGCTTGAGCACGAACAGTGGTGGGGCTTCCGCCTCCTCTTCCTCCTCCTCCTCCTCTTCCGCCTCTCCCACCTCCCTTTCCCCTTCCTCCTCCCCCTCCTCCTCCCCTTCCCCTTCCTCTTCCCCCCCTTCCTCTTTCACCTCCTCCCCTTCCTCTTTCACCTCCCGCCCTTCCCTCTCATCCTCCTCCTCCTTCTCGCCCTCCATGTACTGCAATTCCCTATGTTCCCTCCGAAGCTCACCTGCCTCCTCTCGCCTCCCAACCACGGGCCCCTCAAAGGCAGCAACACTGTCTCGATCAGATGATTCATACGAGCTTTCTGCACCTAAACTGGCAGCTGCTTTCGCAGCAAGAGGTGGGGGATGCTTTTGAGGTGCCTCAAAAACAGATAACCCATACTTGCTTCCTGCACCTAAACTGAAAGCCGCTTTCGCAGCAGGAGGCGGGGGATGTGCAGGCAGCCGGGAACTGGAGGGCCGGTGGCAGGGGTCCCTCCTCACAGCCAACCACACCTCTCCGAATCCCCCCCTTGCGAAGTTCTTCTGTAGCACGTACCTGGGTGTCAAGGGGCGGGAGGGGGAGAAAGGAGGTTGGGAGGAAGAAGAGCAGAAGTAGGTGGGGGATGTGCAGACAGCCGGGCACTGGTCAAATGGGCCGGTGGCAGGGGTCCCTCCTCACAGCCAGCCATACCTCTCCAAATCCCCCTCGTGAGGCAGTGGGGTGAAGTGGCGTAGGGGGGAATTTGGGAAGGGGAAACGAGCTAGGAGAGGTTCAAGGAAGACGGAGTCAAGAAGAGGCTAGGATGCTGGGACAGGAGCCGGAGGAAACACAGCTGTAGGAAACAGAGAGAGAATGCTAAGGTTTCATTTGAACATGCGAGGTCATAGAACCATGCGAGTCCGTAAGTTTTGTCATTTCATATAAGCCTTGTAATTTTATTAACCACATGTTAGTGCATAAATCCATGCAAAGGAAAAGGAGGAGTTCTTAGGACGGCAACAGTCGGAAACTTACTTGCGCTGCACAAATCCCATATGATGCTTCGTCCAATTGCCATCTGTCACATCAGCATCCCCCCATTCGTCCCCTTCCCCAACTCTTTCCTCCTTCAAAATCCCGTCCCCCATCTCCTCCTCCTCTATCACCTTTTTGACACTCCCTTCATTCACCACCCCCCTATCCTCCACCCGGCCCCTATCCTCCACCCGGCCCCTATCCTCCACCCGGCCCCTTTTTGCCGCCGAAGTTTCTCTCCCTCCCCTCTCCTTTCCAATCCCTGTGTCACTCTTGTGAGGGAGGCCTGGTAGGAGCAGCGGCACCGAGCCTAGCAGGTTCAGGAACCGAACCAGGCCGAGAGGTGCGGGGATTGCGACGCTTGTGGATGGTAGGAGAAGTGGCTTGGGAGTTGGTTTGGAGTGTGAAACCTCAAAAGGGAGTGTGAGAGGAGAGTGTGTGAGGGAGTGGGAGAAACGTGAGGGGGGAGAGTGAGTGAGGGGTAGGAGAGCTTGAGAAGACGGCTTGTCCTCTAGCTTAGGAGTGTGAGGTAAGATTTGATTCTCAGTTGGGATACGATCTCGAGCTGAGATTTTATTACGAGGTGGGACACGGTCCCGAGCTGAGATTTGATGCTGTGAATGTGCCAGTGGACGCCCCAGTGGTTGAAGGGATTTTGAGGAGTGCAGTGCGGTGAGATGGTTGTCAGAAGAGGTGGCACGGGTTGAGGAGGATTGTGACTCTAATGGCGGCCAGATGAGCAGGCACTGAAATGCCTCCATAACAGCCCGTGCACCTGAGGCAAAGATTAGGAGTGGCCAGATGGGCAGGCGAATGGAGAGAAAGGAAAGATAAAAAAATAACGGAGGAACAAACGTGCAAGCAAGGACAGTTGAGCACTCACCGAGAGCTGCCAGCTGGCTGCCAGGAGGACTGGGTTCAGCTGATTGGTCCAAACCTTGCTGGTCAAAATCTTGCGGGTCAAAGCGTTGCACCATTCTTTGCTTCTTAGTAGTGCTTGCAGCATCACTGATCATCACATCACCATCGCTGCTGCTGCTGTGGCTATTGCTCTTATGGCGACTCAGGGTTGGAACAACAGCAGCAGACTCAGCCGCTACGGCACTGCCTGCTAGGGGAAAGGAGGTGGAATCCGCAAGAAGGGGTGGGCCATGCTGAACCTCTGTAACACGCCCTGATCTGGAACCAGCGTCGAGGTACTGGGAAGGCTTCTGCCAGGAGCGGTCATGCCAAAGTGGCACAAGGGAGGGGCGAGACTCAGCAGCAGCAACAGGAATGGGTTTCAGGAGCTGGTAGCAGTGCACAGAAGTGGAGGAGATGTGGGATGCTCCTCCATGATCACCATGCTGTGAATGCGCCACAGACGGCAGAGCTAGTTCCTGCTGCTGCACTGGCCCCACTAGAAGTGGAGCTGTGGAGGACCTTTTTTGAAGGGCAAGCTTTGAAGCTTGCAGGGCAAGGTGTGGAGACGGCGTTTGAGGCACCTCAAAAGCTGAGGGCCTTGCTTGCAGCGCAAGGTGTGGAGACGGGGGACTGTGAGAGACAGAAGCAAGCTCTGGGGATCTCGGACCGTGGGAGATAGAAGCGAGGTGTCTGGGAGGCAGGGGAGCAGGGGCATCGGCGGGCGGCGACAAGGGTTGACTGCTCTGCTGCTGAGAGAGAGTGTGTGGCTGTGATACAGGGGTGGTTGAGGCTGGGGACTTGGGTGGTCCACGAGTGGTTGCACGAGCTGTCGCATGGGAGGTATGGGAGGCCGAGAGCGCTACAGCTGTGGGTGGGGCGTGGGTGTGGATGGGATGGCTACAGGCACGAGCGTCTGGGTTTGCGGGAGGCTGGGCACTTGCAGTTGACCTTGACCGGGAATGGCAACTGGCGGAAGAAGAGGGTGCATGCGAGTGTGAGTGGGTGTGCGAGTGTCTGCGTGAATGTGAGTGAGAGAGCTTAAGCACAACAGCAGCAACGTTGTCCAGAGTGCCTCGTTGGATGGCCTCTCGTGTGATCCTCTCTGCAATCTCAACCACCTCTCTCCTCTCACTACTCCCCTCCCAACACACGCTCGCTGGGTCCCTCCCCTCCCACCTCCTCGCCTCCACCAATCCACTCTCGCCTCTCACCGCCACCTGTCCCAGTGCCTGCCCTTGCTCCTGCTCCTCCTGCTGCTTCTGCTTCTGCTGCTGTGGCTGCAGCTGCTGCTTCTCTGGCTGTGGCTGCTGCAGCGGTTTGTGCTGCTTCTCACTCACTGCAACCACCTGCGCTCCCTCTACCTGCCGTGCTCCCCCATCAGCAATAGCCGCTACCTCACTTCCACGTGTCCATCCCCCCTTGACCTTGCACCCACGTTCACCACTACATACCCCCTCAGCCTTACTCTCGAAACCGCATTCACCCTCAGCCGTGCATTGGCCTTCAGGCCAGCAGGCAAGTGCCAGCTGTGTGTCCGTCTCACCACCGTCCCTGCGCACGCACATGAGGGGTCCCTGCTCCACGCCCTCTAACATCCAGCAGTACGGCAGCTGCCCCTTCTGCACCATCAACTGCTTCTGCTGCTGCCTCGCCACTTCCATGTGCCCCTGCGCAATCTCCTGTGCCCCTTCAGGCACTGCAGATTGCGGCTCCCCACTCACCACAGCGAGAGCTCCCCGGTCGTCCCCTTCCTGCTGGCCTATCGGTAGGGGAATGGCCTGGAGCAGCGACCCCCCTGTGACTTCACTGTCACGGCCAGATGCAGCAGCAGCAGCCGCACTCTCAAGCACCCAATCCTCCTCATCCTCCTCCCCTTCCCCCTCTTCCCCCCTCTCCTCCTCCTCATCGCCATTGCCATCACCAGCATCAACGCCATGAACACCCCCAACACCCCCACCACCACCACCACCACCATCACCATCCCAATCAGCGCTTTTCCCGCTCCTCCTTCTGCTACCTCTTCCTTTGCTTGCCTGTATCCCCCCCAGCTTCCTCCTCTGGGCCCGCCTCGCTCTGCCCACAATGCTGCACACCTGGCACGGTTTCATTCGCTCAAAAACACCATCAGTTGCCACGATCAGGAACTCCTCGTCCCCCTCCTCCTTCTCCTCCTCCTCGCCCTCCTCAACCTCCTCCTTTCCCCCTCCTTCCCTATCATTCACTACATGCTCCTTTCCATTACGTCCCTCCAAACCTGCTTTCCCTGCTTGCGTTTCTTGACCTGCTTGACCTTCCACCTCTCTACTCCCATTCATAACCTGGGCACAGTCCAAACCCCACTCCCCCTCCTCTTCTCCCTCCTCTCCCAACACCTCCCTTGCTGCATCACTTCCCTTCACCACCCGCCCACTCCTCTTCCCATCCACCCTACAAACTCCCATGTTGCTCCCCCTTGCACCACGTCCCCTTGCCCCACGCCTCACCATCCATTCAGTGATCTCAGGCGTGGCAACCACCCAGGGCCGGTACTGCAGGTCCCCAAGGGCGCGAGTCACAGCCAGCTCGCCTTGCACGCGAGCCACTCCCCCTCGCTCCTCCACTCTCCCCCCCATCGCCTCCACGCGCCTCCTCTCATCCTCCCTGTCCGCCCTGTGATCGTCTGTCAGTTCTGTCGTGCACATCACAGGGGGTCTTTGTGTTGAACCACGCATTGCATGTTGGGTTGACTCAAGAACTGGTTTCTGAGTTACCTCAGGTACCGCCTCCACACCCCTCCTCTCATCCTCCCTGTCCGCCCTGTGATCATCTGTCAGCTCTGTCGTGCACATCACAGGGGGTCTTTGTGTTGAACTACGCATTGCATGTTGACCTGACTCACTCATCGCATGTTGAGTTGCCTCAGGCATCGCCTCCACGCGCCTCCTCGCATCCTCCCTGTCCGCTCTGTGGTCGTCTGTCAGCTCTGTCGTGCATAATGAGGCAGAACGCTCCCGTTCCTGCTGCTGCTGCTTCTCCTGCTGCTGCTTCTCCTGCTGCTGCTGCTGTTGCTCGTGGGGCATGGGTAACGCCTGCCTTTGCTGCTTCTGTTGCTCCTGCTCCCCCTGCTGCCTCTGCGTCTGCTCCCCCTGCTGCCTCTGCGTCTGCTGCTCCTGCGGCTTGTACTTCACCAGCGCATGTCGCCTCTGCTGCTCGCGAAGGCGCCGCTTCCGTCTTTGCAGAATGGCCAAGCGACGAAGCTCTGATGTCAGAGGGAGCAAGCGGGGTAGGGAGGGCGGAATCGCAAGAGGCAGACAGGAAGATAAATACGAGCGAGGAAGGAAGTTGGTAACTAGAGGACGTGGCAACCAGAGGACGTGGCAGCCAGAGGACGTGGCAACCAGAGGACGTGGCAACCAGAGGACGTGGCAGCCAGAGGACGTGGCAGCCAGAGGACGTGGCAGCCAGAGGACGTGGCAGCCAGAGGACGTGGCAGCCAGAGGAAGGGCCTCACCTGGCTCGCTCATGGTCTGCTCGGCTGTCCTGCATGCACTCACACACCGACACAGGCTGCCAGTCATTTTTGCGCTGCAGAAGAAGAAAGAACAAGTTCCTTACTCGACTGGAAGAAGCACTCACCTTGCTGGTCCATGCTCTGTTCGGCTGCATGCATGCAACCACACACCGGCACAGGCTCCCTGCCTTTCTGAGGCACCTAGACCTAGAGACGCCTTGTCTAAGCTGTCTTGTTCCTTTCATTCGCCTCAGCAATGCTGCCCTCACCTTGCTGGTCCATGCTCTGCTCCGCAGCCTGCCTGCACCCACACACCGACACAGGCTGCCTGCGGTCTTTCTTAGGTGGCCGCCTCCATCGCTCCTTCCATCAGCCACCTCACATGCTCCATCGCTCTGGTTCGCACTTTCTTTACTCACTTCTACGGTCTACCAATGCTTCCCTCACCTTGCTGGTCCATGCTCTGCTCCGCAGCCTGCCTGCAACCACACACGAACACAGGCTTCCTGCCCCTCTCCATGGCTCCTCCCATCGGCCACCTCCACTCATGCACCCGTGCTGCTGCGGCAATGGCATGTGCCTTGGTGTCCGGGTCTCTAACAAGCTGCATCATGCCATCAGTGGCCGCCAACACACCCTGCTTCCCAACAGTCCCCTCCAGCACACCCTCTTTCACATCTCCTCGCTCCTGACTCATCCGCTGCCCCTCCCCTGCTGCACTCATATGCCTCTCTCGAACCCCCACCGTCCGGCCCCCATGCCTCTTGCCACCGCCACAGACGAGAACCTTAGAGTCTCCTACGTTGGCCACTGTCACGTGCTGCACCTCCCACTCCAATGCCTCCTTTTGGATAGCAGTGCATGCATCTGGGGAGCTTGAGTGCTTGCAGTGGCTGGGTGGCGTGTGGTGAGCATGTGTGCGGTGGGGGTGGTAGCAAGGAGGCAAGGGCAGCAGGCGGTGGAAGACAAGGAGGACCACAGCAGCGGTCGAGCCAGACCACCAGCGGTGCTTGCTAGCCTCCTGTGAGAGGACGAGGGTTGTAGGGTGAGGAGGAGGAGAAACAAAGGAGGCGGAGGAGGAGGGGAAGGAGGAGGCGGAGGGGCCGAGACTGAGAGAACGAGCGAGCACGATGGGTGCCTATGCTGAGCCCCACAATCTCTGCTGCTTGCACAACACTGCGACAAAGACGGCCACATGTGCGTATGCTAAGCTTTTCAGCTTGGGACAGAAGGGAATCCCATGAACCACCAGTGATTGCCTTACCTGTGCAGCCTTACCTGTGCAAATTCTACATCCACGTCCTCCAGTGCGCCTGCTAAGACTCCTTCAAGCACCCTCTTTCTCACCCTCTCCTGCTCCTCCCACTCCCTCTCAGTTTCCCCACCCTCCTCCTCCCTCTCCTCCCCTCTCTCCTCCACTCTCTCCTCCGCCATCCCTTCACCAGCACAACCCGCACGCCTCTTGCCGCTTCCAACGCCTTCACACCCATCACTTCGATCACCATGCCTCCCACCCTCAAACCCATCCCTCCCATCAACATCCCTCCCATCCCTCCCACCATCACTTCCAGCGGCCGTCTGCGACTCATGCACGGCCTTGCAGTCACAGTGCAGCTGCTTTTCACTGGGAGAAGGCAGGGCGGCGAGTCTGGCGCGCAGAGAGGGGAGGAGGCGCGAGGCAGCAAGCTGGCTGGCCTCCCCTCCTCCATGCCCGTCCAGCACCCCCACCGCCTGCACCGCCCACTGGCGGGTGCAGCCACCTGGATGGCGGGTGAGATATGATTGGAGGATGGTAGATAGTTAACAAATGGTTTGGCATGGCTGGCCTCCCCTCCTCTGTGCCCATCCAGCACCCCCACCGCCTGCACGGACCACTGACGGGTGCGGCCACCTGGATGGGGGGGCGTTGGGAGGATTGTTGTAGATTGTTAATGGGTGGTGTGGTGTGGTGTGGTGTGGCTGGCCTCCCGTCCTCCATGCGCGTCCAGCACGCACACTGCCTGCACTGATCACTGGTGGGTGTAGCTGCATGGACCAAGGTTGATAGATGTTAGCAAAACGCATGTTAGCATGATGGATGCTGCATGTTAGCATGATGGATGTTGCATGTTAGCATGATGGATGCTGCATGTTAGCATGATGGATGCTGCATGTTAGCATGATGGATGCTGCATGTGTGCATGTTAGCATGAAGCCAAGCATTTAAAAGGCTCGCACTGTTACACCGTCCTGGGTCCGTCACGTTTTTAAACAAAATAATGTCAAGAAACAGGTCCACACTGTGAAATTGTACCTTGAGTGACAATATCTTGCAACAGGTTTCTGAATGTGTAGCCTGAGTGACAATATCGAGGGGCTGGAACAGGAATCTAAACGTGTACCTTGAGTGACAATATCGAAAGCTGGAACGGGGATAAGAGCCGAGCAGAGAACTCTATCTTCTTGGAATTGCCGTCGTCCTTTCACCACAGACACGCCACATGGCAGGCCGTGATTGGACACAGCGATTGCCTGAGGAACTACAACCGAACCCGCGAACAAGACGAGCAGTGTTACTAGAACGATGGGTACCATTATTGCGAAACCGAGCGGCGCAAAAAGCGAATTCGCCAAAGCAATTCAACGCACGTAGCTCGTGGTGCAAGCTAAACACGGGAAGAGCCATTCAACCGCTTCGCGCTTCACGAACGAACCACGTGTGCGATATACTAACTGGAAAGTGGAAAGACTTTGCTGCTAACAGCGGCTTTGATTGATGGCCATCTATGGTGTGCCAAGAGGTAACCTCCAACATTGGCTCCCCGCCTTGGGATTCGCGGCCTGGGAGAAATGGCTGCTTCCGCTGAACGCTACTCGAAGTTCCCGAGGCTGGCCTGAGGCCTGATCACTTTTGTCACTGGGGCCTGTTTGTCGGAGGAAGACATCTGGGCTTGTTCCTCGGAGTTACAACTAAAAACTGGATGTTGAACTCGGTTTTATACTGAAGTCACAGTTTGGAATCGATTCCTCGCTTGTTATTGACGAGTACAAACTGACAATCTTGGTCGTCTGGGAGGGCGTATGTTTCTACGACTAGGCCCATAAGTTTCATCCACGTACAGCTTCGTCTTGGCTCTAATTACCATAAGGGTCGGGTCTGGGTCGGTTGAACTTGTGCAAGTTAACGTAGAAAAACACGCCCTTCCACCCGCTGCTCAAATGGATTTATGATTCCGCTGCCACCTCACCTTCCACTCTTTGAATTCTCAACCTAGATATTACCTCGTACATTCTCAGGGGGGAAAGCAATTCCCAGCTTCTAAATTTTTGTGAACGACCCACCTTTTCCTCATAACATCTTTATAGCACTGATTTGGATACTATCCAAATTCGACGAACTCATGTTGTAGAATACCTTTCACAAGAGCTCTCGCCTTCGCGCATCCGACTGCTAGCTGATGTTGGTACCTATCAGCAGCTGGCAGTTTTTGGCAACTTATACTTCTCATTGGCTGTGGTTCTTAACAAGTTGATAATTTTCATTAGCCAGTGGCGATCGGCCAGTCTTGATAATGGTTCTTCTCAGAGCGACTCTCCAAGGCGTGTTCCTTAATCCCACGCACACCTTCGCGACGCGGCGTCCGTTCGAATCGGAACAAGCTAACCAGACATCCGCATTCCAGCAAGAGCAACGCATCACAGGCGGTCCGATCGGCTCCTGCCGACAATCCCTAGGATACAAAAGCAAATGGCTTCGTCAGACGTCCTCCAGTCGACCACTTGGCTCCTCTACGAGTCTAGGAGCGCGAGAGCTAGGGTATTCTCGAGGAGGAAGATCAACGGACGGATTGAAGCTCCGAGCGAGCTTACATGCAGACGCTACGCCTGGGAATTTTCCTCAGGATCGACAGGTGCTGCCATGTGAGTGATTGGGAGGGTTCCTTATGATTTGTCTCAGTACACGCAGATGCCACGACTGGGGAATTGCCTCAGGAACGACACGTGCTGCCATGTGAGTGCATGTCAGGTTCCGCTTGCTGCCATGTCAGCTCGCTTTCATCCTCTCTCCGACCTCTCCACCCCCACGGATCCATATCCTCTCATATTCTCTCCTACAGGTGCTTCTCCCCCCTTCTCCCCCTTACCTCCCCCCTCCCCTCCTTCCCCCTCCCCCTGAAAAAAAAAAAAGCAAATAAAAGTCCTCAGTTCCTTGATCATCTTCCCACTTCTCCATCATCTCTACCTGATAAAACGACAGTGGCGCCGATTTCTCTGCTCCACACGAACTTAGAACCTATGCCTGAGCTCCCTGATCACTAACACCCCCTTAGTTCCCTGATCATTACTTGTGTTTGCCTGATGTCTTTAAATTGCTCTCATTTATGCAGCTCCTGACAGTGGGACTGAGGGCAGTATCAGCAAGGCCATAGCTGATGGCTCTGAAAACCCTCATCGCCACATCAACACACCCCTCACCCTCCTCTCCTCCCTCTCCTCCCTCTCCTCTCCCCCATCATGCAGCTGACAAGAGCGGGTCAGACGAGGGCAGAAAGCACGGCCAGACACCCCGCACCCTTCTCTCTTCACCCTACTCTCCCCCACCCTCTAATCTCTCCCACCTTTTCTCTCCCTCACCCCCAACTCTCTCCCCCATTAAGCAGCTGACGAGAGCGGGTCGGACGAGGGCAGCAGGCACGGGCAGGGCGGGTGGCAGAAGGCGAAGCTCAAGTGGAAGCCGCCGCAGACGGTGTGGCGGGCGTTTGCAACACTCATCATGGCGGGACAGGTGGGGCTTGCAGGGGAAAGCAGGTGCGAGAGGGGATTAATGTGACTGTATGCCGGCGCCGTGTATGTCAGTAACAGTGGAATCGGCCGCAGACCATGTGGCGTGCGCTTCCCACCCTCACCCTGGCGAGACAGGCAGAACTGGGAGCAGATAAGTTGCAGGGGAGGCGAATATACACATCTCAGTTTCATTCTGATAATTAATACGTCCATGAATGCATGATCCATCGATCCGTTACTGCCCTCGAGATCAAAGTGAAGTGATGATGCTTCACAGGCCAGTCATGAAGGCTTTCGCTGCCTCCTCTCTCCCATCCAATCGTGTGCTACCTACCAGGTGTCCATGCGTGTGCTGACGGGGCGCGTCCACTGGCGCAATCTGCTGACTCAGCTTCAGATCGTGGGGCCAGGATCGCTCGGAGTCTCCCTGCTGACAGCATGCTTTGTTGGCATGGCGTTCACCATCCAGGTGGGAGGCTCACCATCCAGTCGTTATGTTCATTGTACATGTGTAATATCCACTCACTGTCTGGGTGTTCCTTTTAACCTATGCACAAATTATACCCTTAATCAGGTGTGACATTTGCCATTCAAAATCCTCACACCACCTCACCTTAAAGGCTTGAAGGGTACTTAGCTCATATTCCCTCGTCATCCCCTCGCTCGCGTATCCCATCCCTCCATCTCAATCTCCTCATATCCCCTCCTGCCCCTTCATCCCCTCCCATCTCCACTCGCCCTGCCCACCAGTTCGTGCGGGATTTCCCCCGGCTGGGCCTGACTCGCTCCGTGGGGGCGGTGGGGTGCCGGCACTGTTACCCGGTTTGCCCGTTTGATTCTTGAATCGCCCTCTTACCCCCTCCCATCCCTCCATCTCCCCCACCACTCCGCCCCCCCACCCCGCCCCCCCCACCAGTTCGTGCGGGAGTTTGTCCGGCTGGGCCTGACTCGCTCTGTGGGGGTCGTGCTGGCACTGGCGCTGGCGCTGTGCAGAGAGCTCTCCCCCGTCGTCACTGCCATCATCATGACCCGATTGCGTAGGCAGCTGAGAAAAACGCCCCTCCTACCTTCTCCCATCCCCTTCCATCACCCCCATGATCCTCCCCCGTGCGCTCCCATCCCCTTGCCACCTCCCCAGTTCGTGAGGGAGTTCGCCCGGCTGGGTCTGACTCGCTCTGTGGGGGGAGTGCTGGCGCTGGCGCTGTGCAGAGAGCTCTCCCCCGTCGTCACCGCCATCATCATGGCTGGCCGCGTTGGGAGTTCTTTCGCTGCTGAATTAGGCACCATGCAGGTGGGTCTGGGAGCAGAAATGCAGGTATGAATTAAGCACATACCTCACCAGCACCTGAGCTCTCTCCCCCCCCCATCACCACTATCATCATGGCTGGGCGAGTGGGCAGTTCCTTTGCTACTGAGTAGAGCACCATACAGGTGAGACTTGAGGCAGACATGTAGGTGGAAGGAATTAAGGCACATAGCTTCATCACCACCACCACCAGCACCATCGCCTCTCCCCCGTCGTCACCGCAATCACCATGGCTGGACGCGTTGGAAGGCTCCTTCGCTGCTGAACTGGGCACCATGCAGGTGGGACTGGATGATAGTAGGCATGCTGACCTGTAGATTTTGGGCACGCACCATCACCATCACCATAACCATTACCATCACCATCACCATAACCATTACCATCACCATCACCATAACCATTACCATCACCATCACCATAACCATTACCATCACCATCACCATAACCATTACCATCACCATAATCATTACCATCACCATCACCATAACCATTACCATCACCATCACCATAACCATTACCATCACCATCACCATAACCATTACCATCACCATCACCATAACCATTACCATCACCATCACCATAACCATTACCATCACCATCACCATAACCATTACCATCACCATCACCATAACCATTACCATCACCATCACCATAACCATTACCATCACCATCACCATAACCATTACCATCACCATCACCATAACCATTACCATCACCATCACCATACCATTACCATCACCATCACCATAACCATTACCATCACCATCACCATAACCATTACCATCACCATCACCATAACCATTACCATCACCATCACCATAACCATTACCATCACCATCACCATAACCATTACCATCACCATCACCATAACCATTACCATCACCATCACCATACCATTACCATCACCATCACCATAACCATTACCATCACCATCACCATAACCATCACCCTTCACGATCAGCCCTGTTCAAACACGCGCATGTGTGAGAGAGCAAGCAAATCCCCTCAGGTTGCTCAAGACCGACTCAGTGGACTACCTTGTGGCTCCGCGCCTGGTGGGCATGTGCCGTGGTCCTGCTGGTGCAGCCAGTGCCAACCCTGTAGTATTTCATTTCACTTCCTTCTGTTCTGCGTCTGTTCTACTGGTGTCAGAGCAAACGGACACCCTGCGAGTGCTCCAGACCGATCCTGTTGACTGTCTCGTGACTCCTCGAGTGGTCGCATGCGCCGTGGCGCTCCCCGTGCTGACGCTGCTGTGCTTCACGGTGGGCATGGCCTCCTCTGTGCTCCTCTGCTTCCCCCTTCCCCCGTGCAAACCACACAGGTATCAGAGCAAGCAGACACACTGCGAGTGCTCAAAACCGATCCTGTTGACTACCTGGTGACTCCTCGCGTGGTTGCATGCGCCGTGGCCCTCCCAGTGCTGACGCTGCTGTGCTTCACGGTGGGCATGGCCTCCTCTGTGTTTCTCGCTGACGCCGTCTACAACGTCAGCTCCAACATCATCCTCGACTCCGCTGCCAGGGCGCTGCAGGTGTGTAGAGCGGTAATGTGGGGTGTGTGGCAAGGTGGTGTGGTGTATGAAGGTGTGAGGTGAGGTGTTGCAGCGTGATGCACTGCCGTCTACAACGTCAGCTCCAACATCATCCTCGACTCGGCTGCCAGGGCGCTGCAGGTGTGTAGAGCGGTAATGTGGGGTGTGTGGCAAGGTGGTGTGGTGTATGAAGGTGTGAGGTGAGGTGTTGCAGCGTGATGCACTGCCGTCTACAACGTCAGCTCCAACATCATCCTCGACTCGGCTGCCAGGGCGCTGCAGGTGTGTGGAGTGGTGGTGTGAAGAATGAAGGCGTGGGACGTGCTGAGCATGATGGTGAAGGCGGTGGTGTTCGGAGGCATCAGCTTTCCCCATCCCCTCCCATATCCCTCTCTCACCCTCATTTCATCCTTCTCCCTCACAGGCGTGGGACGTGCTGAGCATGATGGTGAAGGCGGTGGTGTTCGGAGGCATCAGCTTTCCCCATCCCCTCCCATATCCCTCTCTCACCCTCATTTCATCCTTCTCCCTCACAGGCGTGGGACGTGCTGAGCATGATGGTGAAGGCGGTGGTGTTCGGAGGCATCAGCTTTCCCCATCCCCTCCCATATCCCTCTCTCACCCTCATTTCATCCTTCTCCCTCACAGGCGTGGGACGTGCTGAGCATGATGGTGAAGGCGGTGGTGTTCGGAGGCATCAGCTTTCCCCATCCCCTCCCATATCCCTCTCTCACCCTCATTTCATCCTTCTCCCTCACAGGCGTGGGACGTGCTGAGCATGATGGTGAAGGCGGTGGTGTTTGGGGGCATCATAGCGGACGTGAGCTGCGGGTGGGGCATGACCACGCAGGGCGGCGCCAAGGGCGTCGGCGAGTCCACCACAGCGGCAGTGGTTATTTCGTTGGTTTTAGTCTTTATCGCCGATTTTGCGCTCTCCTGGTGCTTCTTCCAAGGCCCGGGGGATGCACTCAAGGCAGCCATGGGGTAGAGGGGCAGGGGGGAGGGAGAGAGGGAGGGGGAAGGGGGAAGGGGGAGAGGGGGGGGAGAGGGAGGAGGGACAGCAGGAGAGGCAGAAAGAGAGAGGGGGAGAGGCAAGAGCAGCAGATCCCACCACGTGAGCTGCGGGTGGGGCATGACCACGCAGGGCGGCGCCAAGGGCCTCGTGCTTGTCAAGGGCGAATCCACCACAGCTGCTGTTGTCATCTCCCTTGTGCTTGTCTTCATTGCTGATTTCGCGCTCTCCTGGTGCTTCTTCGACGGGCCTGGGGGACACGCTCAAGGCAGCCATGGGGTAGAGGGGAGGAGGAAAGGGTTCAAGGGGGAAGAGAGGTAGCAGGGGGGCAGAAGCCCGGACGACTTGATCCCTTCAGAGTTCCTGGCTCCGAGACCAGATTGAACACATCTTGAAAAAATGGTTGGTCGCAAAGATTTTTGTGCCCAGTGTCAGTTGTACAAATCCTTACAACTCCTTCAAGTGATCACAGAGCATGCCTAGCCCACTCCATGAATGGCCTATGCTTTATCTGTCACTCTTGACGTGCTCAGCGATGCAATCTCTCAATCTCTTGTCAGCGCTCTCGCTTCCTCCCACTTGCCAGTTCGTCAGCAGCACCTGCAAACAAACGTGTTTTCGTCCACCTTTCCAGCCCCTGGCGTCTTTGCGCACCTCTTTCCGGTCATGGTGTTGCCGGCTGAACGAGGCATGTATACCGTAGTTTGTGTCAACGGGAAGCAACGGAAAATGGAAAGCAAGAGCATAAAATGTTGCTTTGATATGGTACGGTAACAGCAGTCCGGTATATTATTTATGGAAAATATCAGTGCCATTGTTTCCCCAATCGCACTATGGCAAGAAAGTGTTGGAATGGAACAATGTCACTTACAGGTTTGATGGCATCAGTATCCCCGTTCTATTCTTTATTCTTTACAGAAGAATGTAAAATCTAACCGTTATAATGTATTGCGAGAATGGTGGGCGGCCACGAATCGCACCATATCGCCCTCCACCGCCGTCGCTCGACCAAACCTCTCGCTCTATTCCGCACCTCCCACCCCCTCCCTCACGTCTCCACCACGGTCCACCAATAACCGCTCCTCATCCCTCCCCAAACCACTGAACCGCAGGCGACTGAAAACCGAACCCAGCGTACATGACGGTCAAGAACGCCGCAGCGCGGCAATCCCGAACCGACGACCCTCACCGCGTTCGTTGCGCCTGCGGTATCGCGTCAGCGCGATTATCGCATGAGCACTTGCCTGAATGGGGGGGAAGCGTTTCAGGCGCATCGTACGATGCGACATCTATTGTGGAGTGTATAACCGCGGGCCAGCCGCGGGGGTCCTTTCCCCCAGGTGGCCTCCTCAAGGGGTAGGAGGGGACCTTACTTACCCCGCACCGCAGGGCCTCAGAAAGTGTTCTGTTCGGGGTTTGGCGAGTAGTACAAGTGGCTCATTCACATTATTACGTGACAGAATTGCGGATTCTATACAATTATCCAGAGTCGGCCTCCAAACGCTTCCTGTCACAGTCACTGCCACAGTACCTTCACCTTTTAGTCGCCATCAACACCTACTAGCACCCGCTAGTAGCAGCTGACGACTCCAATGGCGGCGACTGTGACAGATGACAACTTTCCGAGCCTGGTTTTGGAGTGCGAGCTTCCCGTGCTCGTCTTCTTCTACGCTTCGTGGTCCGCCCCGTCCCGGATGGTCGCTGCCCACATAGACCAGCTCGCCCCTGAATACGCGGGAAGAGTCGCCTGCTATAAAGTGGACACCGACCAAAGTCCCGAGACGGCCATGCGTGAGAGCGTCGGAACCGTGCCTTATGTGAAGATTTACAGGGGCGGAGTTGAATATGAGACGATCTGTAGGAGCCTTACGAGCTTTCCGGTGCTGGCAGGTGTTTTCAAACGTCTCGCGCGCTGATGAAAGCCTCCTGAATTCAACTCTGAAAATCAGACAAAGAATGCATTGTTTTGTTAAAATCTGACTGATCCTTTGCCCAGAAGAAAGGTTCTAAAATCAGGATAATTGATACCGAGGCGGCCCTCTGATCAGGTCTGAAATGTCCCAACACCTTTGATACGGTACGCAGGGCAGCAAAGCAAACCGTTTTGGCATGGGATAATGTGGCTGGCTGGCTCAACATCGCTTCCAACCTCTGGCTGGATGGAAGGAAATCCTGGCATCCAACATCTGGCTTTCAGGTAGGGTACCTAGGCCGGCCAGCTTGGCATCTCGTCAGCAGCAGCCACACTGAGTGTTGGACTTGGATAAAAAGGGCTTTAATGAACTGTATGGATCTATTTGGAATGGCCACAACAAACATGTGTGAGATGCGATCAGCTTGGCCTCTCTGAAGCAGCAGCACCCACTGAAGGGCTAGAGCTGGCAACTGCCTGCTCCAGCCGAGCAACCTGGATGGGGCAAACCAAGGAAGGCCGTATTGTGGTTGGTTTGAGGCATAATGGTTGATATTCATGCCAAAGCTAATCAGCTTGGCCTGTCTGCAGCAGCGGGCACAGAGGGGTTTGAGCTGGCAACTGCCTGCTCCAGCCGAGCCACCTGGATGGGGCAAACCAGGGAAGGCCGCATTGTGGTTGGTTTGATGTGAGGTATAATGATCACCCTGAGTGAGGGACTAGCAGGAAAAATGTTTTGAGCCGACTCAAATGTCAGCTTAGTATCACGCTGAGAAACTAGCAGAAACTAGCTGCTTGTTTTGAGTCGACTCAAAAATCGTGGTTGGTTTGATGTGAGGTGTAATGATCACGCTGAGGGACTAGCAGAAAACTGAAGAAAAGAAAGGGACGAAAAAACAATATTTGAAGGTTGTTGCTGAGTCCTGGCAGAGGAATGCCGGTCTATGAGAGGTGTATCACATGTCAGATATGTGTGCATGAACGGAACGAACTTCACAGGGCCACATGTCACACAGGCACGTGTCATACAGGCACATGCCACTTAGCCACATGCCACACGAACACATGCCGCACTACCACATCCCACAGGGCCACCACGGCTCACCTTGGCCATGAGCTGAGCCACCTCCTCCTCGTGCTGCCGCTTCATTCAAAGTGTACATCCAAATGTCACAGGGCCAAACTCACAAGGCCAAACTCACAGGGCCACAGGTCACATGTCAACAGCACACATGCCACACTACCACATTGCACATGTGGGCACAGCGCCCACCACGGCTCACCTTGGCCAGGAGCTGAGCCACCTCCTCCTCGTGCTGCCGCTTCATCTGCAGGAACCTCATCAGCGCCGCCTCCATCCATGCCTTCTCCGCTGCCAGCTGCAAGGGAGGGAGTCAACGGGAGTCAACATGAGTCAACATGAGACAATCTGAGTCAACGTGAGCCACCTCCTCCTCGTGCTGTCTCTTCATCTGCAGGAATCTGATCAGCGCTGCTTCCATCCATGCCTTCTCCGCTGCCAGCTGTACGGCAGTCAATGGCATTTAGCGGCAGTCAACATGAATCAATGGGAGTCAATGCGAGTCAGCATAAGTCAACGTGAGTCAGCACAAGTCAATGTGAGTCAGCACAAGTCAATGTGAGTCAGCACAAGTCAATGTAAGTCAGCACAAGTCAATGTGAGTCAGCACAAGTCAATGTGAGTCAGCACAAGTCAATGTGAGTCAGCACAAGCCAATGTGAGTCAGCAAAACTCCACGGGCAACAAAATCCAGCAAGGATAATTACAAGCGAAACAGCAATGGCAACAGAAATGGAGGCAGGTTAACAACAACAAAAATCAACCCTCACCTCGTGCACGCTCACCTGATGCATCACCAGCAGTTGAAAGTGTCACCTTCCGCTCTCCTCCTCCATCCAACTCTCGGCATAAGAATCCTCACCTGCTGCACCACAAGGTTCTTCTGCTGCTCCTCTGCCAGCTGTCGCTGGAGCTCCATGTAGTCCTGATGGATCGAAGGGAGTGTGAGGAGAGATGGAGAGCGGTGGAGAGGGATACGACAGAGTTAAAGGCAAGGACGGGAAGGTTCTTCTGCTGCTCCTCTGCCAGCTGCCGCTGGAGCTCCATGTAGTCCTGATGGAACGGACGAGGAGTGAAGAGAGATTGAGATAGATAGAGGCAGGGAGGGAAACGTTCTCCTGCTGCTCCGGTTGCTTTGCTGTGATCTTCCTGTGAAGCTGTGCATGTCCTAGGCTATGTGCGCTGCCCCTTCAGCCCCCCACTTACCCGCCTTATCCCTTCCAGCCAAGCTGTATCGCTTCCAGCCAAGCCTTATCCCTTCCAGCCAAGCTGTATCGCTTCCAGCCAAGCCTTATCCCTTCCAGCCAAGCAGTTCATGAACCGCTGCCGCAGCGGCACTCTGCACCCTATCCACCTTTTCAGGCGCCTGAAAGGTCCCTCACGCACACAGTATGCATATTTTCCAACCTCCCCACCTCACCCGCCGTATTCCTTCCAGCCATGCAGCGTCCACCACGAACCGCTGCCGCCGCTGCACCCTGCCCCCGCTCCATCGCAGCCCTAGGCCCAGGCTCCACCCCTCACCGCCCCCACCGTCGCTCCTCTCTGTCAACGCACTGCCTGCCCCCGTGCTGCTGGTGGGGATGCTGGGAGGGGGGAGGGAGAGAGGGGGAGTGGGGGAAGGGGGAAGTGGCGAGTGGGGAGTGGAATGTGGGGAGTGGGAAGAGAGGAGAGGGAATAGAAGGGAGTTGAGGCGTCTCAGGACTTGCTGTCTGCGCTGCACCCTGCCCCCGCTCCATCGCAGCCCCAGACCCAGGCTCCACCCCGCGCCGCCCCCACCGTCGCTCCTCTCTGTCATCGCACTGCCTGCCCCCGTGCTGCTGGTGGGGATGCTGTGCGGGGGGGGGGAGAGGGGGTAATAGGAGGAAGGTGGGGAGTAACAGGGAAGGGAATTGGGCAGAGGGGGATGGGAAATGGGAAGTAGGAAGTGGGGAAGTGGAGAGAAACGAGAGAAAGAGGGAACACAGAGCGGTTGAGACAATGGAATGGAATGGAATGGAACAGGGCACAGGGCACAGGGCACAGGGCACAGGGCAGCAGGGACTGGGAAGAGGGAATGGCAGCAGCACACGTACAGGGAAGAGTGCGGCCCTCCCGGGTACGCCATCATGCCTCCTGCCTCCGCCATTCCTGAGAAATCCCCACCACCACCAGCACGACTTTTGAGGCGCCTCAAAATACGTACAGGGAAGTGTGCGGCCCTCCAGGGTAAGCCATCATGCCTCCTGCCTCCGCCATTCCTGGAAAATCACCACCACCAGCACTGACACCAGGCAGAGCAGCGAAAGTCGCCCCACCAGCAGCACCAGCAGCAGCACCGGCACCACCCCTGCCAGCAGCGGCGGAAGCAGCAGCCAGAGCAGCGGCTCTAGCTCGTTGAGCAAAGGCCTCTATCTCACTGCTGCTGCTCACGAAGGTGGTGAGCGAGGTGGAGAGTGAGGAGGGGAGGGCGGGGCGGACTGAGGAGCGGAGAGAGGAGGTGAGAGAGGAGGGGAGAGAGGGTGGAGCGAGTGTGGAGGGCTGTGAGATGGAGTCTGGTTCGGTGGGGGCAGCTGCAGCAGAGGAGGTGATGGTGGGGAGGGAAGAACGGGCTGATGAGGGTGGTGGGAGGCGTGCAGACCTGCAAATAGGTAGAGGGGCAAAAAGAAAAGGGGGAAAATGTGAGGAGAATGAACAGGGAGTGTGGAAGGGGGAGATACGGAGTCTGGTTCGGTGGGGGCGGCTGCAGCTGAGGAGGTGATTGTGGCGAGGGGCGAGCGGGCAGATGAGGGTGGAGGGAGGCGGGCAGACCTGCAGTTCCGTGGAGGGGGACGGAAAGGGGTGGAGGGGGATAAAAAGGCGGTAGGCATGGTTGGAACCGGTGGCAATGATCACAATCACTCCCCCAATCACACTCATACTCTCTCTCTCATCCTCTCCCCCTCCCCTTCCCACGCACACTCTGCTCTCAAAGTCCGCCACCAGAGCAACCGGAGTCATTTCGAGAGAAACTCGTCCTCTATTATATCCCCCACAATCCCCCCCCCCAACCCCTCCCCGCTCCCCCCTTCTCTCCCCACCCCCGACGCACGCTCTACTCTCAAAATCCGTCATCAGAGCCGAGCCCCGAGCAGCCCGCTCCCCCGTCCACTCTTTTGACGCCACAAACCCCATCACAGTCCCTCGCCCACTCGCGAACTCACTCTCACACAAACCCCCCCTCCCCTCCCACGCACACTCTGCTTTCAAAGTCCGTCATGAGAGCATCCAGAGCCGATTCTCGGGCGGCCCGCTCCCCCTCCACCCCCGCCGCCAGTCCCTGTAGCTCCCCCCTCATGGCTGCTTCCGCTGCTGCCTTGTGCGCCACCACCGTCTGGGGAGAGGGGGAGGGGGAAAAGGGAGAGATGGGGAAGAAGGAAGAGGGGAAAGAGAGGAGATGAGTCTTCACAACTCGCCAGACCCTCTAGCTTCCCCCTCATGGCTGCTTCTGCTGCTGCCTTCTGCGCCACCACCGTCTGGGGCGGAGGGGTGAAAGGGGGAGGGTGGTGCGGGGCTGAGGGGAATGGAAGGAAGGGCTTCGAGACGTCTCACAACTCGCCGGCCTCTCAAACTCCCCCCTCATTGCCGCCTGCGCTGCTGCCTTGTGCGCCACACGCACCTGGGAACGAGGGAAGGCGGGATTAGCGGATGGGGTGGGGGTGGAAGGGAGGAGGAGAGTTAAGACGCTCAGAATCAGCTGCGCCTCAAGCTGCCCCCTTATGGCCGCCTCCGCCAGTGCCTTGTGCGCCACCACCGCCTTGGGGGGGAGAGGAAGGCAGTGGAGAAGCGGGAGTCTAACTGCTGAATAGCCAAGGGCGAGAGAGAGATATGGGGAAAGAGAGAAATTATGGGAAGAGAGGGGGCCACAGATGAGATGGCTGCAGTGAATCAAGGGGGGGAAGGCGGAATGCAGATGGGGGGATGAGGGGAAGCAGCGGGATTAGAGTCATGTCTTAGAATTAAGAAGCAGTGCAGATGAGATGACGCCTTTCACATTTCGCATTTTGGATTCTCGCATTTCCCGTTTCGCATATCGCCTACAATGCATCTGTCCAGCACACGAACATTCACCTGGAACTGTGCGCATTTCGCCTCCATATCTAACACGTACGCCTCCATCTCCGCCATGTTTTTTTTTTTTTTTTTTTTTTTTTTCGAAACAATGCGAATTCGCTGACGTGCCAACAAGCACAGGAACGCTCATTTTAACTGCGTACACTTGGCCTCCATGTCTTGAATGTAACTCTCCAGCTCTGTCAGCTGCTTGTTGAAACCATGCGCAACTCAAGTGAAGGATTCAGGGGCAAGAACACTCACCTGAAACTGCGCGCACTTGGCCTCCATGTCCTGAATGTATCTCTCCAGCTCCGTCAGTTGGTACGCGAACTCGTTGATGTGCCCACAAGCACAAGAACAACTTACCTGAAAACTACTTTTGAGACGTCTCAAAACTAAAACAAAAAATTTGAGACGTCTCAAAACCCACAAGCACGAGAACAACTTACCTGAAACTGCGCAGGTATTGTATTCACCTGGAACTGCGCGCATTTCGCCTCCATGTCCTGAATGTAACTCTCCAGTTCCGTCAGTTGCGCCGCCGTCAGCACCACCTGCTTGCGCGCGCTCGACCCCCCCGCGTCCTTTCCGCCGCCCTTCTTCCGCCAGTGCAGGCCACCCATTGCGGAGACGGGACTGCCCGCCGGAGGCGCAGCGCAGCGCGCCGAGGCGTATAGACGGTTGTAGCCTGAGCGGCTGTAGCCGGAGATGTATAAACGATGGTGTTAAGCCGAATGGAATAAGCGGTTGTAGCCTGCTACGAGTGCAAACGGGAGGGTCAGGAGTTTACGTGCGGCGGACCTGAGGCGTATAAACGGTTGTAGCTTGAGGCTGGTGAACGGTTGTAGCCTGCTACGAATGTAAAGGAGGGTGTGAGGAGCTCCACGTGCAGCGGACCTGGGGCTTATAAACGGTTCTAGCTTGAGCCGGCTGACCGGTAGCAGCCTGCTACAACCGTGAACGGGGATATCAGGGGCTCGACGTGCAGCCGGCGAAAAAGCGAAGCGAATGGAAGCACTTCACCAGAAGACTGAACGGCAGCGTCGGAGATTGTCGAAATACGTACAGAGGGAGAAGCTTGTAACGTAAGGCCGGCTTGCTAGGTTATCTTGTGAACGCTCGCATTCTATTTATTTTCCTCCTAAGGTACGCAACTCGCATTCTGGAACGCGGTAATCCTAACATAGTTCCTCTCACATTTTGCGCTCACACGCGCACTCGGCATCCCATCCCAATCCCCGTTGAGGGGACGAATCCTGTCAGTCACACAACGAATCCGCTTCGTCCAAGTCCTATCAGCCTCACTGCCACTCTACAGAGTTGTTTGAACGCGGATAAGTTAACGAAGCAGAACAGCTCCATCGTTTCAAGAAAGTTATAAAAACAAAAACGGTTAATAACTTCCCATCGATACCACAATGTACAAAGAAGAGCAACCTAGCAACCTAGAAACCACAGAAAAACAGGAAGCAAACAAAAGGGGACAGTTGGAAACCAAAACAAGACCTATGCCAAACCAGAGTCCATGAACCAGCTTCCCCGACATACTCACATATACCATTCTACCCCACTCCGTATAAGCACATGACCATATGTACACTTCAGGTTACTATCAACCCCACACTATCTTCATCAAGCACCAACTGACGAAGACTTGCTCATTTTCGGCCACCAATCCAGCAGCGACCCAGGCGCAATGCTCCAATCAGGAGTGAGGAACTCCCCCCCACCCATCTCCCAACCCTCCAACTCCTCCTCTTTCCCCTCCCCTCCCTCCTGCACATCCAACTCCTTCCCCAATTCGCCCAGCTGAGAGGAGGAGAGACTGGCAATGGGCAGCACACGCACAATACGGAGGATATCTGTAAGGCTCACCACCCCCTGTAAATGCATCTCCACACTTCCCCCACCTACCCCTCCTCCTCCAACACCTCCCATAGACGACCCAGATACACGCAGCTGCAAATATAGCTCCCTCCTCCCCTCCTGCTACAGCCCGACCCTCGTCCGCTACAGCCGGTTTGTCCTCTTCTATAGCCGGCAGCACTGTAGCAGCGTGCGGCTTTGGCTTGCTGTTGCCAGCGTGACCCTGGTCTTCTAGGTTGTCTTTGAAGATGCTTGTAGAGGGGATGCGAGGCGAGGGCATGGGAGAGGGCTGCTCCTGCTGATCCACCACCCACACGCGGTGCACTCGCTCCCTCACCATGCGGTGCAGCACACGCCTCAGACTCGTGTTGCTGTGAATTCATGAAAAAAGGAAGGGAAAAGAAGAATGTAAGGGTGAGTGGTTTACCACCCACACGCGGTGCACCCTCTCCCTCACCATGCGGTGCAGCACGCGCCTCAGATTCGTGTTGCTGTGACAGGGTGAGAGAAAACGAGACAAGACAGGGGAGGGACGGGAAGAGATCCGAGTCAATGGGCCACCACGCCACCCACACGCGGTGCACCCTCTCCCTCACCATGCGGTGCAGCACCCGCCTCAGGCTCGTGTTGCTGTGAATTCGTAGCACGAAAGGGAACAGGAAGATGTCAGAGTAATAGTGAGTGATCCACCATTCACACGCGGTGCACCCTCTCTCACACCATGCGGTGCAGCACCCGCCTAAGACTCGTGTTGCTGCAAGAGGAAAAGAGAGACACGACAGTGGAAGGAGGAGGGAGATGAGAAGAGGAATGTATGCCACCCCGCCACCCACACACAGTACACCCTCACCATGCGGTGCAGCACACGCCTAAGACTCGTGTTGCTGTGAGGGGACGAGAGAGAATGAGACAAAATGTGAGGAGAGCGGAAAGGAGGACACGAGAATGGCTGGTCCACCATCCACACGCAATGCACTCGCTCCCTCACCATGCGATGCGGCACACAGCTTAGACTCGTGTTTCTGCGAATCCATGAGAAAAGGGAGGGAAAAGAAGGATGTAAGGGTGAGTGACCTACAACCCACACACAGTGTACTCTTTCCCACACCACACTATGTGGATAGGAAATGCAGAGGAAGAATGGGAGGAAGGGGAGGTTTTTTCAGACGAGGAATGTGCGGAGGAACGCGCAGAAGCCCTGCGCTTTCTTCCGCACATTCCTCATCGGAAAAAACCTCCCCTTCCTCCCTTTCTTATTCTGCAGTTCTTATTTTCACAAGTGCAGCACACTCCTTTTAAGGCGCGCTGATATGATTAAAGCGCGCTGATCTAAAACAGCAAAGGTAGTTAATAAGTTAACCACTCTGCATTTGCAATGCAGTGGTTAACCACTCTGCGCTGCAAATATAGAAGCTTAAGATTTAAGGCATCAATGCTTTAGCGAAAGCTAATTCTTAAGCTTGAAAGTCACCAAATTTATTATCTCTAGTATCTAAGCTTGCATATTGAACCGTGTCAGTCAATTTTTTTATGGGGAGCTAGAAAAACCGGTAAGTCTACATATCTAAAAAATTTATATTATGATTCAATATATTATGATTTATTAAAAACTGATCTGTTTTTACGTTATATCAAAACTCCATCTTTACTTAGAGAGGAAATACTTGCCTTACCAGCTAAAAAAGAGTATCCGAAAAAGTCACGGGTCGACGGTCGACAACGATCCGTCTTCGACCGTCGACCTGACCGGCGGGCAAGAAAAACCAAAACCCTCTCGAACAGCATGCCATCCTAGGGAGGCATCAACCCAAAACACCATGCGGCAAGGTGTTTACGGTCGATTCCACCCATGCTTGCATGCCTTTCCCTAGTGGGTTTGTTTTTTTGCCCCGGGCAGCAAGCTTGCTGGGCGGAGTCGTTTGCCTGTTGAGATATTTCAACCAGACTCGTGTTGCTGTGATAAGAAATAAGGCGCGACAGGAATGAGAGAATGATGCAACAGGGATGTGGCAAGATCCAACTAGTGAGAGGTTGAAGAGAGAGGAGGGAGTAGCTCACAACAAGAATGATCAGAATGCTGGGGCCCGTGACCCGTGTTATGTTTACCACCTGCTGCGACTCAGGTGCTACCTGGTGCAGGTGACACGTGGCATGCTCACCGCATGCAGGTGATGAGGTGGCGGTGCTGTGCGGTCCTGACAGCACTCAGGAACTCCCCCACTGTGATCGCCCCAAGGTCCTCAAACTCCTCCTCACCCACCCACCCACCCACCCACCTGTACCGCACTCACCAGGTTCAGGTACTGATTTTTCCTGCTGCAGCCACGACCTCTAACGCTCACCGAGTGCAGGTGATGAGGTGGCGGTGCTGTGCGGTCCTGACAGCACCCAGGAACTCCCCCACGGTGATCGCCCCAAGGTCCTCAAACTCCTCCTCACCCACCCACATGGACAGCACTCCCCATGTGCAGGTACAACACCGTAACGCTCACCGCGTGCACGTGATGAGGTGACTTTTGAGACGTCTCAAAAGTCCTCACCCACCCGCATGTACGGCACTCCCCATGTGCAGGTACAACACCGTAACGCTCACCGCGTGCACGTGATGAGGTGGCGGTGCTGTGCCATCCTGACAGCGCTCAGAAACTGCCCCACTGTGATCGCCCCAAGGTCCTCAAACTCCTCCTCACCCACCCGCACCGCAGTCTTCTTCCCGTGCCCCTTCCTCTCCTTCCCTTACTTCCCGTGCTTCCCCTTCCCCTCTTCCTTCTTCCCCTCTTTCTTCTCCTCCTTCACCCCCTCGTGTCCCTTCTTCCCCTCCACCCCCCCCTCCAGCACGTGAATGCAGCGCACATCAGAAGCGGAGAGAGTATCAATAAGAACCTCTCCCCACGCGTGGAAGCCTGAGTGGGGCTCCGACGCATGTGCCGCCACCACAGGCAGCGCAGTAACCTGGTTGAAGGGGGGGGGGGGCAAGGAGGTTAAATGGTAGAATATCAATGAGAACCTTCCCGCATGCGTGGAAGCCTGAGTGGGCCTCGGACGCATGTGCCGCCACCACCAGCAGCGGCGTTACCTGGTGGAAGGAAGAAAGATAAACAGGAGCACACACACACAGCAGAGCACGTCAGAGGCGGAGTGAGTGTCGATGAGAAAAAAACCTCTCCGCACGCATGGAAGCCTGCATGGGTCTCCACCACATGTGCTGCCACCACAGGCAGCTTTTGAGGCGCCTCAAAAGGCATGGGGCTCCAGCACATGTGCTGCCACCACACCACAGGCAGCGCGGTAACCTGATGGAAGGAGGGAGGAGAAGCAGAAGAGTAGCTACTTTTGAAGCGCCTTGAAAGGAGAGTAACAAGCCGCGCAGCTCAGGGACAGAGAGAGGACTTTTGAGGCGGTCTGTGGGGTCACGTCATCTCGCCACAAGTAGGGAGAGAGATGATTTATTCGGCGCCTCAAATTGCAGCTTTGCAGCTTTGCAGCTTTGTGCTTTTTTCGTTGTTGTTCTACCTAAATTACAATTATATAATATGTTTTTTTTTAATTATTATATATATATAGATGTATTTTTAAGACGCACAAGCACACGCAGTGGTAAGTTGCTGAAACGGACCTGGTGGCGCCTGAAGAGCCGGAACGCGTGCAGAAGAGTGTCAGACGGCGTTATGGTCACCACCAGCGGCCACACGAGACCCAGATCGTCCACCCTGCAAGTAGACGAAGGAAATGGGAGGGGTTATTGGAGTGTAAGAGGGCGTGCAGAAGAGTGTCAGACGGCGTTATGGTCACCACCAGCGGCCACACGAGACCCAGATCGTCCACCCTGGAAGAAGCAGCACGGGATGGGGGGGGGCGGTTAGAGTCTATTCAAGAACGGGTGGCTGACCCAAGTCTGCTGCATCATCGTCACAACCAGCAGCCACACCAGAGCCAAGTCATCCACTCTGAGAGCAGCAGAAGAGGGGAAAAAGGCGTGTGTGTGTGGTCCGGGGAAGAACGCTTGTTACAACCTCACGGCTGCAGCAAAGCCAGAAAGAAGAGGAAGAAGACGGCGTGCTTGGGATTGCCACGCACCTCTGCCCTCTGCCATCTGCCCCTCTCTCACCTCTTGGCCAGAGCCAGTCCCATGAGCCCTTCGTGCGACAGCAGGAACGTAGCGACGTCCATCTGCGACAGAACGCGGTACTCCTCGCCCACCACGCCACCCGTCACCTCGCTGTGCACCGCCAGAGGCATCGGCGGCACCACTGGCATCACTTTCAGCACCGGCACCACCAGCAGCACCAGCAGCACCAGCAGCACCAGCACCACCAGCAGCACCAGCACCACCAGCAGCACCAGCAGCACCAGCAGCACCAGCAGCAGTAGCACCACCAGCAGCACCAGCACCACTGCTACTTCCTCCTCCTTTCCTTCCCATGCACCTCTCCCAACACTCACCTTTTAGCTAATGCCAGTCCCATCAACCCTTCATGAGACAGCAGGAACGTAGCGACGTCCATCTGAGACAGAACGCGGTACTCCTCGCCCACCACGCCGCCCGTCACCTCGCTGTGCACCGCCAGAGGCATCGGCGGCGCCGGCACCACAGGTGCTCCCTCCTCTCCCTCCCTCTCCCCCTCACCGTCCCCCTCCCCCTTCTCCTTCTCTGCGCGCCTCTCCGCCAGGGTTACGGGCTTGGGGGGGGCGTCGGTGAGAGGGAGCAGGTCGTGCTCGCCCGGGCAGATGTTGGGCACGAGGCCGCGGTGGAAACCCCCCGCGCCCAGCAGCAGCATCGCCTGCCACACACTGGGATCAGGAGGGGGGGAAGTAGGGGAAGCCTCAGTAAGTGCGTGCAAGCCGTTCAGGTGCTGCAAGTGGAGCAGGTCGTGCTCGCCCGGGCAGATGTTGGGCACGAGGCCGCGATGGAACCCCCTGCTCCCAACAGCAGCATCGCCTGCCACACACTGGGCGGGCGCGCAGGGGAAGAAGAGGGGGGAAAGAGGAGGCGGGAGGGGGCAGAGAGGGGGAAGAGGAAAGAGAGGGGGAGGAGAAGGATGTATTAATTTTAGCGCCTCAGAAATCGTTTTAGAAGCCACTGGCGATGCAGATGCATCAGCACGCTGAATCTGTTTTTCGAGAATTCTAAAAAAACAGATTCAGCATACAATTCCCCTCCCTCGTTTTAGAAGCCACTGGCGATGCAAACGCATCAGCACTTCCTGTTAGACGTGAAAAAAATAATCAAAGAACTCACAAGCCGCAAGCTTCTTTTTCTTTTAGACGTCTCAAACATTGTCTCCTTACACATTCAGAAGCCACTGCCTCACTTGGTCGTACCCTCCCTTCCTCTTCTCTCCCTCTCTCCCTCTCTCCCTCTCTCCCTCTCTCCCTCTCTCCCCTTACCCCCCTCTCTCTCTCCCCTTCCCCCTCCTCCTCGCCGTGACTACCTGGCGTGGGGATCCACGACGACCATCTGACGTGTCTCCTCGGACTTGCCCATGACGTCAGCGACCTTCACGTCGCACAGGGTCTTCGCCACCATTTCGCCCTCGTCGCCACGCGCGCCCTTGTTACCGTCCCACTCCGCGAGAAAGATCGCCACGTCCACCACCGAGAGCTGCGAGCGGAGACATGCGGTAAGAACGGGGGCGAAAATCAACAGGGGGGAAAAGAATCAGGGGCGAAAAGAAACAGGGGCGAAAAGAAACAGGGGCGAAAAGAAACAGTGGCGGAAGGAACGGGGGCAGAAAAAGCAGGGAGGGAAGGAGCAGGAGCGGAACGAACGGGGCGGAAGGAGCAGGGGTGGAATTAACAGGGGCTGGAGGAACTGTTGCGGAACAAGCGGCGGGGAACCAGCAGGGGCGGAAAGGACAGGGCGGAATGACTAGGGTCGGCGAAAGAATATGGCGAAACGAGCATGTTCGACAGGAGACGACTCAACATGCCGACGAATCGCACATACGACGTGCGACGACGACTCACCATGCCGACGAATCGCATGGGCGACGGATGCACCATGATGGACTGCAGCGCTTGTGGCTTCTTGAGCGACGGCTTCTCGGTTTGGTGCGGTGCAGAGAGGCGACGGTTGCGCACGGGCATCGACGTCACGTGGTGCTCCTGAAACAGCTTCAGGGCCGTTGTTAACGAATCGTTTGCATCCACTGTAACGAGCGTCCTCTTACCGAGGACAAGCTCCTTCACTTCAGACAGCTTCAGTACGCGAGCCATGACGGTCAAACCAGTCAAACAGCGATGACGGTCCAACGATGAAACGATGCAGAACCTGATCTCAAGTCAATACCTCAATTTGAAAAGACGTTTCAATATATACAGCTCCCGCTTTACTATCCTATTCTCTCTCACAGTAGCGGCTACAGCACTCGGACGAAATCAAGCAACAAATCGCGGAGACTCGAAAATGGAGCAGAAAGAAAAACCCACAGCATTCACGTACGAAACAGCAACAAGAAACACAGATTCACGACACGCATCCCAGTCATGTTGTATCTTGGTCTTGCCTGCCTCACGCGCCGCATCGAGCGAATCCCACCATGCACATTTTCTTGGTATTTCGAGATTTTGCTTTGCATCCATTTGAATGGAGCTGCATGGGTCATTCCTCTTTGTGGCGGGAATGATAAGGTGGTAACCTGCATACGAACTTCTTTCTCCCTGCAATGCTGTAGAACGCCAGCCATCGAATTTTGCGAAACAGATTGCCATGAGGTCGCATCCGTGTCGCCGATGCATTTCGTCAGCCATAGTGATGGGAAACAACCCGTGCTGTGTTATGCAAAAATTCGTAATGTGCCCGAATGCTCAAAACCAGCACTCCTTGTGGTGACCGTTCTCTACCCGCGTGTTCCATTGATGCCAGAAGTGCAGAGGCTGCCCAGAACTGGGCCCCAAAGTCCGAACCCAAAGGAAAAAAATCTACCCAGAAATAAACGTGTCGCAATGGTCGGGATGTTGGGCATCGGCCCATGATCTTCGTAACTTCTGCATGTGCTGGCAGCTGCCCGTCAGAAATGAGCAAAAACGGATGAGGTAAGAAGGAAAGGAGGAGTCGGACACGTGGCGCTGACTCGGATGGCACAAGGAGATGGCACAGCTGGATGAATTGCTGACGCTAGAATTCTTATTACTGGCGTGGCGTTCTGAGGCGCCCAGCTTAACCTGGATGACTCTCAAACACTACCATAAATACAAATGAAGAGTTCAATATATCTGGTACAACAATAGGAGAAGATTAACACTTCAGATCTTGAAGCCCTTTACTCATAACTGGCAATCTGCAGTAACGTTTATATACAGAACAAACAAAACAAAAAGAACATGTTAGATAACAAGATTGGAGGATAAATGGATACGAGAAAGGGGGGGAGGGGGGGCGGGGGGGGAGAGAGAAGGGGGAGGTAGGAGCTGGCGCATACTTTCATTTGACTCCTAGTCATCTCACCTTTGACAGAAGACTTTCATTTTCCGCCTCGTATTTCCGCTTGAGCTCTATGAACTGCGCCAAAGCAGCCTCCATCCAGACCTTATCAGCCCTTAACTGTATGATTAACGGAAGGCACGTGCAGGCAGGCAGCACAAAAGGTGAAGAACAAAAATGAAAAACAACAAAAACACAGATCAGTAACAGCATCAAATATTTCGCAGAAAAATGCTTCCCCACATCTGCCACACCTCATACTTCCCAGCCACACAATGAAACCCCCCAAACTCAATACTTTTTCAAGTGCCTTGACCCGGCCCCCCGCTGACCTGCTCCGGTGTTGCCAGCTGGTTCTGCTGCTCTGCCGTGGTATGTCACATGCCCTCCTACTCCTGATGGCATGAGCGGCATGTGGTGGTATCATCCCACACTCCCCCCAGAACCCCGCAGAAACCCCCCAAACCCCTCAGACCACCTCAAAACCCCCCAGAACCCCTCAGAACCCACAACAATCCGAGCCCCCACACACCTGCTCCAGTGTTGCCAGTTGATTCTGCTGCTCTGCCAGGGTCTGTCGCATCGTCTCGTACTCCTGATGGCACGGGCGGCAAGGTGGGCGGCGGCATGGGCAGCATGGGCAGCATGGGACGGCATGGGACGGCAGAGGTGATACAGGTGGCAGAGTAGGAAGGGGATGGCACAAGTTCCATGCGGTATGGGATGCAAAGTGGAAAGGAAGGGAGGACATAATGGAGCACAGGGGAAGACAAGTAGGTGCAACTAAGAACAGGCGAATGTGATAAGACGATTTACGAGGTGCATCAGAAACTGTCTCACTTCGTGCAGACTGGAGAGAAAGGGGGACAGGAAGGAACGCGTGGGAAGACGAATAGGTGCAACTCAACACGCAAATACGATACTGTCTTACCAGCCATCCCCCATCCACCATCCCCCATCCACCATCCCCCATCCACCATCCCCCATCCACCATCCACCATCCACCATCCACCATCCACCATCCCCCATCCACCATCCACCATCCACCATCCACCATCCACCATCCACCATCCACCATCCACCATCCACCATCCACCATCCACCATCCACCATCCACCATCCACCATCCACCACCCACCATCCACCATCCACCATCCACCACCCACCATCCACCATCCGCCGTCCACCATCTCCATCCACCCAACACCCAGCATCCACCACAATTCCTGGTTCTGAGACGTCACAACACACATGCTCCACACCTTTCTAGTCACCTCCATCCACACGCCACCCACCATCCACTTGTGCTGCCACCCTCCCTTCCCTTTCCTTCCACCATATTATATCACTGCACCACACCCACGCATACCTTTCTAGACACCTCCATCCACACGCCGTCAACCATCCACTTGTGCTGCCACCTACTACCTGCTGAACCCCCCTTCAGCCACCACTGACAGCAGCAGCAGTGGGCCTGCCAAGCCAACGTCCTCCCTTCCCTTTCCCATGCATACCTTTCTAGTCACCTCCATCCACACGCCATCCACCATCCACTTGTGCTGCCGCCTCCCCGCAACCCCCCAGTCAGCCACCACCGACAGCGGCAGGGGTGGGCCAGCAGACGTTCCTGCAAAGAAATCCCACAGGCCCGTGGGGCTGGGGGAAGTGGGGTTGGGAAGAAAAAAACAGGGGCAAGGTTGGGAAGAAGCAAGAGGGAAACTCAGCCACCACTGGCAGCGGCAGCGGTGGGCCTGCTGACGTGCCTGCAAAGAAATCCCACAGGCCCGTGGGGCTGGAGACGTGGGGGGGAAGGACGGGGGGGGAAGAGGGAAGTGGGGGGTGGAAAGGGGGAACGGGAGGGGCATTCAGCCACCACTGGCAGCGGCATCGGTGGGCCTGCTGACGTGCCTTGGGCCTGCTGACGTGCCTTGGGCCTGCTGACGTGCTTGCAACGGAATCGTACAGAGCTGCTGTGGGTCGAGACATGAGGGCGGAGAGGGGGATGAGGGCGGAGAGGGGGATGAGGGCGGAGAGGGGGATGAGGGCGGAGAGGGGGATGAGGGCGGAGAGGGGGATGAGATGAGGGCGGAGAGGGGGATGAGGACGGAGAGGGGGATGAGGGCGGAGAGGGGGATGAGGGCGGAGAGGGGGATGAGATGAGGGCGGAGAGGGGGATGAGGGCGGAGAGGGGGATGAGGGCGGAGAGGGGGATGAGATGAGGGCGGAGAGGGGGATGAGGGCGGAGAGGGGAGTATAACAATGTGGCCATGCTGTGGGACACACGTACTGTGCTAGGACATGCTTTGAGGCCCCGACAAGGGGAGTATGAACGTGTTGCCATGCCGCGGGACACGCATGCTGCTAGGACACGCATGCTGGTGCTTGGAGGAGCGTGCTTGGAGGAGCGTGCTTGGAGGAGCGTGCTTGGAGGAGCGTGCTTGGAGGAGCGTGCTTGGAGGAGCGTGGTACTCACAGGGTGGCGTCGTGAGGAATGACAGGTCCCGCCTTGTGCTCCGGGCTTGGGCTCCATTGCTTGCTCCCCGGGCTCATTCGGCTCGTCGCACGCCTCTGCCCGGGGCTGCTACCAGTGCTCTCTGATTGGCCTGCTGCTGCTGCTTGACTCGTACCTACCCTGCTTGTCCCTACACCACATTCCCCTGCCCCACCTGCCCCACCTGTCCCACCTGCCCCACCACCTGCTCCTGCCCTACCCGTTCCTTCCCCCTCACCTGCCCGTGCACCTGCCCGTGCAACTGCCCGTGCACCTGCCCCACCACCTGCCCCACCACCTGCCCCACCACCTGCCCCACCACCTGCCCCACATGCTTCAGAAGTATTTTCCTGACCACGCCCTTCGCCCATGTATAGTGAGGGGGTGGAGGCAGAGAGGCACTGAGAGGAGGCGTTGGTGGAGGGAGGGTGGGCGAGGGACCAGGCAGAGAGGGAATGAGAGAGGGAGGAGGAAAGGGAGGAGGAGAGAGAGGAAGTTGGAGGAGAGAAATTCGGGGAGGAGACAGCTGGAACAGGGTTTGCTGCTTGTGCTGGTGCGGGTGCTGCTCCTGTGGCTGCTCCTGCAGGTGCTCCTGCTGGTGCTGCTACTGGCATCGCCGCAACATCTGTGGTGGGTGCTTCGGAGCCGGCATGCAGCATGTGAGCAGCGCGGCGGGTCAAGGCCTCCAGCTGGGAGTCATGCCATGCGAAGGCCTGCGCTGCTGCTGCATCCACTGATGCATATGGCTCACTCGCCCTGCCAGAAAGAGAGGGACGAGGAGAGAGAGACGTGGGGGTTTGGGAGGAGAACGGGAAGGGGTCGGTGGGTTCAAGGGGCATGCGCTGCTGCTGCATCCACGGACGCATATGGCCCACTCGCCCTGTCAGGGAGAGAGAGGCGTGGAGGACTGGTGGGGTGGTGGGAAAGGTGGAATGAGAGAGAGACTGAGAGCAGGAGGATGGGAATGAGGGGAGCGGAAGAAGAGGCAAATGCGCGAAAAGCATGTGTGTGTGCGTGTGTACTCACGCGAAGTCGCGTTTCTCCATCCCCGTTATAAGCGTCTTCAGTGCAGCGTCCCGCGCAGCCCTCTCCCGTGCTGCCTGCTCCACCATCCCTTCCACCCGCTGCCGTTCCTCCTGCAGCTGCTGTGCCTTGGCCGCCAGGGCCCGCTGCAATGAAGGAAGAGGAAAACAGGGAAGAGGGAAAGAGGGAAAGAGAAGGGAGATGGGCAAGACGGGGGAGGAGGGGGAAGAGGATGGAAAAGATGCACCACCATCCCCTCCACCCGCTGCCGTTCCTCCTGCACCTGCTGAACCTTGGCCGCTAGGACACGCTGAAATGGGGAGAGAAAGGAGCAGGGGAGAGACGGGAAGGAGTTTTGCGGCGCCTCAAAAGTTGCTAAGCCTTGGCCTCCGGAGCCCGCTGGAATGGGGAGAGAGGCGAGAAGAAGAAGGCAAGTGGGGGAAAGAGGCGGAAGGGAGTGGCTGGAGAGTTGCACATGAGCACGCTTTGTGAAGTGCCTAAAAAATACGGACAAGTAGGGGGCAGAGGCTGAATGCGTTTTCTGGAACTTTCTGAGAATTCTAAAAAAATAAACGCATTCAGGGAGGGAGAGGGCGTGATTCCTAAACCTTGCATGTGTGTACACCGTTAATATCAACGAAAGGGCCATTAGAGGATGGAGATTTGCATATGAGCAAGATTTTTGGGGTGCCTCGAAAATATGAACAAGCAGGGGGCAAAGGAGACCAGAGCAAGGGATGGGGATAGCATGGACGGATGGAGGGAGTGAAGAGGAGAAAGTGAAGAGGAGGAAACGTACCTGGAACCTTCTACAGACAGACTCCATGCTGGCGATATGCGACCCCAGCTCCTTCACCTGCTCCTTGCCTATCACACACACCCCACTCCCTTGACTCCTCCCCTCCTCCCTAGCTCTGCTCTCCTCCTCTCTCGCTCTGCTCTCCTCCTCTCTGGCCCGCTGCTCTCGCACTCTCGCTCGCCTCTCTCGCTGCACAAGCCCCTTCCACTGAGCACCCAGCGCCTTCACTTGCCCTGTCCACTCCAAGGTCCTCCTCCCCCACTCCTCTTCCCTCGCTATCCACTCCCTCTCTCGCTCCCTACACTCCTTCTCAGCCCCTTCTCTCCCTGTCACCTCTGCTCTTCCCCCCTCGTCACCTCCTTCCTTTGCCACTCCTTCATCTTCTCTCTCCTTGCCCTCCTTCTCCCTCTCCTTTTCCCCCTCCGCCTCCCCTATTGTTTCCTCTCCCTTCCCCTTCTCCATCCTGCTCTCCCTCCACATCTCCACTGCCTCTCTCACCTTCCTCTCTCTCTCCTCCAAATCCTCCAGTAATTTCTCCCTCTCCCTTTCCAGTTCTCTCTTCACTTCCTCCCTATCTCGCTCCACCTCCTCCCTCACTCTCTCCGCCTCTTCCCTCACTCTCTCCCTCTCCCTTTCCACCTCGTTTCTCACTCTCTCAATCTCCTTCTCCCCCTCTTCTCTCACTCTCTCCCTTTCCCTCTCCACCTCGTTCCTCACTCTCTTAACCTCTTTCTCCCCCTCCTCCCTCACTCTCCCCCTCTCTCTCTCCACTTCCTCAACCAACCTCCCCCTCTCCTCCACCCACTCCGCCTCCCTCCTCTCCCTCTCCCTTTCCCTCTCCCTCTCCCCTTCCTCCACTCTTCCCTTCCACATCTCCTCAATCTGTCCCACCAGCACTTCCATTCCACACCTCTTCTCCTCCCACTCTTCTCTCATCTCCCTCTCCTTCTCCTCCCACTCCCTCCTCTCCCTCTCAACCTCCCCTTCCACCTCTCTCCTCTCCCTCTCCATCTCCCTCACTCTCTCCTCGATCTCCCGCAACCTCCCCTCAGCCACAACCCTCTGTTCAGTCTCCACCTGTCTGGATACCACCTCCCTCCGGAGCTGCTCCCGAACCTGCTCCAGTTGCTGCCTAACCAGTTCCACCTCTTCCCGAGCCTTTTGCCAAGCCTCCGACACCTGTTTCCAAGCCTGCTGCCTCACTATCTCAACCTCCTCCTTTCCCTCCTCCCTAACCCTCTCAATCTCCTCCCTACCCTCCTCCCTAGCCCTCTCTACTTCATCCCTAACCTCCTCTCTAACCCTCTCCACCGCTTCCAACCCCTCTCCTGCAACCCGCTCCACCTCCCCTCTCAAGCTAACAACTGCTTGCTCCAGCACCATCCGAACCATCCTGCCCTCCTCCTCTGTCCTCGTTACAAGCATCTTCGCTTCTTCCACAAGCCCTGTCAACTCATTCACCTCTCTGCCCCTCACTTCCAACTCCTCCTCTTTCCTCGCTACAAGCATCTTCGTTTCTTCCACAAGACCCATCAGTCTCCCGACCTCCTTGCCCCTCTCTTCTACCTCCTTCCCCTTCAATTCTAGCTCTTCCTCTTTCACTCTCAGCTCCTCTCTCTGCCTCTCCACCTCCCCCTCCTTCTCCCTCACCTCCTTCTCAGCCTTCCCAAGCCTCTCACTCACTCCCTCTATCTTCACCTCCAACTCCCTCACTCGCTCCCTCACTCGCTCCCTCACTCCCTCCCTCACTCTCTCTAGCTCCTCCTCCAGCGTTACAACCTGCTTCCGTGCAGATTCACGCTCTGCTACAGCCGCCTGTCGTGCAGCATCACTCTCTGCTACAACCGCAAGCCTTGCAGCTTCAGCTGCTACAGCCGCCTTGCGTGCTGCTTCAGCTTCTGCTACAGCCTCCCAGAGCCTTCTGTTGACCACGTCAGCATCAGCTTTTGCAGCGTCAGCCTCCGCCCTTGCAACGTCAGCATCAGCCTTCGCAGCGTCAGCATCAGCCCTCGCTGCGTCAGCATTAGACTGGACAAGCGCCCTAACCTCCTCCTCCATCTGTCTCCTCCCTGCTTCGCCTTGCCCCTCCTCTCCCTCCACCCCCTCTTTAACCACTTGTACACTTACCCCTTGCCCTGCTCCTTCCCTTAATAGACTCTCTTTCAGTCTAACCAACACCGCTCTCCACCCATCCCTCTCCCTCCTCATGCCTTCCACCTCCTCCTCTCGCTCCCTCACTCTCTCCTCCAGTCCACCCACCTCCCTCATCAGCCTCATCCTCTCCCCCTCACTCTCCACCCACTCCCTCTCCACTTCCTCCATTCTCTTTCTCACTCGCTCCACCTCCTCCTCTCCCTCCCTCACACTCCTTTCCTCCTCTCTCAACCGCTTGACTAACATCTCCATATCCCTCTCTACAATACCCCTCTCCCTCTCAGCCTCCTCTCTCCTCTCCTCAGCCTTTTCCATCTGTCTCTGTAGCACAGTCACTTCCCCTTCCATCTCCTCCACTCTCCCCCCCATCTCCCTCACTCCCCTCAACCCCTCTTCCAGCTCCTCCCTCACACTCTCCCTCTCCCTCTCCACCTCCTCCCTCCTCCCCCTCTCCTCCTCCACTCTCCTCTCTGCAACCCCTACCTTCTCAGATAACACCTCCCCTTCAGCAGTAAGCACCTGCACTTGCTCTCGAAGCTTCCTCGCTTCCTCCTTAGTTTCCTTGCACTCTCTCACAAGCCCTTCCCTCTCTGTCTTTAAGGCTGAAAGCTCCTGCACTCGCTTATTCAACTCCTCACACACTTTCACGTTTTTCACACGCATACTCTCACACTCGTTGCCTAACCTCTTCCTTTCCTTCTCCCCCTGTTTTCTCGCCTTCTCACTCTCTCTTTCAATCTCCCTCACTCTCCCTTTCAGACCCACCACCTCCTTTTCTAGACTCTCCTTCGCTTTAACCACGCGTGCCAGCTCAGCATCCAAGACACGCTTCGGCTTGCGCTCCTTTTCCAGCTCAGCATAGAGCCATTCCACCTCACCAGCCAGTCGTTCCACCTCAGCAACTAGCCCCTCCATCTCCCTGACTTTCCCCTCAAATTCACTCTGCACCACTCCCACTCTCTCCTTCCATTCTGCCTTCTCTCTCTGCAGCACCACTATTTGCTGCTCCTTTTCTTGCACACACGCCTGCAGCGCTAACACGTGCTGCTCCTTCTCCTCCATCTCCCTCACTTTCCCCTGCACCTCACACTGCACCACCCCCAGTCGCTCCTTCCACTCCTTCACTTCCTCTTCCTTTCTTCTCAACTCCTCTCCCTTTCCTCTCAAATCCTCTTGCTTCCCTCTCAACTCCTTCTCCATACCCCTCTCCTTCTCCTCCCTCTCCCTCACCCGCACCTCCAGCACTTCAACAACTCTCAGCATCTCTTCCTTCCCCTTCTGCAGCACCGCTATTTGCTCCTCCTTCTCTTGCACGCACGCCTGCAGCGCCAACACCTGCTGCTCCTTCTCCTCCATCTCCCTCACCCTCACTTCCAGCTCTTCAACCGCTCTCAACACCTCTGTTTTCTCCTTCTGCAGACGTGCAAGTTCCTCAACCCTCGCAGCAATCTCCCTCTCACTCCTCTCCACTGCCTCTTTCTCACTCACAGCCATCTTGACCCTAGCCTCCTCCCACTCTGCCCTCTCTCTCTGCAGCACCGCTACCTGCTGCTCCTTCTCTTGCACGAGAGCCAACACCTGCTGCTCCTTCTCCTCCATCCCTGCTTGTAACGAGGATATCTGCTTCTCCCTCTCTTCCACTCCTGCTTGTAACGCAGCAGCTTGTCTCACTCCCTCCTCCACTTGCTCCTGCAGTGATTTCAGCTGCTGCTCTTTCTCTCCTAGACCAGCTTGTAACGAGGATACCTGCTCCTCCTTCTCACCCACACTTGCCTGCAGCAAATCCATTTGCCTCGCCCTCTCTTCCTTTTCAGCCTGTAACGAGGATATTTGTCCCTCCTTCTCCTGCACACTCCCCAGCAGCCCACTCACTTCCCTCACCCTCTCTTCCACCTCTGCTTGTAACGAGGATACCTGCCCCCCCTTCTCATCTACCCTTGCTTGTAGCCCACTCACTTCCTTCACCCTCTCTTCCATCTCAGCTTGTAACGAGGATACCTGCTCCTCCTTCTCCTGCACACTTGCCTGCAGCACCCCCATCTGCTTAACCCTCTCTTCTAACTCAGCTTGTAACAAAGACACCTGTTCCTCCTTCCCCTGCACACTTATCTGCAAAACCCCCATATGCCTTACCCCCTGTTCCAACTCAGCTTGTAACGAGGATGCATGCGACTCCTTCTCATCCACTCTCGCCTGCAGCCCACTCACTTGCCTCACCTTCTCTTCCACCTCTGCTTGTAACGAGGATACCTGCTCCTTCTTTTCCTCCACTCTCGCCTGCAGGCCACTCACTTCCCTCGCCCTCTCTTCCAACTCAGCTTGTAACGAGGATATTTGTCCTTCCTTCTCCTGCACAATCGCCTGCAGCCCACTCACTTGCCTCGCCCTCTCTGCCACCTCGCCCTGCAGCGCATACACCTGCCTGCCCTTCCCTTCCACAGCCGATTCCAGGACCAGAATCTTGGCATCCCGCACCCCCATTTGCCCCACCCTCTCTTCTATCTCTGCTTGTAAAGAGGAAATCTGTCCCTCTTTCTCTCTCACCTCGCCCTGCAGAGCATACACCTGCCGGCCCTTCCCTTCCAAAGCAGACTCCAGGACCAGAATCTTTGCATCCCGCACCAACACCATAGCCTCTTTCTCCCGCACAACCCCCTTCTGCTCCTCAACCTGTGATCGAACTACCTCAATCTCCTCCCTCTCCTTTCGAAGCTCCCCAAGAGTCTCCCCTAACTGCTGCTGCTTCTCTTCCAATTGCTGCCTCTTTTCTTCCAGCTGCCGCCTCCCCTCCTCCACCTGTGCCTGTAGCACTACCACCTGCTCCCTCGCCTTTCGCCCCTCCTCAACACTCTCCTCCAACTGCCTCCTCCCCTCCCCCATCTGTGCTTCCAGCGCTGTCACCTGCTCCCTCGCCTCTCTCAACTTCTCACCAGCTTTCCCTTGCATCACTGCGCTGTCCTCTCTCAACACCTCCATATCTCCCTTCAACACTTTAATCTCTTGCTGCTTTCCGCTCATCTGTGCTTCCAGTGCTGTCACCTGCTCCCTCGCCTCTCTCAGACTCTCACCTGCCTTCTCTTGCATCACTGCGCTGTCTTCTCTCAACACTTCCATATCTCCCTTCAGCGCTTTAATCTCCTGCTGCTTACTGCTCACTTCCTCAGTCAAAAACACGATTTGCTTCTCCTTGTCCTCTAGATTTCTCTCCCTTGCCCTCAACTCTTCCCCCTTCCGTTCCAATGCAGCCTTCGCGCCCTTCCTCTCCTCCTCAACCTCTCGTTCCAACCTCGCCATCTCACTTTCCTTCTCTTTCAACTCACTTCTCAACCCCACCACCACACAATCCTTCTCCTTCACCTCACCCTGCAGCTGCTTCACAGCCCCTTCCCTCTCCTCCACGTCTTTCCTCAACCTTTTTATCAAGCTCGCAGCTACCTCTTTCCTCTCCTCCATTTCCTTCCTCAAGCTTCCCATCAAGCTCGCTGCTGCTGCTTCCTTCTCAGCTGCCGCACTTCTCAACGCCACAGCCACCGCACTCAACTCCTCTACTTCACCTTTCAACCCCATAACCACCGCATCTGCGCCCTCCTCCAATGCTTTCACCTTTTGCTCTAGCTCATTCAGAGCTTCTTCTTTCTCCTTCACGTCTCCTGTCAAACGCACCACCTCGCTTTCTTTCGCTTCCAATTCTCCCTGCAACCCCTTCAACGCCTCTCCCTGCTCCCTCAGGTCTTCTGTCAAATGAGCCACTTCCCTTTCTTTCACCTCCAGTTCGCCCCTCAAACCCACCACCACCCCTTCCAACTCCTTCAAAGCCTCTTCCTTCTCCCTCACATTTCCTGTCAAACGTGCCACCTCACCTTCCTTCTCCTTCAACTCTCCCCTCACACCCACCACCACCGTTTCCAACTCCTTCAAATCTGCCTCCAGGCCTGCAACAACCCCTTCCTTCCCCTTCAGTTCGTCCCTCAGCCCCACCAGCACCACTTCCTTCTCTTCCAACTCTACCCTCAAACCCATCACCACCCCTTCCAACTCCTTCAAAGCCTCTTCCTTCACCCTCACATCCCCTGTCAAGCGCACCACCTCCCCTTCCTTCTCCATTAACTCTCCCCTCAAACCCACCACCACCCCTTCCAACTCCCTCAAAGCATCTTCCTTCTCCTTCAATTCTCCTGTCACACGCACCACCTCACCTTCCTTCTCCTTCAGCTCTCCCCTCACACCCGTCACCACCCCTTCCAACTCCTTCAAAGCTGCCTCCTTCACCTCCAACTCGCCCCTCAAACCCACCACCGCCCCTTCTTTCTCCTCCACCTCCCTCTTCCACCCCACCATCACCTCCTCCCCTAACTCCCTTTCTTTCTCCACCACCCACACTCTCTCCCTCGCCTCCTCCCTCTCCCGCTTCACCCTCTCAACCTCCACCCTCCCTCGATCCACCTCCTCCCTTCCCTCCTCCACCTGTTTTTCCAACTCAACCACTCTTGCTTGCAAAATCTCCTCCTTCTCCTTCACTTCTGCTACCGTCGCCTGTGAAGCAACCACTTCCCTTTCCAACTCAACCACTCTCGCCCGCAAAACACCCCCCTGCTTCTCCAGCTCTTCTAAAATCGCATGCACAACAGTCTCCTTACTCTCCAGTACCGCAATTCTCGCCTGCAAAGCACCCTCCTTCTCCTCCACCCCCCTCTCCAACTCAGCCACTCTCGCCTGTAAAACAGTGCCCTTCCCCTCCAGTTCTGCTACCCTCGCCCGTGAAACGACCTCTTCCTCCTCCAACTCGACTACTCGCGCCTGCAAAACACCCTCCTGCTCCTTCCACTCTGCTTCCACCCTCAACCGCGTCTCCTCCATCTCGCCTATCCTCTCCTCCAGCTCAGAAACCCTCTTCTCCAGCTCACACATTCTCTCTTTCTTCTCCTCCAGCTGCCCCACCGTCTCCTTCCTCTCCTCTTGCAGGAGCTGCACCCTCTCCTGAAGCTCGCAAACTCTCTTCTCCAGCTCACATACACTCTCTTTCCTCGCCTCCAGTTCAAATTTCGTATTTATCAGCTGGTATACCACCTCCTTCCTCTCCTCTTCCAGAAACTGCACCCTCTCCTGCAGCTCACAAACTGTCTTCTCCAGCTGACATACCGCATCCTTCCTCTCCTGCACCTCGCAAACCCTCTTCTCCAGCTCACACACTCTCTCTTTCCTCGCCTCCAGTTCGAATTTTGTAGTTCCCAGCTGGTATACCACCTCCTTCCTCTCCTCCTGCAGTGACTCCACCTTTTCCTCCAGCTCAGAAACCCTCTGCTCCAGCTGACAGACACTCTCTTCCTTCTCCTGCACCTCGCGTACCCTCTCCTCCAGCTGCCCCACCGTCTCCTTCCTCTCCTCTTGCACAGACTCCACCTTTTCCTCCAGCTCAGAAACCCTCTGCTCCAGCTGACAGACACTCTCTTCCTTCTCCTGCACCTCGCGTACCCTCTCCTCCAGCTGCCCCACCGTCTCCTTCCTCTCCTCTTGCACAGACTCCACCTTTTCCTCCAGCTCAGAAACCCTCTGCTCCAGCTGACAGACACTCTCTTCCTTCTCCTGCACCTCGCGTACCCTCTCCTCCAGCTGCCCCACCGTCTCCTTCCTCTCCTCTTGCACAGACTGCACCTTTTCCTCCAGCTCAGAAACCCTCTTTTCCAGGTGGCACACTCTCTCTTTCTTCTCCTTCAGTTCACATACCGTCTTCCCCAGCTCACCTACCGTCTCATCCCTTTCCCCTTCCACCCGCACGGCCCTGTCTTGAAGCGATTGCACCCTCCCTTCCAGTCCACTCACTCTCGTCTCCAGCTGACACACTCTCTCTTTCCTCTCCGCCAAATCACGAACCGCCTTCTCCAGCTGACCTACCGTCTCCTTCCTCTCCCTTTCCACCTCCGATACCGTGCCTTCAAGCGATTGCACCCTCTCTTTCAGTTCACTCACTGTCGTCTCCAGCTGACCCACCATTTCCTTCTGCTCCTCCAGCTCCCGTGCCCTCTCCTCCAGCTTCCCTACCGTCTCTTTCCTCTCCCTTTCCACCTGCACGACCCTGCCTTGCAGCGACTGCACCCTCTCCTCCAGCATCTGCCTCTTCTCCTTCTCCTCTCTCACCTCAGCCATGCTTGCTTGCAGCCTCCCGTCCCTCTCGCCCTTCACACCTTCCAGTTCTTCTTTCAGTCGCTCCAGTTCCCCTTCCAATTCCCCCTTCACTTCCTCCTTCTCCCTCCGCAACCCCTCAATCTGCCTTTCCCCTTCCTCCTTCTCGACCTTCACACCTTCCAATTCGCCCTTCAACCGTTCCAATTCCCCTCTCAACTCCTCCTTCTCCCTCCGCAATCCATCAATCTGCCTCTCCAGTTCCTCTTTCTCCCTCTCCCATCCATCCCTTTCTCCCTTCAATCCTTCCATTTCCCTCTCGATCTCCTCCCTCTCCCTCTCCTTCCCCCCCACCTCCCTCTCCCTCTCCTTCACCAACCCCTCAAGCTCCCCAATCCTCCTCTCCCTCACACCCAATTCCTCCTCCATGTCTCTCTCCCTCTTCTCTCTCCTCCCAACCTCCTCCTCCAACTCCCTCACCCTCCCTTCCCTCTTCCTCCCCTTCCTCTCAACCTCCTCCCTCTCCCCCTCCTTCGCCTCCACCTCCCCTCTCAACGCACTCACCTGCACCGACAACTCCTCCATCTCCCCCTCCACCTCCCTCTCTCTCCCCTCAAGCCTCCTCACCTCCGCCTCACTCTCCCTCACTCGCTCCTCCCCCTCCCTCACTTGCTCTTCCAGCTGAGCCATCCTCTCTCCTTCAGCCGCCTTGGCTGCGAGCTCTGCTCGTTTCGCAGCTAGACCAGCCTGTAACACAGCGACCATATCCCCAAGCTCTCTCACTTCCTCCTCTAATCCCTTCACCGTTTCCTCTTTCTCTCCTCGCCGCTTCTCCAGCTCACAAGCCTTCTCTCTGAGCTCAATAACTACTGCTTCCAGCCTTTGTATCGCCTCTCCCTTCGCTTTCATCTCTGCCTCTCGTTCCGCCTCTCGTTCTGCCGCCTCTGCAGCTCGCCTCCTCTCCTCTTCCTCCCTCTCCCTCCTCTCCTCCTCCCTCTCCCTCTCCTTCACCTCATTCTCCTCCCTCCTCTCCGCTTCCATCCTCCTCCGTTCCTTCTCAAACTCAACCCTACCTTCCTCAATCTTCCCCTCCAGCTCTCTAACCCTCGCTTCCAACTCACAAGCACGTACCTCCTTGTAGCGAATTTCTGCTTCAATCGAGGATATCCTCTCCTCACGCTCCGCCAGAGCAGCTTCCAGCGCCCCCACCTTCCCAGTCTCCTCAGTCAACGCGGTCAACAGAGCCACCTCACGTTCCTTCAGTCTCACCACCTCCTCCTCCGCATCCCCTCTCCTCTTCCTCTCCTCCTCCACCTCCTTCTCTACCTCCTCCTTCTCCCTCTTCCACTCCTCCCTGTCTCTCACCCTCCCCTCCTCCGCCTCCCTCCTCTCCTTCTCAACTTTCTGAAGACTCTCCCTCACTCCCACCAACTCTGCTTCCAACTCCCTCACTCTCTCCCTCACTCCCTCTCTCTCCTTTTCAGCCTTCCTCCTCCCTTCCTCCTCCCCACCAAGCCTCTCCTTCAACCCTCTCACTTCCACCTCCACCTCCCTCCTCCTCCCCTCCTCCTCTTCCACTCTCTCCCTCATCTCCCTCTCCGCCCGCACTCTCTCCTCCTCTCTCCCCACCCTCTCCCTCTCCCTCTCCTCCACCCACTCTCGCCTCTCCCTCTCCATCTGCTCAACCACACCCTTCCGCGCCGCTTTCAACCCCTCAATCTGCCCTTCCAACTCCGCCAGCTGCTTTTCCTGAGTCGCCTCAGCACCACTTCGCGCCTCTTTCAACCCCTCTATCTGCTCTTCCAGCGCTGCAAGCTGTTGTTCCAGGAGGGCGCGCTGCTGCCTCTCCGCGTGCAGCCACTCTCTCACCTGCTCCGCCTCTCGCTGCAACTCCTCCTCTCGCCTCCTCATATCCTCCTGGACCAGCAGCAGATTGCTCATTCCACTACTGCCATTAGCCGCACCTCCCTCTTCCTCACTACCTTCCTTTCCTTCCCTATTAGCAGATCCCTCCTTCTCCCCCTCCTCCCCCTCCTCCTCCTTCACCTTCTCTTCCTCCCGCTTCCGCACCTCGTTCACAGCCTCCTCCACTTCCCTCCTCCCCTTCTCAATTACCCTTCTCTCCTCCACCACCTCCCTCCTCGCCTCCTCTAACACACCCACCACTGCCTCATTCCCGCCCCTAATCTCCTCAAGTTCCCTCACCAGCACACTAATCTCTCCCCTCAACGCCCTCCCCTTCTCCCTCACCCTCTCCTCCCTCCTCTCCAGCAACCCCCGCGCCGTCTCCAGCTCCAATCTCAGCCGTCGGATCGTCCCCTTCGCATCCGCTCTCATCTTCATCGCTCGCCCATGCACGCGCCTCAAAAGCTCCACTTTCCTCGAAACTTCCACCCTCAGCTTCTCCAATTCCCCATCTTTCTCCTTCACCACTCCCTTCAACTCCTCCACATCTCTCTCCACCGAGCAAATCTCCCTCAAAAGCTGATCCTCCCACTGGTTTTCCGCCTTAACCTGCAAAGCCAGCTCCGAAACTCCCACCTGCCGTTGAAACTCCCTCAAGGCCCGCTCTGCCTCTTCCCGCCGCCCCTCTGCTTCCTCTCGTTTCCTGGAAGCTTCCGCTCGCCGCGCTCGCTCGCGCGCCAGCATGCAGGACTGGTGGAGGAGGAGGTCCTCCATGTAGCCTACCACGTCAGCAGTCGCCACGTCAGACGCGGCCACGTCAGCAGCGGCATGAGAAGCAGCAGTAGCAGCAGCAGCAAAACCTGCATCAGCAGCAGCAGCACTCGCAGCCCTTGCCTCCCCATCCAATCCTCCACATTCCACACTGCCGCTTCCTCCTCCTCTTCCTCCCACGCTCTCCCCCCTCCGAGCCTCCATCCATTGCCAAAGCTTAGCCTCGGCAAGGCGCATGCCGGACCTGAGATCCTCCACCTCCTCTTCCACCGCCCTCCTCCGCCGCACCTCCTCCCCCACACTCCTCTCCATCTCCTCCTTCTCGCCCGGCAGCCGCCTCCTCTCCTCTTCTAACTCCAACATCCGGGTCTCAAAAGCCTTCCTCTCTTCGCCTCTCACCCTCACCAGCTCTCCTTCGCTTCCAGCAACCCTCTGCTTAGCTACTGTCGGACTGCCATGGGTTCCCTCTCCCATGTCACGCCCCTTATTCTTGCCATCCTCGTTTTCCGCCTCGCACTCCGCGCAGCACTTTTCGGCCGTTGCTACAGCCGAGCCCTCACCAGGTGAGGCTACAACCGGGGGTGTGAGGAAGTCCAGATTCACGACGACATGGCAGGCCTCTGATACCTTCTCAGACACATCAGCAGACGCTGCTGCTACAACCGACGGTTTCTCAAGTGCTGCTACAACCAGGGACTCTGCAGGCGCAGCTACAACCGAGGGCTCCTTTGGTGCTGCTACAACCGAGCGATCCTCACAAGGGGAGTCCATCGTACGGTTCGGGTTAACAAGCAACCCTAGACAGCCCAACTACCGGCTGTCACTCCGCCGGTTTCACCTCACAGGAGGCCCCAGGAGCAGCGAGACGGGATGTAGCACCAGTGAATGTACCCCCGGCCGACTTTTGAGGCGCCTTATAAATCGTTTCACCCCACAGGAGCAGCGAGACGGGATGTAGCGCCAGCGAATGTACTCGCGATAAAGAGTCGACGCCACGAGGCGAGGTGAGGGAAGGGGCGAAGAGCGGGCAGTCTGTAGCGATGGCAGGGCGCGGGAGTGGCGACACGGAATGGAAACCCGGTGGAGAGTCGCTGGTAGGCCCTGATTCGCCCAGCCTTGGTCTGTAGTTTGTAACTTAGCGGGAAGTCTAACTTAAGCAGACGGCCTGTAACTTAGGCGGGCCGTCTGCAACTTAGGCGGACGGTCTATGACTTATTTCTGAGGCTCCTCAGGGATAGGCTGGTAGGCTCTTCAAGAATCCACGGTTTCTGAAGCGCCTAGGCACTAGGAGGGCTCGTAGGCTCTGATTCGCCTCCACGGTTTCTGAAGCGTTTCAAGTGAAGATGATTAAGTCTAAGCCAGCTGCTAGCACACTGCAAGCGAGAGCTAGACGTGAACAATCCCTGACGTGCTTCGGCGCGGGCGTTGTTTTATACGCTTCAAAGAGAATCGTTAAGGCTGAGCCAGCTGCCGGCAAACTGCGAGTAAAGGCTGGGAGCCCTGCCTCGCTTAGGCAGGCGAGGGAAAGAAGCCGTGATTCGCTTACGCGAACGAGGACAGGCCTTTGTGTATAGATAACTTAGACGGGCTTGACAATGGTTTGGACAGGCTTCGGACGACAGCTATTATTGAGGGAGGGTCCTGTCCCAGGATTCAGTGCAAGAAAGCGGGTCGTTTGCGGAGAGAAGGCGTCGGAAGGATTGGCGCTACTAGGCGACTTGAGAGTCGACTCAAGCGTCAGTGACGGCGGCTTTTGAGGCGCCTCAGAAGTCTAGATCTCGTGGTAGGAAGCGGCAGCTTGTGGAGAGAAGGCGTCGGAAGGGGTGGTGCTTCTAGGTGGCTTGTGAGTCGACTCAAGCGTCAGTGACGGCGGCTGTGGTGCGGCAGCGGCAGCAGTGGCCGCGTTTCCGCGCTCAAGCTCCGCCCGCTCCGCCACCGCTCTCTGGTAGAGGGAGAAACGGGGGAAACACAGAAAAGGAGGATCTTGAAACTAACGGCTATCCCACTGAGGAGTTTCCGCGCTGAGGCTCCGCCCGCTCCGCCACCCCACCTGGTAGAGGGGGAACAAGGAGAAAGGCATAAAGGAATAACGTAAAACCAACTCCCTATTCTTTCAACCATGAACTAGAGGACCGAGTGACGAGAGGAATGAGCCGATAGGGCAAATGGGGAGATGATCTGAAGGTAACACCTTGGCGAACGATGGCGGGAAGGGATGCGGGAGAAAATTGGGAGAAGCGCGAGAGAAGAGCGAGAAAGACCAGAAAAGCGCGAGAAAGATCGGGCAATGCCGATGAAAGCTGGGATGCCCAACGGGTGCACCTTCTATTCATGAAATATCGACGGCGGTTAACCTGGCATCTTGACCGTCAACGACATGTTCGCGGCCCTGGATCGATGGCGACCAAGGCGATTGACCAGAAGCCGGTCTTTCTCACCCAATGGCTGACGGACACGAGCTACGTGGCACATAGGCATTGGGGAACGGAGGACTCGCTGTCGCGGGTTGGTGGTTTCGTTTTGGAATCTGAATTTAGAAAATTGCTCGGCTTTTGTCGGGATTACACGCGAGATGAGAAACGGGAGACGGGGAAACGGGGATCTATTTACTTTACGTGCGGATCGAGCTAATCTCTTTGTGAACGTCTGTTCCTGCGGCAACCTGCTGTGGCGGGAGGTACGCTACGGAGCCATGGCTGAAATCCCTTCCTCAGCATTGATCCCACACAATCCCCTCCCCAGCATTTGGTGCAGCACACAAATGGTGCTGCTGGGTCGATCGATGGCATGTGACGGTCGCGATTCGCGAACAAGTGACGACGAGTTTCGCTCTCTCGGCATCATTCGGCTCAGCAACATCGAGATGAATACCAACCACATACGGTAGGGGAGGGGGGGCTTTGGAGGGAAACATGTGGTAAGGGAGCACTCAGCAAAACCGAGGTCAACGGGAGAATGGGGATGGGGATGGCGTGGCGATGGCGAGGCGATGGCGATGGAATGGCGACGGCGATGGCGATGGAATGGCGACGGCGATGGCGATGGAAGTTGAATCCCTCATGAGTCATGGTCCAACCCACCCAAAAACCAGGGGAGGGGGATGGTGAGTCGTGACATGACATGACATAACGTACGTACAGTACATGTATGACCTACACATGTGATGTGATCCATGAACAATGATCCATGTCCAATGACCTTGGACCTTGGACTCACGAAAATCTTCCTCTCGGACCGAATTCCTCCAGTCAACCAATCAGACGGATGGAGAGACGCGAGCGCAGCGGCAACAGCGCTTGGGGACGCAGCGGCATTGGCCAAATATTTTGGCCGGCGCCTCTGAAATCCGTGAGCTGCTGCCCGGGATCTCTTGACTTATTGATGCAGAATCCACGGATGGCATAGTTTGACTCAATACAGCTTCACATAAACCTCTTATTATGCTTTATTCACCTCACATTTATTCAACTGCTTGGGTCAAGAAGTGGTTGGGCACCCCTGACTCACCATATTGCAGCCAGCAGGTACCTACATGCTTGCAAGCAGGTGGATGCCGAACAATTATTACACAACAAAAAAAGATTTGGCATTCATACAGCAACAGGGCACTCCCACCCACCCATCCAGCGCACAGCCTATACCAGACACAATAGCAGCCCTAGTGGCTGCATCTCATGACTGCCATAATCACTCAGGGATCAAAATGAAACCTGTACACCACCCACAGGCGTTCAAACTCAAAGAAATGCACACCAAGATGTACACTAACCAGCCTGATTGTTCACCGCTCCCAACTCCCAACCACCACGCTCCACATTCCCCGCACCACCAGCATCTGAAATAAATTCGTGCAGAATCTTGGTTGCAGCGTGACATCCACAGGAGCAGCGCGGTTGGTCACAGCTCCCAAAAAAAAAACACCTAGATGGACACTAGCCAGCCTGATTGTTCACCGCTCCCAACTCCCCACCACCACGCTCCACACTGCCACCATTGCCAGCATCGGATACCGCTTGGTGCAGAATCGTGGTGGCAGTATCGGGTGACATCCACAGGGGCAGCGGCGGCCCTTGCTGGTCCGATGGGCGTCTATCAGCCATAGAGCCCGACCGCCCCCCATGCTTGCTGCCCTGTGCGCCCCTGTATCCCCCACCGCTGACAGCAACAGGAGCCATACCACCAGCACCAGCACCAGAACCACTGCCAACCCCCCCACTGCCACCACCGGCTCTGCCGCCATCATCACCACCATTCCCCCTGGCACCACCAGCAGCATCGGCACCAGAACCACCATCCCCACCAGCCGCTTCCTCCCTGCACTCCGCTTCCACAGCTGCAGCAGCAGCAATCAGTGCATGCGTCCCTTGGGCCAGCAACCCCCCCTGCTGCTCATGCTGCTGCTGCTGCTGCTGCTGCTGCTGCTGCTGCTGCTGCTGCTGCTGCTGCTGCACATGCGCTGCCGGATGACCAGCCTGCTGGTTCTGAGACGCCTCGAAGCAGCTCGATTCCGCCACACTGGAAGGCCGCCCGCCCATGGGCGGTGGCGGGCTCATCATGGCTGCATGGCTGTTGGGCGGCGGCGGTGAGGTCAGCATGGCTGCACGATCTCCCATAGGCGGTGAGCTCAGCATGGCCAGATGGCTGCTGGACGGTGGAGACAGCATGAGGGACTGTCCCAGCAGCGATGGGGAGAGGGGAGTGCTGCTGGAAGGCTTTTGGGAGTTGTCAAACGACTGGCCGAGCAGCGATGGGGATAGAGAAGTGGTGTTGCAGGGGTTGTGGGGAAGAAGGGCGTCGTCTGAAAAGGACGGTGGGTGGTCTGAGTCATCGTCTGCTTGGAGCAGCGCTGACATCTCGCCCATCATTGGCTGAGAGGCTGACATCTCGCCTATGATTGGCTGTGCAGCTGACATGTCGCCTATCATTGGCTGAGAGGCGGATGGTTCACCCATCATGCGCTTCTCGCCCCCTTCGCCCCACCAGCTCTTGTCGTCCCCGCCTGCTCCTGCTTCCTCCGCCTGTGCTTCTGCTGTGCTGGCATGGTGTGCTTCATACTTGCCTTCCACCGGCGATCCTTCTGAAAGTACGAGTGAAGAGGAGCCAAAAGAAGAAGAAAAAAGAACAAGGATGTTGGGTTGGGCTAGCTAGTTGTGAATCAAAACAAGATACCATAAGTGAAGACAGATTCTAGATGCTTCAAAACTACACACAGAAGAAAAAAACAGAACAAGTGGAGATAAAACTGGAAACAAAAAAGAGCGGGAGAAAGTGATTTGGAGACATCTCAAAAATGAGCAGGAATTTGTGCATTGCAGCACTGACCACACTTCTGGAGAGAGCGATACTGCAGACGGACGCTTTCCCCCGAGTCCTGCACTCGCACGAGATACCTGCGGCACAGCGAGACAGAGAGACACCAGAGACACGCGAGACAGAGAGACACCAGAGACACGCTGTCAGCTCATAGATATAGAGGTAGCACAAACATGAATGCGAAAACACATTTTTAAGGTGCCTCGGATACGAAACATGAACGCAGGTGGTGCACATCATACGAGCAGCACCCACCAGCCGTTGAGGCACTGCGAGGTGATCACAGCCTCTTTGCCAAAGAACTTCTCAGGCGTTCGTTTGTTCCCCTGCAACACAATCATAGAGCGTCATTAGCACGGTGTTTGCAGCGTTCGGCAGTGACAAAATATTGATAATATTGACAAATTTTAATAATATTGATAATAACGACAACAAACAATCAAACAAAAAACGGGAGAGGGTGAGAGAAAAGGAGGTCAACAGGCCCTCACATTAAAAAAAAAATTACCACGTTGCTTGGGCCCTAAACCCTCACCTTAATGAGGACCTTTTCGTTCACGGAGAAGGGGAATTGAACGCCTCTCAGGCGGCCTCCCCCTTCAGCATCAGGGGATCCAAGATGGCCCGAGTCCTCAGGCTGCTCACGCACACACAGCACCACAGCGCACAGCATCACCACCTTAGTCATGCTGTACCTCCAAGGAGGGCAAAAATGCTGGACAAAAAACTGCTGGGGTTAGGAGAGGGGGGAGAACGGTCCACCTTGGGGCGGCGCTTGATTGGTTGGGGCATGGAGCCGTCTGGCAACAGCTTGCCCTCCCCTGTGTGCTCCTTGTCTCGCTTCCTCTTGTGCGCCTTTGCGCCCGGCCCAGCCCCGACCCCTGTGTGGTGTGGCAGGCCTTTTCCAAAACATGATGCCACGGACCTCACAGCTGCACGCAAGCAGGCGCCATGGCACACGGAGGTGAGGTGGGGGAATGGGAGGATGTGAGAGAATGGGAGAGAGAGTGTGAGAGAATGTGAGGGAATGTGAGAGAATGTGAGAGAGAGTGTGAGAGAATGTGAGGGAATGTGAGAGAATGTGAGAGAATGTGTGAGAGAATGCGAGGGAATGTGAGCGAATGTGTGAGAGGATGTGAGGGAATGTGAGAGAATGTGACTAAAAGAGTGTGTGGTGCGGCAGGCCCTTTCCAAAGCACGACACTACGGACCTCACAGCTGCAAGCAGGTGCGACGGCACATGGTGGTGGATACACACGGCGCACGCGCGATGGATACATGTGTTACCACATGTGTTACCACAGCACATGCGATGTGGAGAGCACAACTCGGAGTACAAGTGTTCCCGCACTAGCTTTGATGCGAGAGCAAGAGAGACAAGAGCATGAGAGGCAAGATCACGGAACCAAGGGGCTATGATGATGAGAGGGGTTTTGAAGTGAGGACTAAAGAGAGGAATAATGAGAGGAGGAGCGGGTGCAGGTGCAGAGCCCAGGCAGACAGCTTACCAAGGTTGGGAATGAGTGCCATGACGTCAACAGGCGCCATGCAGTATGGACACACCATCTGCACAGCACAAGCGGCATGGAGCATTGTGAGGCAGGGCATGTGAGGCAGGGCATGTGAGGCAGGGCATGTGAGGCAGGGCATGTGAGGTAGGGCATGTGAGGCAGGGCATGTGAGGTAGGGCATGTGAGGCAGGGCATGTGAGGCAGGGCATGTGAGGTAGGGCATGTGAGGTAGGGCATGTGAGGCAGGGCATGTGGTGAGGCAAGCCATGTGCAAAAGTGGCAGGCAGAGCACCATTACTATGCAAGGTGGCTGCAGCACGGAACTGAATAGCAAGCCATAAACAGACATGACGGAAGGAACTCCTTACCGAATCCAGTTTGGAACGTCTCAGAACTAAATCTTGAGACGCACAAACAGGAACGAGGGAAGGCAGGAGCTGCTTACCGAGTCCATGACTCTTGCGAGTGTTGCTCCGCCGAAGGAATGCCCACACTGGGCCACCATCGCATCGTCTAGCAGCGAGCCCCTGCCGCACACACAACACAACAGCACACAGTAGCAGCACACAACAATGTACATGACATGACAGCAGCACACAAGTGAGCACTTCATTCCAACACTCTCCGTCAAAGGAGTGCCCACACTGGGCCACCATCGCATCCCATCCTCCCTCCAGCAACGACCCCTTGCAGCAAACACGAGCAGAGCAGCATGCAGTGCAGTGCGTCATTCCTCCCTATCTGCATCACTCCAACCCTCTCTACCTCCCTACGTCCCTCTCCCTGCAACCATCTCCCTACATCTACCTCCCTCCCTACGTCTACCTCTCCACTTCCCTACCTCCCTCACCACCTCCGCCTCCTACTTCCCGAACTCATTTCACTCTTCCTCCCCCGCGCACCCCGTCTTTAACCCATTGAGCCCCTGGTCTCTCTTGCCTCATCCCTCCCTCTTTCATAATCTCTCCTGCTGCTTCCCTCGCTCGCGTCTCTCCCCCCAACGTACGAGACAGGGTCCGAGACCATGGAGGCAAGAGACGACTTCTCCAGCTTGCATGACACAGCCTGGTGACACACGAACAAGCAATGTTGAGAAACGAGGGAAAAAAAAGGAAAAGGAGGGCTCCGATTTGATGCATGGCACTAATAACGGATTTGATTGATCATACTCAGCATGTACACGACTGTTCGGGCAAAAAGCAACATTTGGCAACTCAAGTGGGTGCCCAGCAATGCTCGCCTACGCTCGCCCATTATCGCCCACGCTCGCCCATGATCGCCCACGCTCGCCCATGATCGCCCACGCTCGCCCATGATCTCCCACGCTCGCCCATGATCGCCCACGCTCGCCCATGATCGCCCACGCTCGCCCATGATCGCCCACGCTCGGCCATGATCTCCCACGCTCGCCAATGATCGCCCACGCTCGCCCATGATCGCCCACGCTCGCCCATGATCTCCCACGCTCGCCCATGATCGCCCACGCTCGCCCATGATCTCCCACGCTCGCCCATGATCGCCCACGCTCGCCCATGATCTCCCACGCTCGCCCATGATCGCCCACGCTCGCCCATGATCGCCCACGCTCGCCCATGATCGCCCACGCTCGCCCATGATCTCCCACGCTCACCCATGATCGTCCACGCTCGGCCATGCTCGCGCGAGCACGGCGCAGCAGTCTATCTCCGCAAGGACTCACCGGACTGGATTCTCCGTCAGTGCTTCCCAGGTCAGCCGCGGAGGCGGACGGGCGGAGGGAATGAACGTTCCCGCGCACACAGACTCGCGCATTGCCGCAACAGTGAACTACAGCGACTAGGGACTCACCAGACTGGATTCGACGTGACTTTTGAGAATTCTCAAAAGTCACGTCGAGAATTCACACCAGTCACGTCTACAACGACTAGGGACTCACCAGACTGGATTCTCTGTCCGTGTCTCCCGGGTCAGCCGCGGAGGCGGACGGGCCCAGCGCGTCCATGAACGCCCCCGCGCACACACTCTCGCGCATGGCCGCGGGCACGGCGTGGCCCGCGTGCGCGAGCACGGCGCAGTCGATCACCGCGGATGGGCGCGGCATGAGGCGGAACGAGAGCGCGCACCTGCAGCAGGCGACGGCACAGCAGACAGGGTTCGAAAGGCGGGAATGAAATTAGGAGAGTGTGTGGAAAAGGGGGGGAAGGGAGAAGGGCGGCGCCATCGGGCATGGCGGCCGTCCGACTTTTGAGACGTCTCAAAGGCCGTCCGCGGCATGAGTCGGAACGAGAGCGCGCACCTGCGCAGCCCGAGGTACAAAGCCAAGGCACCACAGCACAAGGGTTGGCAACAGAAACAGACACCACGGACGGGAGCGTCAAGCCGAAGGAGTGTCATTCAACCATCAACGGACCTCTCACGAGGTTGCTTCCGACGAAGCGGGCGGGAGCACAGATGGATAGGAAAAACATAACAAAACAAAAACTCTAAATTAATATTTTAAACATAAGTTACCTGGTTAAGTTACCTGGTGGTTCCCGGGGAGGCGGGCGGCAGCACGCGGTAGGTGGAGGCGGGGCAGAGGCCGGCCGTGGCGCGATGGAGGCAACGGCCGGCCAGCAGCAGCAGGCTTCCCGGCGGCACGCCCTGATCCGCCGGCGACCAGATGCCCTCGGAATTGCACACCTGCGCGAAAAAAATGGCAAGTGCTTGCTACCACATATCCTCGAATTCCGCGTGCCTGCCAGCAGCAGGGCCCGCCGCAATGTATGCCTTCAACGACAGCAGCAAAAGTTGAAAATCTGACCTCTAACAGGCCTGGCACCTTGGCTAAACCCTGCAGGACTAATGGTGTACACGATACCTGGAGGCCTGGAAAATCGGCTGTGACAAGCATGAGAAGCCCCTTCTCAATTTCAGTGGCGTCTGGTGTTATTCTGGCGGGGCCATCTTGAGGAGATTGGGTGCGCTGGCATGATGCGGCGAGCACGGAGGAGGACACCTCGCCGATCGGCAACGGACGGTCGTCGAGCAGACTCGAGAAGAAACTGCGGGAAGTTGCGAGGAGGATAATGGCTATCAACAAAAAATCCGATGGAAAACACGCGCGACAACAGAAACCGGTGAACCGGGTCGGGCGAAAACACGAGAAACACACTCGACGGCGAGAAGACGAGACGACATTCTCGGAGCGAACCTCCACACGACGACTGCTGAGACGCATCAGCGACAACTAGCTGAACGTCTCAAGAAACGTCTCGATGCAGGAATAGGAGGACGTACTCGCAGCGGACTTTCAGATGGCGGGCGAGAGCTGACATGGCGGACCGCGAGACCTTCCCCAAGTACTTGAACGCTTCCGCAAACCCCGGCGGGCATGAGTCGCTGATTGCTTCGTTCAACGACCTGCCAGCTTTGTAAAAGTACAAGTCCTTGGAAGGTGCCTGGAAGTATCCGCCGCCGTCATTCCACGCGGGCTGTTCCGGGAATGACGGCGACGACGACGGATCTGCTCGTCGGCGAAAATAAAGCCGCGCGGATTCCAACGTTCTACACAACGATGCGGCATCGTGTCGCGCGGGTTCCAATATCACCGCTCCGTTCTGCGCGAGCGAGAGATACAACGTCTCGGCAGCGCGGGTAAACGACGACGACGGCGGACCGTCTTCTAATAAAAGGTCGTCTACGGATATCCGCGCAACGGCACGCGGCGTCGCGAATGCGGCGGTCTGAAATGTTTCAGCAGGGGGTGGTCCTACGGCATTAGCCTGAGCTCTAACTTGCGAATTCCGGCCGTGAGAGCTACGTTTCCTTGCGCTCTTAGGCTGGCATTCCTTGATCACCATTTGCTTTGCTGGAGGCGGCAAAATGGCTAGGGGAGTGTCATGGATTGCGGAGGAGGTTGGGGGATGCTGCTCAGTCATGGAAGGGATGGCGGAAGCCATGAGGAAGGATGGGGGGAGGGGAACGAGGGATGGTGCTTCAGTTCAGATGAGATGATGGATGGCACACAGAACGGAACAGATGCTGCTGCTGTACTGCTTGACGAAACCCTAATGGATGAAAATGATGATGGAATGGATGTGATGAATGAAAGCATGGATGTGGAAAGAACGGGAAGAGACGGGAAAGCGGAAAACGTGAGACAGAAGCGCACTGCAGCAGTGAAGCGAAGGAAATAGGCGACGCTGAAAACGAGGGGTTTCCACCAACGCAACAGTTGAAGATGCCGTTTCTCCGTTTGCGAGGAGCTGTAACCAGTAGTCATAGATTTCGCCATGCTGGCTCGGAACAAAACTCGTCGGCCGAAAGCTACACGCGGCGTCTGAATGCAAGGTTCGGCAAGTCGAGAAACCTTTGGCGAAACCAAAGGGGGTTTCGCGATCGCGGTTTTGTGGTGAACGTTGCGCTGGCGCAGTCTTTCCTGTCAAACTTGTGTGGACGACATGCACCACACCAGCACTACAGCCATTCACGAATTCCAATGAGCCATTCAATGCAGTACCGTTGTGGATGAACCCTATGGATCTAGGATTATTGATGGAGACGGTTTCACTTACCCGTATTTACGGTTCACAAACTGTAAATTTGCGAGACTGTTTTTACAAAACTGAAATCAGCAGAAGATGAAAATCCAAGCAAAGCAGGAAATCACTCTCAAACACAAAAGCAGCTGCAATCCATGCAGCCTTAGCAAATTCAACAAACACCAGAACCGCCCCATAAACCCCAATCGGCTGGCAATGCTGACTGGAAAGTACCAAAAGACCGTTCAGAAACAATGCAATGCAGATCACTCAATTAGTTGGTCAGTCAGTCAGTCAGTCAGTGAAGTCAGTAGATCACCAAACTGGACTACGATTAGACAAGGTTAGCTGGACAGAAGCTGGAAATCTGCAGTTAACCACCTCCACCATGACCTGAATTGTTAGCGCCATCCGAAATTGCTTGATGCAAGAGCGAAGTAGCCGTTATCGGTGACATCCAGAGAGGGAGGGGTCCAGCTTGCTCTGGTCTTTGCCTGTTGGCCAAATCCGGAGTAGCAAAAACACCCCCTTGCCTGTTTCCCACGACCCCTTCTGGATTTTGCTCTTCATGCGCAAGTGAAAGCTGGTTCGCACCAAGAGAGAATGACTGCTCGATACCACCAGACACACAGTCGTCCCCAGACGCCTCTCTTGATTCCTCTTCCATTGCTGCTGCTGCAGCAATCAAGGCTTGGGTCTGCTTGGCAAGGCTTGATCCATGTGCTCCCAAGTACGCTTGGGACTCACGGGGTGCAGCCATACCAGCAGCACTGCTCACGGCAGGATGACTGGGTGTTGACGGAAGGGGGGGCTGTTTATGAAGAGAAGAGGACGAATCGGGACTGGGTTGTGGGATTGACTCCTCCCCTAGTGCCAACGAAAGCGGGCGCCCAAAGTTCTCATTCTTGTCATCTTCTTGCAGCAATGCCGACATTTCTCCAACACCAGGCTTCGACTCCCACCACCTTGCTGTAGAGTCTGCTCCAGCTTTCCTCTCCATCTGGGCATCCGGACTGCTAGAGAGACGAGTGTCGCCAGTCTCCAAAGGTGTTCCATCTGTCCAAAAGGTAAGAACGTGTATAAGGTGACAGGAAAACAACTAAAAGAACAGCAATTAAATAATGTCAATAATGCCGTGTGACACATACACATCGGACTCACCACTTTTCTGAAGAGAGCGGTACTGCAGGCGAACACTTTCCCCAGAGTCAAGCATGCGAACCAAGTACCTGAAAATCCAGGGCAAAGTCAAATCAGTAACACGCATGACACAAATTTTCGTGGTGCAGGGAAATAAAAAAAAGAGCATACCAGCCATTCAAGCACTGAGACGTGATAACTGCCTCCCTCCCAAAAAACTTCTCAGGAGTGCGCTTGTTTCCCTGCAACATTGAATAAGTCGTTAGTAACCAAAAACGTTAAACTTAAAGAAGAATCAAATGCAAAGCGATGCTTACCTTGATCAGAACTTTGTCATTGACAGAAAAAGGGAACTGTACTCCTTTTGGACGGCCAAAGGCATCCCCTTCAAATGAACTGGCGAGCATCGCATCTTCGGTCTGCTCATGAAACGCAAAAGGGTGAATCAGCATTCAATACTTTAATCCAGAATTTTGGAAACGTACAATGGTCCAAGACTCGCACACCACCAATAGATCACCTTGGGCCTGCGTTTGACAGCTTCTGACGGGTCTTTCCCTTCTCCAAACTCCTTCACCCGCTTTCTCTTTGGGACCTTCACGCCGCCTCCATGCGACAAGCCTGGGCGGAAGCAGGACGCGACTGACCTCATGGCTGCAACAAAGAAAAAGGATTGGCATTAACTTCCGTTGCCCTGACCAGAATCTCCGGATTCTAAACACTGAAAGCGAGAGATGTGGATGGGTGGTCAAGGAAACAAGCCTGCTTACCAAGGTTGGGAATCAGAGTCATGATGTCAACCGAGGCCATGCAATAAGGACAGAGCATCTGCACATGGATCGGAGAACGTGGAACAGCTTAGGTAATCGAGAAACACGTGCACGAAGAATCGGCTGATGCCCATACAGAAGGGAGGGGGTGGGGGGGATGAAAAGGAAAAGGAAAAGAAGGGGAAATTCATTTACTAAAGCTGATCCCGCGTACTTACAGAGTCAATGACTCTGGAGAGTGTTGCTCCACCAAATGAATGGCCACACGGAGCAATCATTGCATCCTCGAGAAGAGACCCTCTGGAAAACAGTTAAACGAGATGTATAGGTTATGACCGGAAACATGGGCTTATAAGACGAAATCCGCACTTACGAAATCCGCACTTACGAGGCAGGATCGACAACCATTGATGAAAGTGAAGCCTTTTCCAACTTGCACGCAACAGCCTGAACCATTGATAGATAAGACCATATGTTAGCATAGAAAGCACTAAAATAAGAAAGCGAATGCAATGTATAAACGCATGAGACGCACCATGCTTGACTCCTTCGAATCGCTCGCAGCGTCGTGAACAAACGAGCTCAGCGAATCGAGAAACGGGCCGGCGTGAACGACGGCTCGCATGCTCGAAGGGACTGCGTGACCCACATGAATCAGCGGAGAGCAGTCAATCGGCGCTGCAGGGCGTGGCATCAGGCGGAACGACAACGAACACCTGCGAAAGTGTAACAAACGGCCACACAAAAATCGTTAACAATAAGGCACGAAATACAAAATAAGCTTTGGGAATTAACATAACATGAATGTCGATTTCGCGTCTCACCTGGTGGTTCCCGGGGAGGCGGGCGGCAGCACGCGGTAGGTGGAGGCGGGGCAGAGGCCGGCCGTGGCGCGATGGAGGCAACGGCCGGCCAGCAGCAGCAGGCTTCCCGGCGGCACGCCCTGGTCCGCCGGCGACCAGATGCCCTCGGAATTGCACACCTGCGCGACAAAGTTTGAGTGTTACATGTTAACAGCCCGCGACAACGAAATAGTAACGAAAATGGAAGTTTCGTGAACGGCGAGTTACCTGAAGGCCCGGGACATCGGCCGTCACAAGCATCAAAAGGCCCTTCTCCGTCTCCGATGCTTCGGAAACGCTTCCAACCGCGTCGTCGGGTTTGGAATGGCCGGACGTAGAGTCGCTCCTTTGACACGTCGCGGCCAAAACGGACGACGAAACTTCGCCGACCGGCAACGGGCAGTCGTCGAGCAAGGCTGAAAAGAAACTGCAAAAACGCCGAAGGAAGAACACAAAACAAACACGAAATTATTAGCGGGTTGAAGCCACAGGACGAAGATAACGTAAGGCGCTGTGTACGAATGACTTACTCGCCGCGAAGCTTCAGGTGCCGAGCAATGGCGGACATCGCAAGCCGTGAAACCCGTCCAGTGTACTTGAAAGCTTCAGGAAAACCAGGAGGACAAAAATCGTTGAGCCCCTCGCTCATCGACCTGTCAAACACACGAGAAGAAACAGAAATGAACGTTAAAAAAGGTAAGTGTAAACCAGTATCCTTGTTCTACAATCTGCAATATATAACAAAAAAAAATGAGAACTGAAACGCAGTTTTATGTTCCACACCTTCCAGCCTTGTAGAAATACAGGTCCTTGGACGGAGCGGTGAAGTAACCGCCACGGTCGCTCCATTCCGACGGTTTCAGCGGCGACGACTCCGACTCGGCCCTCTTTCGGAAGTACAGACGCGTCGATTCTAACGCTCTACACAGCAACGCTACATCCTCGCGTGCCGGCTCGATAACCGCCGCGCCGTGGCGAGCTAAGGAAAGGTATAACGTCTCGGCGGCTTTGGTGTAGGACGATGTGGGAGGGCCATCTTCCAACACTAAGTCGGTTGCTGATATCCTGGGAATGCCGCGAGGCGTCACGCTCGGTTTCGGGAAGTTAGGCGGAGAAACTAATTTACGGACGGTGCTTGGTTGACTGCGTGCTTGCGTGGAACGAGCTAAAGCGCCATGCTTTCTGCTAGACTTGGTTTCTGTTAGCGGTTCGGAACGATACGGGACTACTTGCTTGACGAGGGACGGGGAGGGGCTGGGCTCGTGGGAAGTGGATGTTCGGGGATGCTCTAGGGGAGGGAACACAGCCGCCATAGGGGATGGTGGGGAGAAACGGGGGGGAGAAGGGAAGGGAAAGCGGAGAGAAGAAACTCAAGAAGACGGAAAACGTGGCATGGTAATGGCGAACTGAGCAAGCACAGCACGATGAGGGTTTTTTACATCATCTCATGGCAGACTTGCTCACAGACTCCGTTTGCGATGTCTGTAACCAGCGCAGAAAGCCGTCGCCCTGCTGGTTCGGAACGGCTGGGCGTCAGTATATCACTTGCCGGGCCTAGCACTCAGCTTGGGTGGAGCTGGCTTGATTAGTCACTTTTGGCGCAAACCAGCTTGTGTATTGAGTCATCGGGGGGCAAGAGGAAGATTTTGGCGCGAGATACGTGTGGTTGTGGTGCTGGTGCAGCAGGGAGCAAGACCCTTTTTGCGACGAAAACAACCGAGCCTTGAAGCCATCAAGTCGAGCCGAACCGATTGCATGTTCTTGGCTTTGTCAGAAGCTGGACCGTGACTGCAGCAACCTGATCTCTACCTCATCCGAGTCTGCCACTCTGCTTCGGAACCCTGGAGAACTAGGGAAAAATTGGCGCAAGAGGGTGGCAGGAGCTAGGGTTTCGTCCCAAAGCCATGACTGCGATACGGATGGGAGAGGAGTCTCGCAGGACGTACGCGCGCACGGTGATTGGTTGGGCCCAATGGCTTGGATGGGATTGATGCAGTTTGTTGGCGAAGTCTCCTGGGGATGGCGGCGTGCACGCTGACGTGAAGCTGACGGGGATACTGTATTGGCAAGTTCCGTTCCGTGATTTCAGGTAGTTTCACGTGGTTATTGGACAGGCGCTGTCAGCGCAAAAGCTCGTGATAAGAGAATGCTTTTGCATTACAATGACGAGTCCGATTGGGTATTATACAGATTCACGTGCACCGCATTATAAACCCACAATGTGCAAGGTTTTCAACTAACCTCACAGTGCAACTATATTTTAACAAGAGGCCCGAAATGCTGACGTATACTTTTGCACCAACGACTGGTTGTATGCCACGCCATCAAAATGGCAACCCATGATTGCAGCCGTGCTATCTTTCAGTTACGGCTGTGTAAATGTCTGAGCTGAAGCCTGAAGGCACTCATTGCGACTTAGGGGTTGAAAAGGCAGCAGCCATAGAAACTGACACATACACGACCACAAGATGAAGCAGTGCACCTGCAACAGCCACGGCAACACTCACGTGTCAGGAAAATACAGGAATAGGTAAAAAACGTGTGGGGGTGAGGGGCGGAGTGGCATTGGGATATCTACGACAGTACAATGCAGGAGTGATGGTGCGCCCATATGATAGGCTTCAAATAGTAAGCGTTACGTCAAACGAACGTTAGCTCTGATCTGCTGTATCCATGACAATGCATGCTGTGGCTACAGCTTTCCAGAGCTGGTCCAGTTTGGAGACGCCACAAAACTCCTTTGAGACGCCTCAAAACTGAACTCTGATTCTTACCTCTATGCCAATGCATGCCGTGGTTACAGCCGTCCAGAGCTGGTCCAGTTTTGAGACGCCTCAGGACTCGTTTGAGACGCATAAGCTTTCGAGTCGACTCAAAACTGAACTGTGATGCTTACCTGCCATGTCTATGGCAATGCATGCCGTGGCCACAGCCGTCCAGAGCTGGCCCACGCTATGCCCTCCCTCTGCGCTGCTGCTGCCACTGCTCCTCACAGCCGACCACTTCTCCTGTTGAAAGGTTGAAAGGACATCCAGAGGACACACAGGGAGATCGGTTGGGACTTTTGAGGAGCCTCAAAAGTCACTCCGGCTGCTGCTACTTCCCCTGTTGAAAGGACATCCAGAGGGCGTGGAGGAAGAGGTGATATCTGAGCCATAGGGCATAGCGGGAGCCTCATAAGTCAACCTCTGGTCGCTGCGCGTCCACTATGCAGTGCATCTGGACGGGGAGGATGATCGGTCAAACACGTATGCATGTATGCATGTGTGCATGTGTGCATGTGTGCATGTATGCATGTGTGCATGTATGCATGTGTGCATGTATGCATGTGTGCATATATGCATGTGTGCTGTGCATGTATGCATATGTGGATGTATGCATGTATGTATGTGTGCATGTGTGCATGTGTGCATGTGTGCATGTATGCATGTGAGCATGTGTGCATGTGTGCATGTATGCACGCGTGCATGTGTGCATGTGCACAAGACAATTGACGGAAGTACAGAGGCATGCAAAGCAACAACAGCACAATTCCTTACGTTGACCTCACACCCCTCCATCCACCACACAGGCTGGGTAGACATGAGGGCAGCGGCAGAGAGAGCATACCGGGTAGACAAGGGGCCCGGTGAGGAGTGGCAAGAGCGCGGCAATGCATGCCATGAGGGAGAGTGTGGCGTAAAGCTTGAGCACTCGCGCTCGTGACGTGCCGGATGCTGCAGTGGGGTGTGAGATGGGACGGCAGGGATGGCGCGAGGGGATCGTTTTGCTTGAAAGAAGTGATGAAGAGCGCGGCAAGGCAGCCCATGAGGGAGAGCGTGGTGTAAAGCTAGAGCACTCGAGCGCGTGATTTGCACTCGCGGGAGCGCGTAATGGCACTCCCGCCCGCGAGTACGACAGGTGAAGTTCCTAGTGCCTCCTCCTGTGACGCGACAATCGCGGATGCGAATCGTCCGGATAGCAGTGCCCGGTAAAAGTTTTACCTGCCTAGGCAGCGTATTTCCAGCGTATAAAATATTCACCCCTCCAGCACATCCCGTAGTATACGCCAGCGTACGCTGGACGCGACTTTTCCAACTTAGCTCCCAGGGCTGCTGCCAGTGACTCCTTCACGTCCTCCTGCAGCGCCACTGCTCGCCCAGCTTCACCCGTGCTGCCGTGCAGTGCTTGTGGTGATACACATACCTACCTTCCCCGTGACTCTTCTGATTCACATGCCTAGATTCCCCGTGAGGGCTGCCGCTGCTCCCTGTGCCGCTGCCAGCGACTCCTTCACATCCACCTGCAGCGCCACTGTTCCCTTATGCGTGCTGCCGTGCAGGCGTGCTGTGATGAGCGGACGCGCCATGAGCGAGGCTGCTCCTGTGCAGTGCTAGTGGAAGTATACCTACCTAGATTTCCGGTGAGAGCTGCAGCTGCTCCCAGCGCTGCTGCCAGCGACTCCTTCACGTCCACCTGCAGCGCCACCGTTCCCTTATGCGTGCTGCCGTGCAGGCGTGCTGTGATGAGAGGACGCGCCATGAGCGCTGCTGCTATGAGCACACGCAGGAAGGAGTAGAGCGACTGGGGCCGGCGGGGGGGGGTGTGGGGACGGAAGGGATGGGGAGAGGCGAGGCATGACAGTATAAGTGGAGTCATAATCGCCCCCCCGGCAGTGTTCCCATGCAGGCGTGCTGTGATGAGAGGGCGGGCCATGAGCGCTGCTACTATGAGGACACGCAGGAAGGAGTAGAGCGACTGGGGCCGGCGGGGAAGGGGTTCAAGAGCAGGGGGGAAGGGATGGGAACAGGAATATCATGAGGCTATGAGTCAAACCAGGATAGGTCCCATGCCCGAATTGCCAAGGAGGCGTGCCGTGATAATAGGGCGGGCCATGAGCGAGGCTGCTATGAGCACAGCACACGCAAGAAGGAGTAGAGCGACTGGTGTTGGGGGTGGTGGGAGAGGGTGGGGAGGGATGGAGAGAGGCGAGGCGTGCAATTATGGGTGGAGTCATGACTGGTCGACCACACTTGCTGCCGCGGAGGAGAGGGGTTATGCTAAGAGTGCGGCTGCTATGAGGAGAAGCAGCAAGGAGTAGAGCGACTGGCAAGCGGGGGGGGGGGGGTGGGGAAGAGGGGATGGGTAAGGTAGATGGGGAGGAATGGCTTGCGGCTTGATGATATCTCCGCAGGTGCAGAACTGATGCGACCTAACAATGAAACCGAAACTGAGATTGAAGCTGAAATTGAAACTGAGATTGAAACTGAAACTGTGTCAGTCACATGAATCTTCCAAAAAAAGTGTGAACACCCACAATGATGCAGGAACTCGGGTTTTGAGACGTCCCAAAATTCGAGTTGAAGAATGAGATGATAATCACCTGCAAGGTTGTCAGTAGTCTCAATCTGCGACGCCCCTCAGCCGCCTTCTTGTATCCTGCACCAAACCGCACAGCACAGCACCACACAGCACAGGGAGCACGCAAGAATGGATAAGCGAGATGGCGATAAGGGAGATGGCGATAAGGGAGATGGCGATAAGGGAGATGGCGATAAGCGACAATGCAACCGGCAACGCGGCGACATGCAGACTTTTAGGAGCGTGGGGACCAATCACCAGCGAGCAGAGGAGGAGGTAACTATTGTCACAACTCAGTAGATACAACTCACAATTGCCAACTCACTATTGTCACAACTCACTGTTGTCAACGGACATGCGGTACTGAAAGTCGAAGCCTTCGTTCTCTCGCTTCACCCCGCCGAACCTGCCTCTCGCCGCCATGCCTGCACAACAGCTCTTTCGACTCCCCTGCTCCCTGCTTCTCACTCGGAACCCGACCAGATCAACTAAACGGAATGGGGTGACCTCTGAGTCAACTCGACAGTTGCTGGCTCCGCTAAATGCGGTGGAGTTAGAGTTGACTCGGCAGCCGTTGCTTCTGCACGACAGTACCTATACTAGTGCTGGGGGTAAAGAAGCGAAGCGGCTGTTGAATCGACTTGGAAGTCACCTGTTGAATCAGCTCAACCTGACAGTACTGGTACCAGACAGCAGGCACAATGCTGGATTGCTGCAGCGCGGTTGCGATTATGAGGGGAATCGGGAAATAGGAACGCGACCAGCGATCAGATCAGAAGTGAGCTGATGATACTGGTCAGCCAAATCCGTGCGGTTGAGTCGACGACGGGGGATTGTCACATCACACAGAAGGAATCGCCGCTAATGAAGTCGCGGCCACACCACACCCCATCAGTGGGTGGGATGGGATCTGTTTAGAAATTCGTCTATGATATTGTGATACTCGTTTTTACGCGTCGAATGGTTTGCTACATTTTGCAGTTCGAAGCATCCACTGTGCCCATAATTCAAAAGTTGCAGAATTGTTCGAAACTGCATTTCTGTTACGTGTGCAATTGAGTGAACGAACGAAGATTGCACTATCGAAGCAAGAGTACAATGAGCGAAGGCATGAGCGAAGAAAATATAGCAAAACTACAGTGGTAACGGTAATGTGTGGAAAATGGGGTGCGCGACGGGCCTAGCGCCGAGGTTGGGAAATGTCGAGGCGGAGGTCCGGAGCGCGGGTTACCAACCGAATCGTGAGGTTGGGTCGCGTCGTGAACAGTGGCGAGAATAGTGTCGAAGCGAGTGTCGCGAGTAGTAACGGATTACTGTTGGGTGCTGTTGGCGGGAACAGTGGTGTACGCGCTCAGCAGGGACGCGAATTAAGGAAAAGGAATTTTCCTTACACTACCCCCCCCCCCTAAAGGAGGCCCTCCTTACGAAAGCGCGTGTACATCGAGGAAATTCCGGCTGCGCAGATACTCGGTGAGGACGGGGTGGTTTTCGATTCTGTCCAGGGGAACCAAGTTGTCTTCGGTGGGCGTACCGTCTTTCCAGCGGATCAGAAACTCGATCCTTCGAGCTCCTCGTGGGTCACGAACTCGGTGGCTCAGAATTTTCTCGGGCGTGATGATTGGCTCGGTCGGCGGTCGTGTCATGCTGGTTGGGCGGTTGCGAGGCAGTTGGCTGGTGGATGGTACGTAGGGGCGAAGCAAGCTGACGTGGAATGACGGGCTGACGTACCAGTCAGCAGGGAGGAGGAGGTGGGCGGTGACGGGCGTAATCATGTGGCTGATGCGAAATGGCCCACAATATCGGGGGCAGAGTTTTGGGGTGATGGGCAGGCGGAGGTTCTGAGTGTCGAGTAAAACTAGGTCGTCGGGCTGGTAAGTGACAGGTCGGCGGTGGCGGTCGGCGTTGCGTTTAGCGATGATGTTGGATTTTGTTATTGCGTCTGCTGCTCGGGTCCGTGCTGCTTGTAAAATTTCGGCGAACTGTTGTGCTCGTGGCACCGGGTTGTCGAGATTCGGGGTCATGGGTACTGTGGGGTCTTGTCCGTAGTTCAGGTAGAACGGTGACTGTTGGGTCGTGGCGGATGGCGAGTTGTTGTATGCAAACTCGATGAGTGACAGTTGCTTTTCCCAGGTGGTCGGGTCGTCGCACGTGGCTCGGATGAGTTGCTCCATGGTCTGGTTTGTCCTTTTGTCAAAATCCCAACCACTAGACCATTGGGATAAAAGGGCTTGTTAAGTAGCGGGTCAGTGCGCCCATAACCCCCCAGGCCAACATGCCTGTAGCCCTTCCCTAGGATCAATCGGGGATCACCAGTGGACCTCTGACACCCCCCCGCACTGGGATGCCCGAAGTGCACACACTGGGATTCGAACCCGAGACCTTCGCTCTGATACCATGTCAAAATCCCAACCACTAGACCATTGGGATAAAAGGGCTTGTTAAGTAGCGGGTCAGTGCGCCCATAACCCCCCAGGCCAACATGTCTGTAACCCTTCCCTAGGATCAATCGGGGATCACCAGTGGACCTCTGACACCTTTCTGTCTGTCCGTCGGTCTCGGGGTGGTACGAAGAACTGAACTGTAGCGTGCCGAACTGCTGCCACAGGTTCCGCCAGAAGTTGCTGGTGAATTTTGTGTCACGATCGCTGATGATTGCTGCTGGTATACCGTGCAGTCGAACGACGTTGGAGATGAAGAGGCGGGCTGTTTCTTCGGCTGTGATCGATTTCTTGCAGGCTGCGAAATGTGCCATTTTCGTCAGCCGATCGACGACGACCAGGATCGCGTCGTTCCCACTGGCTCCGGCCGGTAACCCCGTGACGAAGTCCATCGTCACCTGCTGCCAAGCACGCTCTGGGGGTGGTATCGGCTGCAACTGTCCTGCCGGCCGCTTCCGTGATGATTTCATGAGTTGGCAAGTGGGGCACGATGCCACGTGTCGTTGTACGTCGGTCAGCATTTCGGGCCAGTAATAATACCGCTGCAGCTGCTGCCGTGTTTTTTCTACTCCGAAATGGCCTGAGGTAACTCCGTCGTGTGCCTCCTGTAGCAGTAATTCCCGTAGTACAGTGTACCCCGGTACCCAGATGCGGTCGGTGCCGGCTTTTACGTAATAAACTCCCTTTGCTGCTGCGAACTGCTGCGAATTTCCTCCTGTGAAGAACGGATCCGTTTGATAGCCGTGGGTGAATAGTCCTGTCAGTAGTGGGCTGGTCTGGGCGAGTAGTATTGCGTGGATTTGGGCAGTGGGGCGGGTCAGTGCATCAGCGATGTTTGATGCCCCCTTTTTGTAGGTGACCTTGTAGTGGAAGTTTGACTCGAGGAAATCGAGCCAGCGAATCTGTCGTGGGTTGAGGTGGGGCTGTGCACGGAGGTACTGAAGTGATTTATGGTCTGTCCGTACTGTCACGTCTGTGCCGGTCAAGTAACAGCGCCACACTTTGAACGCGTGCACGATCGCGAGCATTTCGCGGTCGTGTATCGGGTAATTTTTATCGGGCGGGTGCAGTTTTCGTGACTCGTATGCGATGGGCTGTAAACCGTTGCCGAAGTCCTGCAGCAGTACGGCTCCGATGGCGATGTCGCTTGCGTCTGTAACTACTTCGAATGGGCGGTGTGGGTCGGCGATGCGCAGTACGGGCGGTGAACAGAGAACATTTTTCAGGGCAGAGAAGGCAGCATGCTCTTTCTCCCCCCACGTAAACGCGACCCCCTTTCGTAGCAAGTCTGTCAGCGGTGTTGTTAACCGTGCCATGTCGGGGACGAACCGACACACGTACTTGACGAACCCCAGAAAGCTCTGCAACTCCGTGATATTCGTCGGGGGGTGCCAGGCTTTTACCGTGTCCAGCTTCTTTGGGTCAATTTCAACCCCAGCCTCCGAAATAACGTGCCCCAAAAACTCTAGCCTTTCCTGAAAAAACTCGCACTTGGAACCCCTTGTAAGTAGCCGGTGCTCGTCGAAAATTTTAAACACTGCTTCCAGATATGCTAAGTGCTGTTGCGTGTCGCGACTGTAGACGAGGATGTCATCGAGGTAAACTATCACGCATTTATCTAAAAGTGGCCTAAACGCCTCGTTCATGGTCATCTGGAATGTCGCCGGTGCGTTGGTCAGCCCGAAGGGCATCACGGTGTACTCTAATGACCCGTACCTAGTCCGATGGTTCGACTCTAATCTGATGGTAACCTCCCCGTAAATCTATTTTCGAAAAAACCCGTGCTGTTCGCAGTTGGTCTATCAGTTCGTCGGCGCGGGGAATGGGGTATCGCGACTTGACTGTTACCCTGTTCAGTGCTCTGTAATTGATGCACATGCGAAACCCTCCGTCTTTTTTCGGTGTGAACAGTATCGGTGCGGCGAACGGTGACGAACTCGCTCGGATGGATTTTTTCTCTAACAGGTAATCTAACTGCTTCCTCAGTTCGTCGAGCTCGGGTTGTGTCACTCTGAACTGTCGCTGTACGGTTGGTTGTGCCCCCGGTTCTAACTCTATTCGGTGGTCGTGTGCTCGCTGAGGTGGCAGTCCCTCTGGTAAGTCATCGGGAAAAATCTCCGGGTACCGTTTCAACAGTTCCTGTAGTTCGGGCGGTACTGCTGCCAGCAGTTTCGTAAAATCGCTCGGCTGCTCTGCTTCCTCTACCACTGCAATGTCTACTGCGTACACGTCAGCTCCAGCGGCGACGGCCCGTTTCATTGTGATGGCGTTGACGTGGACCGTTGAAGACTCGGGCGACTGCCAGCGAGGTAGCTCAACCCAGTTACCGCTACTCCGCACAGTGCAGCTACCCGTCGTCCAGTCAATTCGCGGGTTATACCGTCGCAGCCAATCACGTCCCACTAAAATGTCGTGCCCATCCAGTGTCGTCGCGAACATTTCCTGTGTAAACCCGAAATTCCCCCCGCAGCGGACTTTTACTCTCTCCACCTTCTCCCGTATGGCCAACGGTGTGCCGTCAACTAAGCGTGCATCTACCTCCAGTAAACACCGGCTAAGTGTCAGTTGCAGTTTCCGTACGGTCGCGGTTTTAACTAAACTGTGACTTGCTCCTCCGTCGATAAAAATCTTCACTGCTGCTCCCTGTATTTTCCCGTGGATCAGTACTGGGCAATCCGTCGCTGTACCCTCCTTATTCGTCCGAGCCCGATCGATGGCGTGAATCGGTACTGTGACTCGGTGAGGGTTGGTGGGGTTGGGCGAGCAGGCAGTCTCGTCAGTAGTTGGCCCAATTCCTACTGACTGCTGGTGTTTCCCTGCCTTGGAGACTCCCTCCCCTGCTCTGCTCCGCGGCGCCTCAGCTCCTCTGGTCACTCACTCTTGCGATGGCACGGCCTATTGCTAGCAAAGCAGCGCCCCTTGAACAGCGCGGCAGCTGCATTTGTCGCAACGGCGTGTACGGTGGCGTGCTCGATCGGTCCCCGA